GATTTTTTTTCTTTTTTTTCTAAAGAATTTAAAAATTAACAAAATAACAAACATAATAACATGTCATCTCTTCCATAAGGATTTAAAAGAATAAAAATCGAAAATACTGAGAACTATTAATTAGTATAAGAAAAATTATTCCCTAAAAAAATTTTTAGAATTTCCATCCCCACATAAAACAAAAAATGGAATCCCTTTTGGCAACCGGCAGAACATGACTAGCAAGAACAATTGGGCAATCACCAATAGGCAGAACAAGACTGACAAGAACGATTGGGCAATCTCAGCTCCTCAGAGTAGACAAAAACAGCGCCCAACACGTCAGGGGATTCTTTATGATCTTAGGAAGGTAATTTTTTCTAAAATTTTTTACATTTTTTTCTTGCGAAAAAACTTAACTAAATTTTTTTGCTTTTTCTACTATTTTCTGATATCTTTCTTCTATCTCCTCGTGTTTTTCTTCTATTTTCTGGTGTTTTTATACTCCTATTTTCTGGTGTTTTTCTACTACATTTTATCTGCAAACCCAAACCCTAAAGAGTTCATACCTAGTTTTGGAGGTAAAAGTTAAATGTCTTAAAAATATTACTTTTATAACAATATGATTGTGATGATGTGTAAAAATGTTAAATATTATTCATTAAGAATCTTAACAAGATACGTCAAAATTTCGATTTCAAAATTACTAAAGCAAGTCTTTACATTTGGCAAGGTCTAGAAAGCACAACAATACCATTTTTCTAAATTAGAAACATATATCAAGGAGAAAGAAGAATAGCTTCATCTATTTACCCCTCATAAAATATATCATAAAAAATTTATAGATGAGGAAAAAGTCTGAAGGTGAAATAGAAAGTAAACATAAATTTTTTATTTAATTTTATATTATTTCATATAAATCAGCCCCTTAAGTTATGGTATTCTCTACTAACTACTTCAGCCCAAGTCTTTTTAAGATCCTCTACTTTAAACTGTTCTTTCAATTCTGATTTAATTTAGCTACAATTAAATTCTTAAACAATCATTTATAATGTAGTAGCAGAAGATTCTTCAGTGCAGCAATGAACAAATATTCTATTTTTTTAATGGTCTGGTAGCTCAGTAAATAATTATACTTATTATTTTGGATAACTATCTCCTCCATCAGTATAAAATAAAATTTCAGTTCTATGTTTATTAAAAAATTTTACTTTTCAAATGCATCGTTCTGATGTTAAATAATTAAATTATAAGCTTCTTGAAATGCTTTAGCAAAATCAGTACCTCCATTTTGGAATACTATTCTCTATTCCATTTAAACTAGATTAACACTTTCGCAATTGATAGCTATACGAGCATTTGAATTAAAAATAATAACACTAACTCTGGCATTTAAATTCTTTTATATTTCTGATATGCAACTTATGCAACCAGTTTTAGCCATATTCCATGCAGAACCGTACATGGAGCCAGAATCATCAAGCATAAACACATAATGAATTTTTGGCTATCTAATTACTTCTGTAAATTCATTTTTTAGAACAAATTTGATGTCTTTTCTTTTTAAAACTTTTTTTAATTGTTCGCATACCATTTATCCAGTTCCTTAATTCCATACTTTCATCATTTTTTCTTTAACATTTTACTAATCTGATGCACTTATTTCCTAAAACCTCCACTCCTGATATTCTTTTCTAATATCTTTCCATTTTTTTGTCACTTTTGTTTCTTAAGTCACGATTATGCATTCATCATCCATCTCATCGCAAGTGAATAAAGAAGGAGTATCTTCAATTAATACTCCATTCATTCCTTTAAAATATTGAATAAAAAATACCTCTTAATTAGTGGCCATTGGAACATTTATGTTAATGTGTAGTCGAATTTTCTTAATCACATTTACGCTTACACATTGGACAGGTATGAAGACAGCCTATCATATTTAATTTTATAGTTTATAGTTCATGATAACTTTTAAATTCTCCCAAAGATATATTTTCTTGCTTTCCCTATTCAATATGAATGTTTAACTAATTTTCCAATTCAATTGCGAAAGGTTACAATAGTTAAATTTATAATTCTGATTCCTAAAACTAAATTTTATCTAAAATATTGACTTCTAACTTTTGATATTGATCATTCCAAAAAATCTCGTAATATTCATTCTGAATTTACGATTCAACTTGTTTAAGTAATTAATTCTTATCCCCTTGAAGACTAGAGATTATCAATTGAAAAAGTTTAATTTCATAAAACTCATCTTTTTTGTCATCATTATCATTGATTATAAAATATTCTTTAGATTTAACTGGAGGAGTTTAAATGTCAGTATGCTATCTTAATTTTTAAATGTTAAATTTTAGTTTTTCTAAAATTGTTAATAACGTGCTTCTTAATTTATTCTAATATTAATCTTTTATTTCAACTTCTATTTTATTAACTTCTTTTTAAACATAATTCTCAATAAATTTGCTTTAATCTGTAATATATTGGAATATTTCTTAATCAGTATATTTTTTTAAATTATAATCTTCTTAATAATCCTCTAATATGGTCTTATCTAATAACTTTATTAATTATGCACTATTCATTTTATTCTTGTTTTTGATTTCTGTACAAAAAATATTTTAATTATCTCTATAAAATTGCTCTATGAAACGTTTATAAAAGTTCCTGATAAAAACCTCAGCTTTTAATTTACTCTATTCAGTTTTATTTTATTTGATGTCAGCAATAAATTTCTATAATTAATTTTATTTAAGACTTTCAAACTTTTATTTACTATCTTAAACTCCTTTGCCTTTTTTATAGCAGGTAAATCTCCAAATTATTAACATAGAATAATAATATATGCATCTTTCTCCAATTCCACTCAGTATTATGCCAAAATTAGCAAAAGATTTGTTATAAAGTAATATTTCTTATTCTATTTTGGACATAATAATTTTTATCAAGCTGGTGTTCTATTAAGAAATCTCTTCACTATCAGAGTTTTCTTTTTTATTATTGACTTTAGAATTTGAATTTGTCATTTCGGATTTAATTAAATCATAAATTGAGTAACACAACATTTACCAACTATTTAAATTTTCAAATTTTGAAAATCCATTTTTTTCACAATTTTCTTTTTATAATTTTACCTAGTTCTCTTGAAACATATTTATTTAACACTCTTTAATAAAAGAGAGTTTAAAACTCTGTTCATTAAAATTATCCTTCTTCTTCTAGATATACCTTAAGCTGGATTCTATATATTAATATTTTTGTTAAGGAACTATTGTTTATTCAAAATATAGAATTTGATGCTCAAAATTTAAAATAAATTCCTAAACTTCTTTATATGTCAGGCAAGTCTTTTAAGTTTCACTTAATCTTAATCCTTAATTGAATTCTTTAATATCTTTCAAAAATTCAATGGAATTTTTCATTGAGTTTTACTTTTTTTTATTTTCAGGCAATTTCACAGAATCTATAAATTTTTCAAAAGCATTTTTGACTGAATCATTTTCGCTTTGCAACAGCCCCCACAATATAGAAGATGGGTTTTTTATTTTTTCATTCAATATATTTTTAAGCTCTATATTATATTCAAAATCAATATAGTCCAATATTTGCAATAATTTTTAAACTTTAGATTAGACAATTTAGTATTTTTATGTTGCATGTTACCCATGGGAATGTTAATTCTTGGTATTTGGATGATTTTAAGAATGATAATCGGAAGACTTTGTATTCTTCATCTTTCCTTCAATATTTTCATTTTATTATAATATTAATTATAAATCGTGAATAATACTATTTTGCTATTTTTTATTGTTCCCTTTTATATATTCAATTAATTTTTTTTTTTCAACGTATGTAATTGTCATTTGATATTCATAAAAATTGTTTATGTCTATTACATCATATTTTTCCTTCTTTTATTTCATTCTATCCTCCAAATTTTGATTGAAAATTTCTACATATCTTGTTGTTTCTTTTGTATAAGGAATTGCTCTAAATAAACTTTATTATTTTAATTCTAATTCAAAAATATTATAAATTTAAATTCTTTCGTCTACTTCTAGTCTGAAAGGAGAATTATTATTAATATTTTCAAGAAAAGAACGAATATAAAAATTTTCATTATCTGTTGATAATTTGTATTCATTGAATGAAGATAAAATACATTGATATTACTTAATAGAATATTCTCTTAGGATTTCACTTTGTTTCTGCTCTGATTCATTTGTAATTTCACCCCATAATTCATTAAAAGCATTAATAATTTATTCTTCATTTTGTTTGAGTGTAGATAGCATTTTTGGATCAGAACTAATATTAAGAATAAAGTCATCAAGTGACTTAAATCCTTTTTTGTTCTGATACTCTCTTTCTATATTTTTTATTTCTTCAAATACTACAATTTCTGAATTTTTTAAGGAGCTATTTATGCGCTAGCTTAATTGCTTTATATATTTTAGATAAATTTTTTTCTAAATTCGTTAATCTTATTTAAATGCAAAAAGTTTTTCTTCAATATCTTTTTCAATCTGAATAAACCTTTATCTAAGTTCTTCATTTTTATCAACTTAAATTTAATTGAAATAAGTCAAATTTTTTTGAGGGTTGTTACTTATTTAATCATTAATTTAAGCTCCTATTTCATTTACAAAATTAAAATCTTCTTAATCATATATTTGTTCAAATTTTTTTTTCATTATTTAATCTTGCTTATATTGAATTAATTCAGCAAATTCCAATAAATCTGGTAAATTACAAATAGTTTACCAATTTGTACTTATATTCTATATAAACAAACTCAAACTTTACATTTGAAAAGTGTCATTTTAAGATTAAAACTTCTAAATAAAATTCTTAATCATTCTTATCCCAAAAAGATAAGCCTCCTCCGAGAAGGTTTCGTTAATTATTAATTACCTTTAATCTTTAACAATACCTAAACTTTCATTTTTTCTCCATAACTTTTCAATACATGCAAATCCTAATATTTAAATATTATCTTTAGATATATTCAAAAATTCATTATAATCGATTGTCTTATTTTTTTCATCTCCTTCAGTATTGTATTCTAAATTTAAATTATTGGCAATTCCTTAAATCTGATTTAAAAAAGGGGCAAAGTTGTTTGCATCATTATTTTAATTAAAACACCAAGTTAATTGTTTTATTGAAGAAAGGTTAGTTTTCATACTCACCAAAGTAAAAATACACATTTCCACTAAATTTTTAAATTGTTGGTGAATATCTCCTTTAACATTTATCAGAATGATGTCACTTATAGCCAACACAAAAAGAGCAATTTTTTTATCAAATTCTGGATCAACTTAATTTGGATTCTGTAATCCCTCCGAATCAAGTATTAAAATATAATCAAATAAATTATTAAAGTATTCCTTAAATTGTATTTTCAACAAATTCAAATAAATTCCCTTGGTACATCTTCCGACACTTGTCCAAAAATGGCAACCAAATATTTTATTTAAGATAGTAGATTTGCCTGAGCTTTGAGGTCCTAAAACACTTATTACTAATAGTTTTTCATTTCCTGATCCTGTGAATTTATTCTTCAATTAGTCTAAAAATTTTTCATTTATTTAGAGACAATCTCCATCAAGAAATTCAAAAGGTTCACCTTTCTTAATCATTTCATAAACTTTATCAGCAGGATCAATTATAGTATTAACCATACATCTTTGATTTATTGCAATGAGTTCCCTCCAAAAAATTTCTATTCCTATATTTCTGAATCCAATATCCTCTAAATTTTTTTTTAGTCTATCTTTAAGTTCATCCTGTTATTTTTTATATTCTTGATTTTTTTAATCATTAATTAAAATAGATTCAGTTTCTTATTTAATATCAGACTTTTTAAGCTTTATGACATCTCTCTCTTTTTTAAGCTTCATTAATTGATCATTAATTTCTTAATTTTCTTCCTGCAATTTATATGTGTTTAGTTCATTAAATTTTCTAACTTAATCAGTGAATTATAAATAAAGAATATAGTAAGAACTTTATTAAAACATTTTGCAAAACATTTTTAAAAGAACTGATAATTTCTAATTCTTGATTTAATCTTCTAAATCGCTAATCTTCTGTTTTATTTCTTGTTATGATAATTAATTGGAATTTTTTTCATGTTAATTATTTTAGGATTAAAATTTTATTTAGCTCAAATTATTCCCTTATCCTTACTGAATGTTTTCATTTTATATTTCTCTTAGAACCTTTAATTAATATTCTATAGATCTAATTGGAAAGGCATCTTAATCATAAAACCCTAAAGGCTTCAATATTAATCTATTCAATTCCTCTTCTAAGTCTTTTATTATGGCTCTATCCTACAAAAATCTTTTGGATATTTATTTTTATCCTGTATCAAAATTTTTTATAATTTATAAAAATTCTTGTTCAGTTTTTAAGGGTGGTTATTTATTTCGATTATATATTTCATTAAAAATAAAAGCTTAGGCTTGTTAAAATTGTAACTCTCTTTAAGATTTATCTAAACCTTTCTAAGCTAAATCAATAATTTTATGAAGCCTTATTCCTTCACTTTCAAACCTAATTTTCATTTTATTATATTCTTCAATTTTTTCTTCAATTTCTTGATGATTCCTTATGATTATACAAATGTTATGATTTTCTTTAGGAATAATTTAAGTGATTTAATTTAACTTATTTTCAGTCTCACTTAGATCTATCTCTGAATCTACCTATATAATCCACAATTGAAATAAGGGCAAAATTTTAATTAATATATCAATTGGGATTTATCCATGAGCATCAGCAACACTGAGGTTTCTTGAACCATTAAATTATGTATCAAACATGATATCAATTGTATTATTGTTTAACTGACATGTATCTTATGTCTCAAATTTTTCTTACTTATAAAATATTTCATTAATGAGCTCAGTTTTTCCTATCTAAGTTTATCTTTTGCTTAGGGATAAATTAATAATAGTAAATGATTTTTAAAATACATAATACAGTTTTTCATTAAAAATATATAAATCTGTTTCCTTATTTATATTGCATAGATTTGGATTTTAAAAAATTAAAGGAACTGGAAACATATTTGAATAGAGTTTAAGCAACATAACTTAGAGTTCCTCATTAGAATTATTGAAAAATAATTAGAACAAGGCTTTCATATTACTGGTAATTTTAATTGATTCTTAACCCTTGCGTCTGTATGTAGTGATTATGGAGAGTAATTTTGTCGATGATTCTCCTCTCTTAATTATATTAAAAAAAAAAGGAATTAATTTTTTAAATTTTGATTTATCTTTTATGTCATCTAACCAATCCTGAACTATAATTTTCTCTTATTCCTAAGATGTTTCTGTTAATGAAATATTAAAATCTTCAAGTGAAAAATTACCTTCCTAAGGACAACCTTCAAAAGTTTCCTTATAAAGAAAATAAGAAGAATGTATTTTGATATTTCCAAAGTAATTTACCTTACCTAAATAATCTTCATAAAATAAAGGATGTTCTTTAAATAATATATAGCATTCTTTGGATAAGCTTTCATAAAGTTGTTAACAATAAAAAAATTGTATTAAGTTCAACTTGAAATTTAGCTTATCACTAACTTATTTTTCTCTAACCTTCCATATTAAATCAAATTTATAGCAAGGTTTATCAAAAAGGATATGCAAGTTTTAAACCATATATTTAGAAAACTATTCATTCTTTTTAGAAATTATAGTGAAAATGATTATTAAAGTTCTTTTAAAAATACCTTCAGTAATATCTGACTTTTTGTTTATTAATAATAAATAATTCAATAACCAGGGAATTAGACAAGAAAATAATACAATGAAGGTTTAAATCTTTTATTCATATTTTCCAGAGCACATTGGAATAAATTTTTTTAAGATTTGCATGTATTTCTTTCTATTTAAAATATCTGAAATTAAATATTAATTAATCAATTCCCCTATAAGGATTTAAAATTTCTTCTTTCCTAATAGTAATCTAAGAGAAAATTTCTCTTTTTCATTTAATAAACTTAACTCATCCAATAAATCTTCAAATATCGATCTCTAATTTAATTATTATTGTCTTGCTAAAGGATAATTAAAATTAAAAAATTTCATTAGAAGCATTAAAGTTTTTAATTGCTTAAAAGAAATATTTAAATTATAAAGATTTAAGATGTTTTAAATTTCTTCTTGAAATTTTTGTTTTAATATTTCTAATAATAACACTATTTCTCCATAAAATAAATTTTTTTCTTGATTTATTAATTCATTGATAAAAAAATTTATATCATTACTAGTATGAAATAAGAATGTTTATACCAACTTTTTTTTAATGTCATTATTAAATTCTCTCAAAGGATTTGAAAATAAAAGAAAAGTAATGAACATCTGTTAATCAGTTAAGGTTTGGTTAAAATATTTATTACTAGTGTTATGTAATAACCATACAGAGCTCTACAGCTTTTCCTAAAGTACATTTTTGTCTTATGGTTTTTGACTTTCATCATTCTTAGTAACTTAATCAATATTCTCATTTCCAATAATTTAATCACCATTTTTACTTCCAATAATTTAATCAATATTCTCACTTCCAATAATTTAATCAATATTTTTATTTCCTATAACTTTATCAATATTCTAATTTACAATAAATTAGTCAATATTTTCATTCCCAACAACTTAATCAATATTCTCACTTCCAATCAATTAATCAATATTTTTATTTCCTATAACTTTATCAATATTCTAATTTCCAAGAAATTAATCAATATTTTCATTCCCAATTTTTTTTAATTGAGAAACTATTTTTTTTAATCTTAATAAAGGAATGAATCTTAATTCATAAAATATGTTAGTTTTGACATTTCCTTCAACATTTTTTTCAAGTAATTGATAGATTAGCCTCTCTTTATCAAGCAAAAGTTGTTTATATTTAATTATTTTTTCTTTTTCAAGATATTCTTCTTACTTATTTGTAAATTGTACAGAATGATTAATAACAAAAAGATAAATTTAATCTTAACTTTTTTCTTTTGTTTTAGAAATGAAATTTTTTATAAACCTTTATGTTTATTCAATCTTATTGAGTTATTTTAAGTTATTTTAAAACTTAGTTAATTCACCATATTTTTAGTAACAATAACACTGCAAAAAGTAAAATATTGTACTAAAATATAAACTTTCGAATCCATCATACAAGAGAAAATGTTAATCTATTTTTCTAAGATCAATTTCTTTTTCCCATTTAAAGTTCTTGCTATATAACAAAAGTGAAATCTATTTTTTAACATGTTCAAGTAATTTTTCTTTCGTTTAAATGGTGCAAAGCTTAATAAAGTTTTTCTAATCAAAAGAAAGGGAAGAGAGTTCCATTTAAAAATCTTGATATTTTTTTGCTTCCATTTATAAAGCGATTATAATTTTTTTTGTTGCTTCAAATTAGTCTGATTCCATTATAGTATTTTCAAATTCTAAAAATTATAATATTTGTTTTTCTAATAAAGATCCAACAACCATTTACAATATTCTTTGTTCTGATTCATCAAGATCCTTATTTTTCTCTATGAAACTTAGCAAAATTTTAAATATGTCTATGTAAGGATATCCAAATTCTTCAATTTAAGTTAAATGATTTAATCTTAATAGATCAAATACTTTATCTTTAAGTTTTGAAATAATTTCCAAATTATCTGTAATTGTTAAATTAATATTATTTTATTCACAAAAATCTTTTTATTTTAAAAAATTGATTATTTATTACCAATCAGTATTTTGATTGGTTAGTTATTGATAAACTTTTTGATAATTAATATCCTCAAATACTTTAGTTTGATTATCTTCATTAGAGAAGAATTGTTATTCAAGCTTTTTAACATATNCCAATCAATTAATCAATATTTTTATTTCCTATAACTTTATCAATATTCTAATTTACAATAAATTAGTCAATATTTTCATTCCCAACAACTTAATCAATATTCTCACTTCCAATCAATTAATCAATATTTTTATTTCCTATAACTTTATCAATATTCTAATTTACAATAAATTAGTCAATATTTTCATTCCCAACAACTTAATCAATATTCTCACTTCCAATCAATTAATCAATATTTTTATTTCCTATAACTTTATCAATATTCTAATTTACAATAAATTAGTCAATATTTTCATTCCCAACAACTTAATCAATATTCTCACTTCCAATCAATTAATCAATATTTTTATTTCCTATAACTTTATCAATATTCTAATTTCCAAGAAATTAATCAATATTTTCATTCCCAATTTTTTTTAATTGAGAAACTATTTTTTTTAATCTTAATAAAGGAATGAATCTTAATTCATAAAATATGTTAGTTTTGACATTTCCTTCAACATTTTTTTCAAGTAATTGATAGATTAGCCTCTCTTTATCAAGCAAAAGTTGTTTATATTTAATTATTTTTTCTTTTTCAAGATATTCTTCTTACTTATTTGTAAATTGTACAGAATGATTAATAACAAAAAGATAAATTTAATCTTAACTTTTTTCTTTTGTTTTAGAAATGAAATTTTTTATAAACCTTTATGTTTATTCAATCTTATTGAGTTATTTTAAGTTATTTTAAAACTTAGTTAATTCACCATATTTTTAGTAACAATAACACTGCAAAAAGTAAAATATTGTACTAAAATATAAACTTTCGAATCCATCATACAAGAGAAAATGTTAATCTATTTTTCTAAGATCAATTTCTTTTTCCCATTTAAAGTTCTTGCTATATAACAAAAGTGAAATCTATTTTTTAACATGTTCAAGTAATTTTTCTTTCGTTTAAATGGTGCAAAGCTTAATAAAGTTTTTCTAATCAAAAGAAAGGGAAGAGAGTTCCATTTAAAAATCTTGATATTTTTTTGCTTCCATTTATAAAGCGATTATAATTTTTTTTGTTGCTTCAAATTAGTCTGATTCCATTATAGTATTTTCAAATTCTAAAAATTATAATATTTGTTTTTCTAATAAAGATCCAACAACCATTTACAATATTCTTTGTTCTGATTCATCAAGATCCTTATTTTTCTCTATGAAACTTAGCAAAATTTTAAATATGTCTATGTAAGGATATCCAAATTCTTCAATTTAAGTTAAATGATTTAATCTTAATAGATCAAATACTTTATCTTTAAGTTTTGAAATAATTTCCAAATTATCTGTAATTGTTAAATTAATATTATTTTATTCACAAAAATCTTTTTATTTTAAAAAATTGATTATTTATTACCAATCAGTATTTTGATTGGTTAGTTATTGATAAACTTTTTGATAATTAATATCCTCAAATACTTTAGTTTGATTATCTTCATTAGAGAAGAATTGTTATTCAAGCTTTTTAACATATTCAAATCTATAATATGTAATTTTTATACAAAATGGTTCTAAAGTTATCAAGTGTTGCAAAATTAATCTCAAAGCATTTAAACTTCTTAATTTATGTTAATATTAGATGAACTTTTTTTATTTATGCTTTAACTTAATCATACGTCATGTTTGAAATTTCTATCAATATTATTTTCAGCTTCTCTATTACAAATACTAAGCCATGATGTAATTAATGCGAATAGATTCGTGTTCTCCTAATTGAGACAGAGAAGCTAAATAACTATTATCTGAACAGTTTTCTTTGAAATTTTAGATGAGGAATCATCTTTAATCTAGTTTTGGTTAGTAAATTGTATTGAAACACAAAAATACATAATATCTAAAAGTTGTTAATTTTTTTCTTCTTTATATTATTTTGTATATATAGATGAAAGAAAGTCAATTAATTATGAAAAAATGAATTTAATAATTTATTTTAATAATGTAATAAAAAAGGTATGATTCTGTACATAAGAATAAATTGGAACTCAATTAATAATAGCCACTTCAATTAAAGTACTCCTCATAGCCTAAATAAATACCTAGCGAATTTCAAATTGCATAGATTGGGAAAGATATTGCAGCCACAATCATCCCTGCATTTATAGATATGATCAACTAAGAAACTGATGTGTATTATCTATTTGACTCATTTCACTCGATTTTAAATTCAGTTAAAAAAGTGGAAGAGGATATGAATATCACTTAAAAGAATAAACAACATATTCAAGATTGGTGGAAAGTTACAGGATCTAGCCAAAGTTAGACAGGTGTAAGAAATATTCAACCACTTTCAGAATCTCATATCAAGCACTAATCTCATNTTTCTAATAAAGATCCAACAACCATTTACAATATTCTTTGTTCTGATTCATCAAGATCCTTATTTTTCTCTATGAAACTTAGCAAAATTTTAAATATGTCTATGTAAGGATATCCAAATTCTTCAATTTAAGTTAAATGATTTAATCTTAATAGATCAAATACTTTATCTTTAAGTTTTGAAATAATTTCCAAATTATCTGTAATTGTTAAATTAATATTATTTTATTCACAAAAATCTTTTTATTTTAAAAAATTGATTATTTATTACCAATCAGTATTTTGATTGGTTAGTTATTGATAAACTTTTTGATAATTAATATCCTCAAATACTTTAGTTTGATTATCTTCATTAGAGAAGAATTGTTATTCAAGCTTTTTAACATATTCAAATCTATAATATGTAATTTTTATACAAAATGGTTCTAAAGTTATCAAGTGTTGCAAAATTAATCTCAAAGCATTTAAACTTCTTAATTTATGTTAATATTAGATGAACTTTTTTTATTTATGCTTTAACTTAATCATACGTCATGTTTGAAATTTCTATCAATATTATTTTCAGCTTCTCTATTACAAATACTAAGCCATGATGTAATTAATGCGAATAGATTCGTGTTCTCCTAATTGAGACAGAGAAGCTAAATAACTATTATCTGAACAGTTTTCTTTGAAATTTTAGATGAGGAATCATCTTTAATCTAGTTTTGGTTAGTAAATTGTATTGAAACACAAAAATACATAATATCTAAAAGTTGTTAATTTTTTTCTTCTTTATATTATTTTGTATATATAGATGAAAGAAAGTCAATTAATTATGAAAAAATGAATTTAATAATTTATTTTAATAATGTAATAAAAAAGGTATGATTCTGTACATAAGAATAAATTGGAACTCAATTAATAATAGCCACTTCAATTAAAGTACTCCTCATAGCCTAAATAAATACCTAGCGAATTTCAAATTGCATAGATTGGGAAAGATATTGCAGCCACAATCATCCCTGCATTTATAGATATGATCAACTAAGAAACTGATGTGTATTATCTATTTGACTCATTTCACTCGATTTTAAATTCAGTTAAAAAAGTGGAAGAGGATATGAATATCACTTAAAAGAATAAACAACATATTCAAGATTGGTGGAAAGTTACAGGATCTAGCCAAAGTTAGACAGGTGTAAGAAATATTCAACCACTTTCAGAATCTCATATCAAGCACTAATCTCATTTTCTAGATAGTTATAATAGCAGAGGCTCTGCAATTATTGAAAATCTTAAACGTCAAATAGGAGAGTTGACAGAAGAACAAAAGTTTAAGCAAAATTATCGTTCAATAGGTTAGGTTGCAATCAAAGTGTTTGATGAATAAGAAGTATATGTTGAAATGTCGAAGTAAGGGAAAAAATTAATTACAATTTATCAAGTGTAAAATAAATTTCATAAATTTCATATGGGTTTTTGTTTGTACAGTGTTTTTTTAAGAGAATCTTAAGAGAGAGAGAGAATAATCAATAAAATGTATGTGGCAAAGTGGCACAGAAAAATGGCAACTTTTTAAATCTTGTTACAGAATTTATAAAGTATATAATCAAAAATGAAGCAGTGAGCAGAATAAAAATAAAAATAAATTTATCATAAGGATAATTTATTAGGCATCTTCAATAATTAGGTGTTAAATTATCTTCCACTGTACCATTAATCAATCAAATGAAAGTATTCACATTAGTACTAATCTCTAAGAAATTTAAAATTTGAAATTTGGTTTACTATTTTTGCTATTTTATTTATTAATGTATCAAATTTTCTCATTTTATATAAAAAAGAAATTATTTATTCATATTTTAAGGGTCCAAGAATCTAGTATGTTATTGGAATTTGCTACTAAATTAATGCGATTATTAATAAATTTATCAACCCAAAAGAATGTAATCCAATTTATGTTTCAAGAACCTACTTTGGTTATTATTTCAACTAGTTAAAATCTAGAGTCATTTTTTGTGTCAAAAAAACTAGATGAATTTATTAATTAGTTAATGATAAAACTTCAATAGAAGAAATTGAATTTCTTAAATTATATTGATTACAATTTTTCAATCAATTTTCATTTCTAATAAATGAATTCCAAAAAGAAAGCTGTTTAATTGAGAAATTTTAAGTATTCCTTATAATCTAAAATAACATTTTTTGAATTTCTGATGATAAAAAGGATACTTTCTCTTCATATTCATATTTAATAATCTTAATTTTATAGTCTATAATTAACTATTATTTTAATCAAGTTATTCTATCTAAACCCTGAAAGGAGAATATTCTTGGTCAGATTTATATTTTATAATTGAAAAATCTATTTTATCTTCTATAGGTGAATCCATTTTTCAAATTTGAGATTTCATTTATTTTTTCGTCAACATTACTCTACAACATTTAGTCAATATTATGTAATTAATTTAACTAATTTTACTTATCTTCATTCTTGATTTGGAGTTAATATTTTTTCTTAAAATTAATTAATAAAATTATTTAAATCTAATTAATATTAAAGTTTAATTTATTCAAAAACATCATTCTTTGATTAAAGTTCATAGTTGAGGTCTTAATAAATAGAACTTAATTTTTAGTTAAGATCAAAATAAAATTTCTCAATTATTTTATTTTAATTAAGAGATTTTTAATTTAATATATGAATTACTTCAGATAATTGAAAAGCTCATTAAATTCTGTTAGATAATAATCAATTTACTAATTAAATTAGCGTAACCTAAGCATTAGATCGTCAATTTCAGAATATTTTGCCTAAATTGTCGTTCTTAAGATTTTGCTCTTTTTTTCTAAAATAAAAGTATATTCTCCTATAGCTTGTTTATCTTGATTCAAAATGAATATAATTCTCTCCTACAATTATAGGGTATAAAATTATCTATGCTACTCTGATCTTAAAAGAAAAACCTGATCGCAAATCTCCTAATTTTGTTTTTCAATTTAGATGCATTCATTTCTAAATTTCCTAAGACATCTTCCTTGTTAATTCTCTTGGAGTTGAATTAATAAATTTTTAGTCAGCAGTTCAATTAAATTGGGGAGAAATTAATAGTCTAGTTGTTTTTATTGCTGCTGAAGGGATAAATTTCTATGTTGTAGAATATATTCTCATATTTTCTTGATATCGTTAAAAATAAAAATAAATAACAATTAAGAATTCATTCAATAAGATTGAAATATTTTGGAAAAAAACCAATAGAATCTATTATTATATAGTTAAATATATATCTTGTTAATCAAGCAATATAATTTCTATTACAAAAAAGTTGCTAACAATGAAAAGAATAATTTAATCCAAGAATAGACTAAATTTTAGATTAATCTTAAAGTGAAATTTAATTGCTGAAGCAATAAATATAAAAAAAATAATTATAAGCAAAAGAATAATTACAGAAGTTAGAATGTTAAATGAATGAGGCATTAACTTAATAAAGAGGGAAATTATATCAATTGGAAAGCGAGAATCGTTCTTTTAAGACTTTTAATGAAGAGTAAAATCGTGTGATTGAGACTTTGTCGAAATAAAAAATAAATTGATGGAATGAATGATGATTTTAAATATCAATAATAATTAGACGAAAAATTATTTAAAAAAATCATTCTTAGAAAAATAATTGTCAGAAATTAATTAAATTTTAATAATTTATTAATTGAAAATAAGACTCTTATAAGAACTTGAAAATAGAGATAACAGGTTCAGAATTTAAATTTAAACTAGATAAGTTAATTTAGGAATTAGTTAAGAAATAATAATTAATTAATGAATTAGAATAAAGAATTAGAGAAATTGAGTCAAACCAATAGATTGATATAGTTTATTTGAAGAAAAAATAACTTATTATTAAAAATGAAGTTGAAACTTGGAAAAAGAAATTTATAGTTTTAAATAAAAGATTATCATAACACTTAAGAAGATTTAATGTTGGTTCAAGCTGAGGTTGATGCATTTAAGTAAAGAGGAAATGCAACAGTAGTTAAAGTAATTATTTTTTTTTCTTAATCTAAAAGTTATGAGATTCCTAAAGCAAATTTATTTAAGGAGAATATTTTAAATACTAAATAAAGTTAAGTCAGCTAATCCAGTCAACTTATTGTTAGACCTTTAAAGGAAGTTAATATTTGAAAACACATATTCTTATTAAGTTGATTAAATTAACTCTAATTTAATTTCTTCAAGGGATTAGTAAACTAATTAAAATAATTTCATATCTTTGTGATAAAAATAATTTTTTATCTCCTCATTTTTATCTTGATACTTTGCCAATCATTAATATTATTTTCATCATTTCTAGCATTATTTATTATTGTACTATTTTGAATTTTTTAGTTAAATTCTACAGTTTTTTTAAAGGGCTTAATTTAGAATTATTTTTTAAATAAATATCTTTTTATAAAGAAACATTTACTTTTGTGAAAAACAATATTACTTCACAGAATTCTGATCACAGAAATAGTGATTAAGTATTTTCAATAATAAATTTTAAGCTAGCGGGTCATGATGAATTATAAGCAGCCTAATAAAACCAATATCATAATATATATATCGATTAATTCACAAATTTCCCAATTAGAAAAAAAAAACTGAGTTGAAGGCTAAAAGTAGCCAAATCAATTAAGGAAAATCTTAAATCCTTCATAATCATTATTTTACTTTCAGTTAATACAAACACTCTGCTAGATTGAAGATATCTGTCAAAGAAAAATAATTTTCATTTTCTAATTTCTGGTTATTATAAATCCTAAACATAATAGTTAGTAGCTAATAAACATAAATGCTATCCCTCTTATTAAGAATATCATCAAATGATACTTCATTTAATAATTGGAGTTAGATGTTGAATATATCAATTTATGACAAGAGTTTCAATATTAAAAATAATTGACTCAATCTTCAAAAATATTAATAAGAAGAGGCCAATAAAGATAACCACAATGGTAAAAATCAATTATAAAACCTACACAAGATCATTAATAAAAAACTATTTAAAACAGATTCCCACAGTGGGAGTCAATAATTCAGTTATTATAATAGTTAATGATATTTACACCTACTATAAATGTAATAATTATTCTCACTTCATGAAAATCTCTCATTCTTCAAGTTAAAACTAGAAAGAAAGCATTTCAAAAAGCATAAATTTTCAAAACCTTGTGGTTAAACCTTTTTATAATCATTATTATAAAGTTTTATATATTGTCTCTAGTTAGTCAGAACAATAAAATGAAGGAATATAAATAAGTATTCCATTTAAAGCTTTCTATAATTTGATGCCCATAATTCTGTCTATTGAATTTAAAATGTGTATAAAATAAATATTAATTATAATTAATATGGAAACATTAATTGAGAAAAAAAATTGCTTACAACCATACCAAGAATTGATCATTTGCATAAAATAAGCAGCATCATTATCTAATCCCAATAAAAGACCATCATATACATCTATCTGTTAAGTAATAGAAAAAATAAACTTAGCAATCATTTTAGAAATTAGGTTAGTGTGTTGTGAAAGAGGAGAAATGATTTTTTAGAAATATATATATCAAAATAATATTTCAATATTGCTATTGTTAATACTTTGATCTTTTGGAATTTTATTTTTTATTTTAAGATAACACCATCTAATCAGCACTTTCTTTTTACAATTCTTCTTTAGTATGTCTTGATTCTGCCAGAGTTTTTCTTTTCTCAACTAAAATGTAATAAATGGTATTTACCTTCTGTTAATATAATGTCTAAATCAAATTAATGATCAGATTATGATTTTAATTCTGTATGTTACTTAGTACCAGATATTTCACTCTTATCATCATCAAACTTAACTGTTCCTTTCTTTTGTTTCTTTTGATCCTATTTAGGAACATACTAATTTGAAACTAATAAAATATTGTCTATTATTTTTTCTAATTATTCTATTTTTGGTAAAAGCGTTGTCTCATCATCATCTTCATTAATAATTTCAACACCTATTTATTCTTGAATCCTCATATATTATTATTAAATTTATGCAATTTGCTTTTTATTTTAATCAATTCCTCTCGATATTCTTTCGATCTTAGAATCTTCTAAATTTACCTATTCTTTGATAGGAGCTTTTGCCATTTATTTAAACTTTTGTAAATATTATTAGATTTTCTCGTTCTTTTATTCAGTTTGTTCAATCTATAAATAAAATAATATTATTACTTCTTAATTGATCTCATTGATTTCTTTATAGATTTCATCAATCCAGATTTCTTAATTATAATATTATTTCAGTATTGCATCAACATTGTTGAATCCAGTTTCCAAATAAAGTTTATTAAATTAAGCCTCATATTCTAGAACTTATTAAGCAACATCCTTCTATTCTTATTATGATTCACTTCTTTCTTTTAATATTGGTTTTGACTAATCGCCTTATTCTGTTAGGTAGGGTCCTTGAACTTAAGATTTTTAATCAGATGCCATGCTTTATTATTCTTATTAATCATCCTTCTATGGTTTAAATAATGCCTCGTATTCTTGCTGGAATTTATTTTGTTCTTTATCAGCTAATTCCTTAATTAACTTGAGTTAGTCTTAAAGAAATTTTTGCTATAAATTATATTTTTGAGTTACCTCCTCTTTTAGCAATTCGTTTTATCTTATACAATTTTAATATTCTCTTTGTTTAAAAATAGCATCTTTTTCTATTCCTTTAAATACTGTTGAATAAATGACTCTCTCCCTTCTGCTAAGATTCAATTATTCTTTTTCTGCTTCAACTTCTGCTAATTACTCATTGTGTTTTATATGAATCTATTACAGTTTCAATTCTGCATCTCGAACTGCCTATCAATTTAAATATTAATTTTACTTTCTACACTTAAGTCAACTCGCTACCAGAATTTGTATTTTCTATTTTTGAGATGTCTTTTGCACTTACTTTCATTGCATTTACTAAATTCTCTAAGTCTTACTAAAAAATCAAGGTATATTATACTTTTTTTTTAGTTTCTATCTCTATTTTTTAAGCTATCAATGCACATTCTTCCTAAGCCTTAATTACACTTAAAGCTATTTGAGTATCTACAACTGTATTTTTTTATTTTTAATTGATCAATTAATCTGTGTATTCAGAATTGTCTATTTTCATTTATGAAATGAGAGATCTAGTTGAAGAATAAGAATACCTATTTTGAGTTGTAATTTATTGAAAATCTGATTTTGCTTTTTGAATGGATGTGTTTAGAGTTGAAATCGTTTAGCTTTGATTCATTTAATTATTATATATTATTAACATTTTATAGGGGTAATACAATACTTAATAAATCGTAAATAAAATTAATTAAAAATATCATATGCTTCTTTCGACATCAAAATTAACGACATCCAAACTTAATAAATCCTAACTATCAAGTCCTTAAAGATCAACCATTAACTATTTGAGTTAAGATCTCGATTCCCCATCTAGATAGAGAATTAAATTACTCTCAGATAAATGGAATCATATTCAAAATGGAATTGATAAAGATAAACTAGAAAAAAGAGAAGTATTGGAAGAAAGAATTAAAATTATAGAAGACGTACTTGCATCCGAAAAACCTAAAGATGAATAAAGATTCAAAGTCATTAAGGATTCAGTCTTGAAACTATAAGATTAAGCACATAATCAAAAATCAGAGAGAGAAGTATATGATTGAAACCATATTCTTTAGGCATTTGATGACAAGAAGGAGAAAGATTTTAGAACATTATCAGATAACATTGCACTATCTTTTGAATAAGAAAGAAATATTAGAGGACAAGGAGAAACCAAGTTATAAAAACAAATTGATGAACGTTTTGCATAGATAACTTTAACAATAACTAGAAATACACATCAATATGAAGATAGAAGCCAGGCTAAAATTTCAGAAGTTCTTTAATAAATTTAGGTTGTTAAAAATTAATTAGATTAAGAAAGAAGATCAAGGTATTTAATATGCATATGAAAATAGAGAAGAATCAGCAGAATCATTATCTGAATAAATTGATAGTGAAATTAACAAATTCTCAGATTAATTGCTTGTTGAAAAGAAAGTAAGAGAGGAGACTTAAGGAAAAATATTCAGAATGATTGAAGATGTACATGGCAAATTACAATAAGATATCAATTTTGAAAGAAGGGAAAGAGAAGCAACTACTGAAGCATTATTAAAATTATTAGAGGATGCATGCATAAAAATAGATAAGAATTTCAGATCATTTTGATATATAAATAAATTATAAATTGGAATCTGCATATAATTTCCAAAAAAATTAGAATACAATAATGAATCAACTACTAATCATTCTTTAAATTTTGTTATGTTAAAGTTACGATTGTTAATACTACTTCTCTAATAGTTGATTTTGGGATGCAAAAGAAATAACAGTTTTTTTATTAATAATTTTATGAAATGGAATTCTTGATTTTGCAATATTTTATGGTTGATTTAATAAGGAATTGATAGAGTTATTAATTGTTTTATTTAGATTTGTTTAAGATGTATTAGTATTATGAAATTTTAATTCTTTTTTATAAAAATAGTTTCTGCCTACTGTCTTAGGAGCTATTCTTGATTATAAATTTCTTTCTTTTTGTTCTTATTATATAATAAATTATTGATTTTAATTTGTATTTTATGTTGTTTCATCATTTTAAACTCTATTAAGACCATACATCATTTTCAATGCTATTTTCTCTTAAATAATAAATATTATTTTACTTCAAAGTACTCTTTGGAAGTTTAAAAATTAGACAATTTAGATCTGTTTCTGTTAGGATAACATTGGACAAAAAAGCCAACATTTGTTTTCTCCTATTTAATATTATAAGTTTGAGTTTCTTCTTGTTTTGTAGTGATCAAAGAATTATCTTTCGGTTTAGGTGATCTAAGCTATTTAAATAATTATGTTCTGCTTTTGGATTCTTAGTGGATTGATGCAGATTTCATGATTTTTTCATCAAGTGGAAATTATGTTTGTTTAATGATTTCTTATGAAAACCTTCTCCCAGATTGCATTTGAATAATTTATCTATTGGAACTTATTATCTTGTCTGTTTGATGTTCTGAGACGGATTTGCCTAATTTCAATGAGGATATTCTTTAAAGTTCTTAATGTATGCTACCTCCATATTTATACCATGGACCCAAATTTTCCATATCATTAAAAGTGAAAGAATCTTGAGTATTTAAGATTAGATGTACCATCTCTACTTAAACATTCATAAATCTCAGCTTCTTTACTTTCTTTAGACTTTAACATAAATTAATTAAATGGGTAATATTGTTTCGTCTAACAGTAACAATTCAAATATCGAATAGCCAAATAGAAGGAAACCAAGAATATTTGGGGAAAAAGAAAACAATGAACCAAGAAGCTTAATCAAATTTAAATAAGAAGATTAATCTGATGCTGAATCAGAAATAGTTCCAATTCAAATTCCTGAGATCTCACATGAAATGACTCCATAAAAATAAGAAGATATTTATAAAGTGATAATTCCTTCTCCAAGAAGTGATTTAGGATCAGAGATTGAATAATTATGGAATAAAGCAGTTCAAGAGTAATCTTGTTAATTGGCAAAAAAAATTATAACTACTTATTTGGAAGATGGAACAATGTATAATGGAGAATGGTTCAAAGGTACAATGCACGGTAATGGAACATTAAGTAGAGAAGGACTTTTACTATATGAGGGTGAATGGAAACTTGGAAAAAAGAGTGGAAATGGAGTTGAATATTACACAAGAAGAACTTATGATAAAATTATACCAGCATGTTAGATATCTGATAAACAATACTGGAAGGTTTATAATGGTACATTTGAAGATGATAAAATTCATGGGGAAGGTATTTTGGAATTAATTAATGGTTCTTGTGTTTTTGGAGAATTTGCAAATGGATAATTACATGGATAGTTGACATATGAATGCATAATAAGTAAATAAATAGTAAAGGGAATTTGGAATTAAGGATAGTATTTTAAATTATGATTAAAATTTATATTAAAAGTCTCTACAGATTCTCATCATAAACCAAGTGTCTTTATAAAATATTGAATGTTTCAACTGATGCTTCTTAGGAAGATATTAAAGCATCCTTCTTTGAATTGGCTAAAAAATATCATCCAGATTCAAATCCAGAAACTTCAATTGATCCAGAGAAATTCAGAGAAATCTAATCAGCTTATTCAACATTGTCCAATCCAGAAAAAAGGAAATATTATGATTAAGAAAATGGTATTTATTATTATTATCATCTTAAGGGATAATTGGACAATCGTTTTAAGGGAATCCTACTTTTGGAGAGTAAGAAGATGTATACTAAAAATGGGCAAGAGTGAATAGAGAACATATAAAATAAAATGAAGGTTTGAAACAAAAATCTTACTATTATAGCCGAATATTCAGATTATTTTGAAAAATAGTATTTCAGAAATCCTGACTACTTTAAACACAAGGTAGATGAGGACAGTCCTTGGAACATGTCTTACAATCTATACAAAAAGCATTATGAAATTAAAAAATAAAAGTCAGAGTATGTTCTACATGTTCCTACATAAACCACATCTTATTGGGAAAAAAAATCAGATTTTTAGGAGTAATTATAATTTTTAATTTATAAGGAGAACTATAGAGTAAAAAGTTGAAGATTTAAAAAAAGGTAAATCATTATTCATTGGTTTATTTGTAACCATGATCATAGGAGGAATCTATTATGTCTATTAAGATTAAAATTAAAATAAATAAAGAGTATCTTAAACAAGTAAAGTAAAAGAGGGATCAGGATATAAAGTAAAAGCTCTTCCTTTGAATATTGCTTGAGAAATTATATATATAAATATCTTTTATACTTAATTTATATATAAAATTACATTTATAAAATATAATTTTCAGAATGGAAAAATAGATTGTAATTGCTTAATAGAGGGCTGTTCAAATCAAAGGAGATAGATATGGTGTTGAATTTTCATATGAAATTAATGGTAAGGTTGCTAAATAGAAGACTGGTTTTGGTTTTAAAACTGTAGGAGATTTAATGAGTATTATTCTCAAAAATGAGATTGCATAAAATCTATGTCCATTCAATTCATAAAATGATTTATTAGGGTATGATATGTTGCTTGCTGAAGTGAAACATATATCTATTAAACCAGTGGATGAATGTATTTAATAATATTAAGTTAGAGGATATGATATTTGTACATTTTATTGTTAATAACACTACTTAATCTTTCCTTTTTAATAAAAAATAAATAACTATTAAGAATGTACTAATAAATTTTAATTTTAGGCTATTTCTGAATATAACAAAGATAAAGAGGGTGTACTTAAAATAGATAATTACACATTATTTGAAATCATGGGAAAATAGATTAATGAAGGAAATATCAATAAGTACTTATTTGAAATGATAAGTGGAGAACAAGGATATATCAAATAACTTGTTTAATGAAAATTTTTTATGTTTGCATAATTAATTAAATTAAAAATAACAGACAATGTTGAAAAAAGAAGAAATATGGCAATCGATTAAAATGTTTCAAAAGTAAAATAAAAGAGAATTAGATTAAACAAGGGAATCAGAAGATTAATCATCATTTATTTCTGATAATGAAAAAGAAAATTTATTTAAAAATAAATAACAATCTTGTTAATGCAAATAATAAATGTTGTCATTAAAAAAAGAATGCATGCTTTAAATAAGGGAATTAAAAGCATAACATTAAATTGAAATGGAAAATCTTTAAAATTAATTCTAAAAATTAATGATTGAATAAAAATAATAATATGAATAAGAAATTTCATAACTTAAAGAAGATCTTGATTTTTATATGAGTGAATAAAATGATAAAGAAATAATGTTATTAATAGAATAGGAATAGTAGAAGGATAAAGAAATATTTTAGTAATAATTAGAAATTTAAATTACAGACAAATTAAAATTAGAATAAAAATTAATGTAATTGTTATTAATATCTAAGTCAATGTTAAAAAGAATTAAAATAGTATAAAGAATAAGCATAGTATTTTTAGACAAATTAATATACTCAGCCAAATTAATAATAATTATAGTAAAGTATACATAAGAATTGTGCTCCCCAATTATTTAGAGATACTAATAGGAAGGTGAAATTATAAACTGAAGGGATAGATAGATCGATTGTAAACGATGATAATAGCAATAGGGTTGGAATATGTAATTCAATTAAGAACTTTAATGCAACTATTAAGCATATGGAAAAATCTCAACAATCTTAATATTGATTAGTTATTTATTTTATAAAATACCAATTAATTTTATATATAGATAATTTAATAAAATTAGTGACAGATATTATAATAAAATAACAATTTATAATTAAATGGGCAGATTTTGAATTTATTGAAATAGATTTATTTGATTAAGCATAAAATTGAAAAAAGAAATCATTATCAGCTTTTTGGAAGTCAATTCAAAAGATTCTATGAGTAATAGAATACCTTTTATGTTAATAACTATTAACAAGATTAAAATAGAAATTGCTTGTTTTCATGCTATAATCCATAATTTTTTTATTATTTGCTTTGTTATACTTTGTTAAGCATTAAATGGATGTAAATTTAGATAAATTAATCATAGCATATTAAAGTTTAGAATTGATTAATACCAGATGGATAAGACATTTAAGCAAGTTTAGCAAAAGTTATTGGAACAAATCTTTTTATATAGTAAATCTTTCTCTTTTGCACCAACAATTATTATTAAATAAAATAATATTGAGGATATGGTTAGATACTTTCTTCATATAGATTTTTCCAAATTTAGTTGTTAACTTAATTATAGATATTTCAAGCTAATAAAAAGTTGAATATGTGAAAACTACAAATGTATATGACCATTTATATAAATGAATATGATAATTATCATGCTTATTCTTAACCAACTTGTAATTCAAGTTCTGCTATTCTTCTCTACAATCCAAGCAATTATTGTTATAATGCAGTTTTTTCACCTTTTAATGCTGTTATTTGTTATTAAAGTCTAGAATTTTCAGCCTTTTAATGAGCAAAATGTCTAAAATGAAAATTATGTAAAATACCTTTTCATTTCCTCTTCAATCCTCATTAATTCATTTGTGAGTGTTTTTTTCACATCTTATGTTTTCATACTTAAGACTGATTCAAGCGTGTCTTTTTCAGATTTCAATATTTAGACCTCTTTTTTATGGAAATTCATTTCATCTTAAATACCTTTAATTGTTTCCTTTTATAAATGACTTTCATACTTCTAAGCTCATTAATTTTCCTTTGAGTGATGCAGGATTTTATGAACCTGCAAAACTTTATCCTGTTTATCCAAGATCACCTTTGGTTAGATTATTGGCAGCTGATTTGAAAGCATTACTCATTAAATTATAAATAAATATTATTTTTGAGATAAATTCATTACATTTTATACTTTAACTGTATCTTAATTAAATTCACATTAATAATTTAGATATAAGAGTAACATGATTTCAAACATTAATTGTAATTAATAGAATGTATTCAAAGATGTCACCAAATTCATGAAATATAACATCAATAGACATCAAAACTATGACACAATTCTAAATTTTATGGAAAGACTTGGAACAAGTTTTAATTTAATTAAATCATTCTAAATTTTTAAAGAATTATTTAGAAAACTTAAGAAATCCGAAACATTTTGGAATAAAAATTAAGTTACAATATAAAATCATTTTTAGCTAAAGTAAATGGCTTTATAAAACTAATTATTTTAAAATACACATTATAAATCCAAATCAAAAGAGGAGGTCTTTAAATTTCTCATTCATTTTAATTTTACAAAAGTCAAACTTATATAAAGAAAAAACTATAATTTTAAGTTTATATTTTAAGTAAAATTATATATTTAATCGTCAACCATTAAAGGATATGAATGCAAATAAATATTTGCAAAATAAAACTGGAATTAAGCAAATTAATTACAATGAAATAGAAGGCTTTTTCATCCCCTCTTATTGTGATATCATCTCCTAGCATAATATGTCTCAAATTCAAATCTTCAATTATATAATCAGAATTACGTTTAAACTCTTAATGCCTTCAAAAATAAGTTTGTAAAATTTCATTAAACTAAATTACCTTTTAATAATTAAGGTTGACATAGATATATTTCTATGCTAAAAAAATATTTATAATCTATCCTTTTTTGTATTCGGTTTTCCAATTTAGTTGCTTCAACTGATTGAGAATATTGAGATAACATAGTATGAAAAGTTTATTTTAATTAATTATGTCACTATTTTATAATATTTCAATTTTCAAGCAATTTACGCTTTAGTTAGCCTAATTTGGATGAAATTAAATCAACTGCTACAACAACTACTCTTTTCTATTTGATTCTAATTTATTTAAATATAAATACCTATTTTATGTATCTGTTTCATATTCATTGTTTTTGAGTCTACAATCGGTTTATCTATTTTCTAATTCTTTTGTTTTTATTGCTACTTTTTAATCAACTTCAAATTTCTCATTTGTTTCTTATGTGATTCTAGTAGATAAGGAGGCAACGAGACCTAAAATTAAATAATTTATAAAACCTTCCATATATGTTTTATCCTGATTAGCCTAAACAAGTTGATCAGATAAAAGAGTTTTTAATAGGTCAAAATTACTTGATCTAAGAGCTTCTGCTTAATCTTCTCTGATTCTTTCAGATTAAATGTAGTTTTCAATTTATTTCAATATTGAAAGAACTTTTCTTGTTAAAACTTCAGCTTATGAAGGATCATCAGAAGCTTTAGAAGCCATTTCACTCATTATTTCAAGCATAGAGGCATATCCTTCTAATTGAATCTAAATTATTAATCATTATTTTATACATGATGTTTTATTTTATTAACTTTTTAAGCTACTTATGTTAATGATGTGAATGATCTAGATTCTGAATCATCTTGTTCTGATTGTTCATATTTAAAACTATAGGATTCTTCTAAAAATGAAGGTTTTTCAAATCTTTTTCTATTTTTCACAAGTATATCTAAGTAACTATTGAAGTATCCCTTAACTTAATTAACTCCGAATAAGGCTTATTCTAAATTATCTAAAATAGTTTCGTAAGCTGCAGTCTCAGTTTCCCTCTTATGAGATTAATATTGCAACTCAGCCTTTAAATCAGTAATTTCATTGTTTTTACGTTCCAAGCTTGCTACAGCTTATACTTTTTATGGATTCAATGAATCAAGTTAACTCTTGAGACCAAGTGATGCAATAGTATTTTGATTAATTTAATTTTTGAGTGTTGTGATATCAATGTCACAATTCTATCTTATCCTAACTATGCGATCATCATCTCTTTATTATTCATTTTCAAGAGTTGTTTCAATTCCTTATACCATATTAATAAGATTGGACACAACTGGGTCTTCAGTTTATAGCTCCATCATAATAGTTTGAAGGATTGTTTATCCAAAATTAGAGCTTTATAATTCTTCAATCTAATGATCAAAGTCCATTGTTAAACATCCTAAAACTAGGAGAGACAATAAAATCGTATTTTTCATTTATTTATAAATATATTAAAATCCGTTTTTATTTATTGGTATTAATATTTTTCAGAATCTTATGCGTTGAATATAACTTTTAGTTTCCATATCGAATCTTGTTTCAAAGATATCTATGCATTCAACAATTATCTCAAGTTAAGCATTTCTAAAAAATTAATTGATTTTATTACCTTGAATCAGTTTATTATCTGTGAGCTTTCTCAGTATCATTACAAGTTTGATCCCAATCTCCTTTTTCAGTTTATTTATTGAAAATAACCTATTTATATATCATATTTATTACAGCATCTTATGTGGCAATATCATTTCTGACTTCTAAGATCTTTTATCCCAAAACTTCATAACGAGCATTCAAATCTGCAATACTTCCTTCTAATCTTCTATTAGCTAATAATAATCTTTCTTTTTATGTTTAAAAGTCTAATTCTCTTCCATCATCTGCTTTCATTTCTTCTTTTTAAACTTGGAATATGCTATCAACAAGAGTATCAATAATTTTGACTACTTTTTGTGCTGCACTTTCTTAAGTACCTTCATCTTATAATACTTCTAATAACATGTTAACCATTGTATGGAATCCTTTTTTGTGAGGATAATATTTCAAAAAGTTTTAATGATGACTCTTCAATTCAGCAAAACTACTCTTCTTTAATGATGTTATTCCTTATGATAAAATTTATTTAGCTTCTTATAAAGCAGAAATCAATCCTACTAATTCATCTCTTCTTTATTCATATTCACCCTATTAAATTATTAACATATATAAATTTACTCTTTAAACATTACGAGCCTCTTGCAATACACTAATTCTATCTAAATTTCTTTATTCTTCTCCTTGTTTATCAAATAATTGTTATTTCTTATCATTTTATTCTTGTTATAAAAGAGGCAATCTATCTTCTGCTGTTGCTTTTCTTTCTTTAGCAACTGTTATCACTGCAGCTGCTGCTTCAGATGCTGTTTGACAACTTTACAATGACCCTTAAACATCTTCATCTTCAGCTCTCTATTCATTAAGTAGATCATCTTTCATTTGTTTAAGAAGATGCACAACTGTATCAGCAGGATGCTCTTGGAGTAATTATACTTGTAATGTCTATATAATTGTTTTTCCAAATTCAGAATCTCTTAATTAAGCAAAGAAATATTCGTCTCTTGCTAGAGCTACTCCTACTAGCACAATCAATACGATTAATTTCATTTTTATTTTAATAATTATTAAAAAACGAATATAAGAACTAATATTAATTACAATTAATCATCAAGTACCATAATTTTATATAAATAACTTCTATAAATACTTATTTCATTAAATGAATACCTAAAACTAACCTAAATTAATAAATATTAAAGTGTCCTCATTATAATTTTATATATATTGAATTTATTCCTTAATTTAATTATTGTAATTTTCAAAAATCTAATAATCAATTCCTGAATTTTAATTAGGATTTGAGATTTTTTATATAGATCTACATAATTGAGATTTATTACATTGAAAATTAGTTGATTGTAACACTTTTAATTTTAATTCATTGATTTACTAAAAATATAATATTTTTTTAATTAAAGGAGAGTGAATTGAATTTATCACATATACTACTTAATTTGCTTCCTAGAATGATGCAGCTTAAAAATGCTAATATATAGGATGGATTGATTTTTTGAATAGGTTTGTTTTTTTTGTATTTAATTATTTTTAAATGAATAAAGAAAACGAACTCCATCAATCTTGATATTAAAAAATCAAAGTTTCAAAATTCTAATATTCTTCCAACATTCTCTCGAGCCCATTAAATATATTTAAATAAATTAATGTCTTTAGAACCTGATTTTTAGTGTATTTCAATTCTAGGTATTTTTATTATTCTTTCCACTGTAATTTCAGAATTATACAGGGTAAATTAAATTAAACATTATTATTATATTAGACTTTAGGCAAAATTTTGTCTTAAGTAAATTGTTGTCTTTATAATAGAGATTTTTTTATATTGTATCCCAAATAATTAATCATCTCTTTTGAAATTTAAATTGATTATGATCATCGACATCTGTATTTGTGCTGTTAATTAATAAATATTATAAATATGATGAATTGCTATCTTCAATCTAGTAGAAACTTTTGTTTTTGATTTAATTAAGTTATTTTTTATAATTCAAAAATTTACTTTTTTAAAAGTTCATATTACTTTATAATTATTTAAATAGTGTTTTTTAATTTATATTTTATAGAATTTAGATAAAATACAACTTCACAATTTAAATGTACTAACATCCTTTTTTTATTTAATTAATTATTTTAATTCTCTAAGTTTTATGATACTGTATATTTAAGTAGAGTCCTTGATTAATTTATTAAAATACAATGCTGCGAATTTTTGATAATCTTTCTCTATTTAATAAATAAAAATAAATACTGAACGAATACTTTTAAGCATAGAAAAAGGTAGTATACTTGATAATATACATTAAAATTTTCCAGGCTACATGTTAACAATTGTGGCTCTTTAAATCGTATTTTCCACCATGATCAGCAAGCTTTTACATTTTCTCTTTTATTTATTGAATTGTGATATGCAATTATCTGATATAAAAATCCATTGATTTTGTATCTCAAGTATATTCACCATCATAAAAAGATTGTACTTAATCGCAATATTAATTTTTTCTCTAATTTCTACTTTATAAGCATGTACTTAGCTATCATCCATATATTCAACAATATGAAATTCAAACTTAGATCCAATCAGATCTTTCTCCATCTATTGAGGATCAATTATATCTTTCTAATAATTAGAAGTAACTGCAAGTATTGCTTAATGATATAGAGACCCCGCTTTTCCAGGAATTTTTTTTAGGTTTCAATTTTTTATACCTACATAAACAACTCTATTTTAAGAAATTGGAAGATGTGTTTATTTGCCACTAGAGCTTGATGAACCACCCATTCAACATTTTTATAATTATTATTTTTATTAATCAATTTTTTTCTCACACAGAATTGATATTATTAAAATAAATCTAATACGGAATTTTTGGAAAGATAATCAATATATTTTTCTATTTTATTTTAGGATGATTTGGCTAAAGGGGTTTGGCCATAAAATCAATAAAAAAATAGTAATAATATAATAGTAACCTTTCAGTAAGCAAACTTATAAAGATAAGTATATAATCATAACCATTGTGTTAGTATTTTTTAAATTTAATCGATTTTCTAATGGAGTGAACTTCTTTAAATAATTTTGAATGATTGGCCTGATTAATAAACAAATTCATATTCATTTTAATCTATATATAAAAGTTCTATAACAAGTTTTTCTAAAATAAATTCTAGATATTTAGATAATTTATTTACTTATTTCAAAATGAAGGATGAATTTGGGATATGAATTTCAGCAACTAATTTGTGTTTACTCTTATTCCATATATGTTTGTCACAAAGATTCTTTGGTAAACAGTATCTAGAACCATTAAGATCATCTAAACACATCTATCAATGAAATTTTGAATGTGTAAGCCACCAAAATTATATTATTTGAAAAAGATTTATACTCTACAAATCGGAATATAGTTAATAAATGATAATTAGACTAATAAAAACCAAGGATTAATTTATGCTTAATTTTTATGGAATCAAAAAGATAATTTATAATTATTCAATACTTGTTTTGAGACCTTATTGTATCAGTTGTTATTTTTGCTACAATTTAACAGTTCCAGCTCGTACCATCGTAGCTTTAGCGTCCACTGATTAAAGTCATTTGGTTATAAATATACTCAACTGAAAGGGTTGAATTTTTCTTGATATTTATTATTTCAATTTCTGGCATTACTTTCCAATTATCTTGTTCATTAGAAAATGATTTTAGACTTCCATCATCACAATTAACAATGTTTTGCATATTAATCTCAAGTTTTTTTATTGAGCTATCATTTGTGTATTCAATTATATATTTACTTTTAGATGTAATAATCAATAAAGCCTAATGATAGAATATTGGTAATGTAACTTTGAAATCCCCAATTATCTTCACTGAACGCTTTACATTTATTATTTTCTAAATTTCTTCATGCCCATCGTTTTATTGATATGAAGAACTTGAGCACAAACTCTAACTTGAACCTGAACCCGAACTCTAACTTGAACTTGAACCCGAACTCTAACTTGAACCTGAACCTGAAATTGAACCCGAACCTGAACTCTAACTTGAACCCGAACTCTAACTTGAACCTGAACTTGAACTTACCCCCATAATAATTATTAATTGTAATTCTATTAACTAACTTTTAATAATTTTTATGTGGTAATTACTATATATTGCAAAAATTGTAGAGATTGGAAAGCATCAGGGGAAAAGCATCTTAATGCCATATCATTAGTAAGATATAATAGTGAAAATTGTTATGTATAATATAGTTGAATTCTAAAATAATATATACACATTAAACTAAAATTAAAGAAGAACCATAAGCTAAATCTATTAGAAAGAAAAATTTATAAAGATACAATTTAAAAGAAATAGTCAAAAATGCTAGTTATAATATAATGAAAAAAGAAGTCTAAGAGATTTGTGTTGATAAAAGTTAATGGAAAGCAATTCAGAGTTAATCTATTTATCATTATGCCTTGCTTATAATTACTAATTTTATTTCCACCAAAGATTTTGATATTGCTGAATATTATTATGATCATACAGTGTATTGTAATAAGATTCAGAAAAAAAAATAATATACTAAATCTGAATGCATAAGATAGGTTCATGAGAGATTTTTTATTTTGGAAATTAAAACAAATTACATTATCATCCCAAATTAAAAAAAATTCAATTCTACCATGTTATTAAGATAATAAGAAATAATGATTATCTAAGCAGTTTTAAAGGGAAATATTGCAAAAAATTCAGGATATCAAGATATGAAAGAGTAAATTTGAAAATTCTTTAGGAAGAAATTTTTATCATTTAAATAGTAAGAAGACAATAAGTTGAATTGCTACCAAAATATTACTTTGCCTTACTTTTAAATGACAAATTTATGATTGAAATCTTATTTGATAGTACTGTCAATTAATATTTATCATGTGAAAGCAAATACTAATGGGAAAAAGCGAGATTAAATGTTGTTATTTCGTCAAAAAAAAGGTTTTTCTGAAATAATAAATTAAATCTAAAAGATAATGAAGCAATATTCAATTGACTTTTGTTGTTATAAATTGAATCAAGTTGAATATAAATATTTTTTAAATTATTGTTTATCAGATATTGGGTATCTTGTTTTTTGATATAAAAAGAATAATCAATTACTACATCTGCTATACAATAATGATAAGCAACGAATATAAAAAAAGCTAAAATTCAATATATTTAATGGTCAGAATGTCTTAACTTTGTTCATAATTCTTCAAGGAAATACATAACTTAATATTATATTTATTCTTTGAAATTAAAGTTTCATATAATTCGAACATATTTATTTTCTAATCTTTTACAATTTTATTTTCTAAATTTAAAGTTTCTGAAGGTTTTATTCTCTTTCTTAAATTATTTAAAAATACAACAAAACAATTTTGTTTTTTATCGATGAATTGTAAGTCAATGAATTTATTTTTGAAGAGATCTATTCGCTCCTTTTTTTTATTTGAATTACAGAGGTGACCAAAGAATTTATTATTTCGAAATGCTTTTGAACTATTTGGTTTAATTTTTTGTATTTAGTTCTAATCGATATCATTTGTTATTATTCAATACACCTTTATTTATAATATACAATTCAATTTAATTTTGGAGTTGGAAATATATAAATTATTTAGAAATTTTAGATATTAACTTAAATATATTAATTCAATATTTTTTGGATATTTAATATAATTTTTATCTGGCCATATTTTCACCACTAAAATCTTTTTGATGTAATGTTCAACTTAGTTTAGTCTATTAACTAATCATATTTAAACAAAGAAAATTATTATTCATTATTTTTCAATTCCTCTTTAACTTATAAGTTGTTTTATTTAATCTCTTTGTTCAAACAAGAAATATTTTATCTTCATTTTATTCATCACTAATAATATATTTATTTTTTCATCAAATTTAAATCTTCAGATAAAAGCTTTTGATATATAATTAATTAAAATCGAGACCATCCTTTAGAAATGCTTTCAATTTAATCATAATTTAAAATTAGAAATATATTTGAATATTAGGAGCAATAAAAGAAAAGAAGCATAAAGTTAGCAAAGCAAAATAATAATTTCTAAAATATGAGAGGTAGGGAAAATAGGAAGTGTATATAAAATATAAGAAACTCAATTTTTTGTCTATGTGAAATAAATCTCTTAAACAAATCTGCTTTTTAAATTTAACTTTTGTTCATCTTAAATATTTAAATGTTAAATTATTTACTTAATTTGATTATTAGAATTCTTACAAATCTAATAATAAATTCATGAATCCTTTTATAAATATAATTGATTTTCTAAAGAATTTGATATAATTAGGATTTCTTTTATTTAAGACAGAAATAAAATTTATTTTAATAGATTAATTTTATTTTTAGAAAATATTTTAATAAAAGATATATAAGTATATTTCAACTTCCTAATTTATTTTTTTAGTATTTTAGAAATAGTTACGCAAATTTCCAGTTAGAAGGTATCCTTTTTTTAATTCAGATTTAAGATAATATTTAAATTTAGCATTATCCTTATTTTCTGCTCCACTTCCTTTATAGAATCTAAATGTATGCAAATCTGAACTTATTATGGAAATCTTCATAATAAGAGGAAAGTTTATGAAAATTATTAAAATGTATCTCCATCTAATCCTTTTTATTTATAAATGAAGTATTTGTATCTTAAAGTAAAATTATTTGAAGAAAAATAGTACTTCTCAAAACAACATACAACTTTTCAGCTATCTATCTCATCTATAGTTATCATTCAATAAAACAACTTCATCTTTAACCTATTCTTTTTCCTCTGGTTTTTCTATAGAACGATAATCCATTAATAATATTTCAATATTTAGGAGATAGATGTGATTAAAGCTCTAATTCTATTAATTAAGTAATCTTTATTATTTTCAAAAAATTAATAATTTATAATTATTTTTAAACAAATCATAATTATCTATTTATTTTATTAAATTCAATCTTGCAAGAAAAATGGCTCATACAATTTATTTGTAAATGAAGAGTTGATTGATATATCTTTATTTAACTCATAGAATCTTTTCTTTTTGTATCCTTATCAATATATATTTTTTAATTTACTTAATAAAGTCTAAAATCTCTAAAAGAAATACTGTAATTATTCAAAATACAATTTATTTTAAATAGATAAATTTATGAGCTTATCTATTCTTTAAGGAATATTTAATTATTAGATTAATATTTATAAATATAATATAATTATATAATTAACAATAAAATATATTTGTATTATGTTAATATAAAATTATTAAAAATGAGTTTGCAATAGATTGAACAACTCATAAATCAAATAAAAACAAGTTATTAGATGCCAAATAAAGAGTTTTAAAATACATTCAAGCATTTTGAGAATTGTGTTTAATCATTAAAAAAAGAGAATTAAGAATAATTGAATAAAGTTTATAAGGCTTTGAAGAGATTTCGAAGAAGATTGGAAAATGAGTTGAAATTAAATTAGACTGATTATCATGCATTTATAAAAAAATGGAAAACTATGAATATAACATTTGTTCCTCTAGTTTATGATGTGAAATTGGATTTTAGTAAAAAGATATCAACTCTAAGTAATATGATATAGTATATGAAGAATATGAGGATTTAATAAATGTTAATTTTAATCATCACCATTATACAAGCAAGGAAATGTTGAAAGCATCTATGATGATATTTCATCATTTGGAAGTAATTTAGCTGGGTTAAATGCTAGGTTGAACAATATGCAAATTACAATAATTTAGAGAATCTATTGACATAAATTAATCTAAATTATAACATTGTTTCTTATCATAACTTTACTCATGCATTTGCTTTATTCTAAGTATCTATTATATATAAATTAGTTATTATTTTGTGTTTATGAGAAATCTGATCTTAAATTTTTTGTTACTAAGTAAGACATATTTGCAGCTTTATTGGCAAGCTTAAGTCATGATCTAAATCATAGTAATAATATGAATTAATAATATTAAAGAGGGAGTTAATAATTTATACAAAGTTAAGAAATCCAAAAAAATAAATAAAAATATATGTGAATAAGCAGTTCTTGAAACTATGCATGTTTCAACTTTATTTAATATTATGGCTAAGAATCAGTAACTAAATTTTTTTAATTAATTGCCTAATATATAATAACAAGAATTTAAGAGAATAATAGTGAGTTCTATCTTAGCCACAGATATGGGATAACATTTTAATATCTTTAGTAGTTTCAAAGATAGAGTAAATGCAACTATTGATTTATGTGATAATCAGAATATAACTGATCCTTTAATTAGATATAGAGGATTTAACAAAGATAACTTTGATGATAGAAAAGTAATTATTAATATTTAAATTAGTTTATATTAAATGTATTGGTTCATGCTTGTGATATTTCAAATCCATGTTTGGAGTGGGATGCATATATGAAATGGTCCTTTTTATTAGCTCAAGAGTTTTAAGATTAAGTATATAATATATTAAAATAGACTATAAAAGAGGCAGCAAAAGGTTTAGAAGTAACAACAATGTTGTAATATAAAGATAAACTTACCTTCTTTAATGGCTAAACATTTTTCTTAAGTAATTTTGAATATATATTTAATTCTTAGATACATTTGTATTGCCATAATGGTAGACAATTGCAACATTGTATCCAAGTCTCATAGATTTACCTAATGAAGTCAAGAGAAATCTGGAAATTTTGGAAGAAGAGAAAAAGAAGTTAACCAATTGATTTTAGTGATATTAATAAATATCCAATATAATATGAAGAAGGCAGTAAAAGAGGCTGAGAGAATATCTTCTAAAATATCATCTCCTATGATTGTTGATTTATTTGAATCTCAAGGTTCAGGTATATTACCATATTTAAAGAACTCATTGAAAACTAGATTAGCATTAAATTAAACAGAATCTTGTTTTATTGGTAATAGAAGTATCAAAGTTATTTAGATTTTAAACGAAGTTAGTTTCCTTTATTTGCAAAAGATAGATATTTTGAATTTTTAGAAGCTTATAATAGAAAGGATAAAGTAGATTTAATTAGATTATTGTCTGTGCCATTATATGATGTATTTGTAATATTTGAAATATTAGATTGTAAAAGCAAGTCTTAAAGATAATAAACCTTTGCCTTTTAAATTATATAAAGAAATGACTGATGCTTAATTAGTTTAAGCTAGATTATTTTCATAAAAGAAGATGGCATTATAATCATCATAAACATGGCATCAAATTACTGTTAAATTTAATTTTATTGATCCAGAAAGTAAGAAAGATGTTGTAAAATACAATGTTTTAGAAAGAAGAGAATCAGATAGTTCTGAAAAGGATTGGCGTATATGTAAATTAGATTGATTTAAAACCACACATATATTTTATGCTATTTGCAAAATAATATTATTTATATGCTAAAATAGTTGATAATTTATCAATAATATTTTATAGTTATATTTTATATGCTCAAAATTCCTTGTAAGTATCATCCTAATTCATATGTTGAAAGAATATGTGCAAGTTCATCTTGTAAAAGAGATCCTACATTATGTTGGGAATGTATGATTGATGAAGCTGATCATGCTAGAAATCATAGAGATGTTATGGTATTTTTGAATTTCAAATTTAGATTGATTTTGATAATTTTACTACTAGACTAGATGAAGAGTTCAGAAATGTGTTGGAGAAGAGAAAAAAAGATTAAGCATTAGCTATGGAAGGACATTTGAAGTTATTACAAACTAAATAAGATTTTATAGATAGATATGAATCATAGATCAATAACAGAAAATGTTGGGTTGATTACATTATAGCTGATACAAATAATCTATTAATTTAATTATTAGAGAAAGTGAAATCAGAACTTTATGAACATTATGATGAAAGATTTCTTTAATATTAAAATTCGTTAAACTTTATAGTTTAATCTATACAACATAGATATGGTTTGGTACCACTTCCTACAAAAGAAGAAATGTTTAATACATTATAAGAGTTGTCTAAATAAAATAAAGAATGTAACACTTATGTAAGTGAATTGAAGATTAAATTATTACCACCTGAAGATTTAGGCAAAAATCTAGCATTTATAGATACATATTAAGAATTTTAAATTTAAAATGATCTAATTGAAGAATTAGAAAAATAATGGGCAGAAACACCTTAGACTGATCCAGATAATCCTACATTTTAATAGGAATAAAATTTTATAGAAATTATGAATTCTATTAAATAATAATGTGAAGTACTTATGGATGAATTCAAAACATAAATTAATTTAAAAGATTTAATACTTTCAAGAAATACTCAATATTAAAATCCTGATGAATCTTTAAACAGTATTATTAATTCATAATTCTATTCTAGTTCTAAGTGATGTCAAGAATTAAACTTCTGATCATAAATTAACAAAAACATAAAGATAATATGATAGTCCTAAACTATTTGAAACTGTTTAACCTAATTCTCCTGTTTATAATGCTGGAATTGAAAATAATAATTCTTAAGCCTTGAAATTCTAATCCAGTTAATAAAGTAGAATATCTAGCTAATCACGTATTAAATTTTATAGAACTGTTGAAACATCATAAATGAGAGGAGTTACTAGTTTATTATAAGTAGATTAGAGAACTATTGCTTCTGGTAGTAGAGATAAGACAATAAGAATTAACAATTTAGAAGTTCCTCAATAAAGTTATACTTTAGAAGGTCATGTTGATTAAGTTACAGCTCTTTGTATGTTTTAAGAAAAGTTATTAATTTCAGGAGGAGGTAATCTTGATTCTTCAATAATTATTTGGTCTTTGTCTACTAGAAAATAGATTAATAAATTAACAGGACATTAATCTGGAATCACATCTTTAATTGAATTATCAGATAATCATAGTATTTTAAGTGGTAGTTATGATAATTTGGCTATAATTTGGAATGTTACTTCAGGTAAATCTATTTGTGCATTAAAAAAACATACAGCTATGGTTTCATGTCTATAACTTGTAAAAAGAGATATTGTTGTAACAGGTTCATGGGATAGAACATTAGCTATTTGGTAGTTATATTTTGAAGGAGAAGAAATAGTATCTGCTTCTTATTTAAGAGACATTAAGACTGAAGGAGCTGTTTTATGTGTAAAAAAGTATTCTGAAAGAAGTATCATTTTTGGAGGAACTTCAAATAAAGTTTCAGTAGTGGATTGGATGAATGGAGAGATTAAACTAAAGTTAAATACATCTTAATTTGGTATTTGTGATATCATTTGTTCTGATTATCTATTGGGATTAGGGGCTAGTGATTCTACAATTAGATTATGGGTTAATAATTAAGAAATCGAAGTCTATAGAGATCATAAAATTATTATTAATAACTATAATACAAATCCAAAAATGATATAAGTTTGCAAAAATCAGATTGCTGTTATTAATAATAAAGATGAATAGCCTCATTTCAATATATTTATTATTGAATGATTATATATATTTAAATTATTTAGATTGTTTTTAAAAAAATAAAAAATATGCCTTTGGTGGGGGTCGATCCCACGACCTCGAGATTATGAGACTCGCGCTCTAACCAACTGAGCTACAAGGGCATCTCTATTAAAAATGATCAATCCCCAATATTTATAAGTAGATTAATATAAAGATTTATATGAATAAATTTTTAACGAATTATAAATAATTCAAATTTTAAACCTAAATGAGATCCTTTTAAGTTAGCAAAGACTCGTCATTCAGGTATCATTTTATAATACTTTTAGGATCTTATGTCCCTCTAACAAAATAGAAATGGAAGAAGAAACTGTAGAAACATAAATCTAGTCAGAAATAAAGAATATCTATAGACCAATTAAAATTATTCTTCCTCCTCCAAACCTTCCTAAAATTGTTACAAACACTAAGTAAATTTAATATTTATATCAGAACATGTAATTGCAAGAAATCTTAATGTTTAAAATAGTATTGTGATTGCTTTGCTAACGGATAAGTATGCTCTGAAAATTGCAATTGTGTTGGATGTTTTAATAATTCTCTCAATAATTCTTAAAGAAAAGAAGCAAAATTATAAATATAAGCAAGAGATCCAAGGGCATTTAAATAAGCCTTTAAAGGATGTAATTGCAAAAAATCAGGATGTTAAAAAAAATATTGCGAATGCTTTTAAAATAATTAATAATGTACACATTAGTGTAAATGTGAAGGTTGTGTAAATTGCTTAAAATGAGTGTTTTAGTTAAATTAATATTTCTTATGCTGTGTTAATTTGCATAAATATAATCCTATTCTCTTTAATAAATTCATCAAATAATTTTATAGAGTTGATAAAAATATTTAATAATGAACATATTAAAATCATTGTAATTTACTTATAGTGTCTTTAATTGATTTTATAAGTTCATCTCTTTTGGCAAATGTAACATTTTATTAAAGAACATTTAAACATTCTTAAAGTTTTTCTTTTTATAAATTTGTATCACCAATAAATTTATAAAATTCAGCTAAAAGGGAACTTTTCTTATATGAATTAGAGAATTTAGTAAATGCTATACTTTCAATCTTATCTAAAATTTTTCTTAACTTAAAAAATAAATATTTAATTATACTTATTCAGTTGATTCCTTTTAATTAAATCTTTCCAAAAATTCAGTTCTTAATCTTTAGAATTTAATAATCTATTCAATATCAGAAATGTATGTAATGTTATATGATTCTGATGATAATTATACAATATAATCTTTAGCTGATAAGTAATTTTGTTCATTAATTGCCAATTCTAATAATGTAACAAGAGTCTCTCCATACAATTAATGTGAAGAATCAAAATAGGATTTAAGAATATTTAATTATGCTTTGCATTATTCCAAAGCATTTTTATGATCTCCTTTAGCAAGTAGAGCTTAAATGCGTTATTAATTGAATTCTAATTACATTGGAACATCTTATTGTATTTTAGACATTAAATCATTTAATTTCTAAATATCAGTATCAAAGTATTTATTTAGAAATAGTTCATATCTAATCAAAGAATATAGTGTATTTTCATTTTCTTTAGTATTTTTGGCAATATCATCTAGTTTATTCTTGATTGTTTTCATATCTTCCACATTCCCATTTGTTTGATATAAATAATTAAATTATTCAATTAATGTAGCAACATAATTTTCATCATTTGGACTCAATAATTTTTATTCAATTAAATAATCAAAGTAAGTTAATGCAGCATCAATTAATTATTTTCCATCTTCAAATCTTCCTAATTATAAACAAGACTTTGCTAAATTTTTCAATATTATAGCTTCATTAATAAGAATGTTCATAAAATGTCTTTTTAAATCATCCTCCTTTAATTCTGTTTTTATTGTAATTTACTTAGAAAATACTAAAAATTATAAGAAATCATTACTTTTTCTAAATAGATGTCCTGTATTATCAAGTAAAGTGGCAGCAATTCCCAATTATTCAATAGATTCATTAAACTTTCCTCTTTCTTAACAAATTTTTGAATATAATGATAAGTGTGTAACCATATTTTGTATATGTTATAATTCTTATTCAAATAAATTTTCTGTATTTGGTGTTTAATTTTAAATTGAAGCTTAATAGATAGGACATTAATTATCTATAAAGTATTAGAGATATTAAACAGCTTCTCCAGCTGATTATTCAGCAATAGATAACTTATCTAAATTTGACATACAATGAATCATAAATAATCCTGTTAAAAATGCTTAATTTTCATCTTTATGATCTTTAAATTCATTTCTAAAATCACCTTACATAATTTCATTTAATAATTTGCTACATTCTTCTCTTTTATCATTTTCAAAATTTAATTAAGCAAGTACTAATAAATCTCTTCTATATCCTTCATAAAATTTACTATAAAATTTATAATATGAAAATACTTTTCTTCTTATTTATTTGGAAATAATAAAGTATTTAATTACTTTTTTACATCAATAACATCTAACATAATTTTTTCTTTTTGTTTGTATTCTTCAATCTCATAAAATTTAGAATTCAATTCTGTCAATTTGTTTTTTAATTAATCAATAGTTTGAGTACCTGTTGTAAAATAGAATCTTTGATAGTAATTAAATAATTTGAAATTTTATCCAATTCTTTAACCACACACATTAGTGCCTAACTTAAATAATTATTTGATCATAATTAAATTTTTATAATTTATTTAATTTTTATTAAAATCCTATTTATTTTTATTTATGTTAAATGATATTAATTCTATAATAATCTTATATTAACTAAATTTAATAATACTACATATAACAATAATAAAATATCATACAAAATGATTGCTGGATGTAATACTAGAATATCTTTGTTAGAGAATGCAACTTATAGTTTTGAAGAGAGGAGAGGAACTCAATTAAGATTAAAAAGTTCTTGATTTTACTCTATTTTATGCTGTAGGCAATATCATTTTTTTTAAACCAATAAGACTTTTCATTTAAGTTTATGTTGTACTTAAAGGACTATCACAAGATTATTTATCTAAATATTCTTCTGGGAAATGAGTTTTAATCATTAACTTTTTTGGTAATTTAGGATAATTATTTGGTATTTGCTATTATTACTATTATCGTTGGGTTTATTATGATTATAGCCTCTATACATCTGTTTATTATTATAAAAAGTTATAACATCTATGAGTTTTAAGAAAGAGCTCAGATTAAGTATGGGATGCAACTTCATATGATACTTTAATGGGTTGTTTCCTCAATTTTTATGATGCTAAATCCATTTATAATTTGATTTAATTCATTCTCTATTTCTTTTTATTTTAATATAATAAGAGATTTTGTTTTGCTATTGTTATGGGTTAAGATATCTTTTCTTATGAATTTTCTTCAGGAACTTCTGTTTTAATTCTCTTGCAAAAATATTATGGATAGAAACTTGCAGTTTTTATATCTGTTTCAGTTCTTAAATTAGCTAATTGTTAAAGTTCAATTCTATGAAGCTTAAGATCATCTCCTTATTATTCAAACATTCTTTCTACCAAAGATGTTCTATTAATTTTATATGCATAGCCTTTTGATGAATTACAAACTAGGGAATATTCATATGGTAAATTAATATTAAGATGATAGAAACCAAACACTTGTAATTCACCTATTTCAAATAACTTAATTGATTATTTATTAAATTTACGTTAACACTTGTTTAATTCGGTTTCATAATTTTTTTAACTAGAAAACTTCCAGATTTAATCAAAATGAAATAATCAGCTTTTTATCCTTCTTTTATGACAATTTAATTCTTTTCAAATTCATATAGAAAAGAATTTAAATATATATGTTTTAATTATGTTCTATGCAAATGGGAAAAAATTCTTATTTAAGAAAAATAATCAATATTCTTAAAATAATAATAAAGTGATTTACTTCATCCAACTATTTTTATTATTCTTCTTATAGAATATGTTTAAATTATTGTTTATCTAAAACAGCAAAAGTGCAATCAGTATTACATTAAATTGTAGCAAGTCTTGGTTATTTATGTAATAAGGCTAATTCACCAAAGGATTCTCCCTTATTTAATATTCTAACTGCTTCCATTTCAGATTGATTTGGTTTTCTGACTAAAACAGTGACAGATCCTTCCAATATGATGTAGAATTTTGTACCAACACTGTCTATTAATATTTAATGATATTATTTATACCAACATAGAAAACAATTTCATTTGCTTTGAATTTTTCACAATACATGTTTTTGCAACATTTCCTTTAAATTTATAATCCATTTTCTTGTTTCATGTACTATTTAAAAAATGGAAGCTATGATGTTAATTAGAGTAATAAATTAATTTCTGCTTTGCTTCTGTGTTAAGGACTCTTCTTTAATAGAAACTCAACTTCATCTATTTATTTTTACATTTTTTATTAAATGTTAATAATTAATAAAATTAGACATATCATAAGTAATTTTGTTCCAGCAACCATTTATTGTAATTAAACGTTAGATATGTATTTGAATCAGTCTCTTCTATGGTTGAATATAGGTATTATATAAATAAAAGATGTAAATATTAAAAATAAAAAAATGATATTCTAATTATTATTGTGAAGATTAAAGGAAAATGAAGTTTATGTTGTAATATTTAAATAATGAAATTCGTTTTATTTTTATTGTATACTATTTCTTTTTAAGGTATACTGAGTGAAAAGGTTGAAGTGAAGAACAAATGTAAATGTAGTAATATATTGACAATGGAGGAATGTAATATTCATTGTGAATGGGATTTGGATACAAAGAAGTGTAAAGATTCAAGTCTTCCATTAATAAGAACAAGTTATTGTTCATTTTTATAAGATAAATGTAATAAGACTATAGGTTGTGCTAATTATAATGGTATTTGTGTTCCATTTGCTGGATGTACAGCAATCAAATAAAATACAAATTATGAATGTCAAAAATATTCAGAACTTTGTATAACAGATGGTTTAAAATGTATAGAAAAGGGTGTTTGTGCAGATTATAAAACTAGATTGTCTTGTCGTAATAATTATATTAATAATCAATGGTCTGGATTTTGTTATTGGGATAAAATGGAATGTAGAAATGCATAAAGTTGTCATGAATTATCACATAGTTTAAAAAATGATGCAGAATGTAGATAATAGTTTAGTTGGTGTACATTTAAAATGGGTGGAGGTTGTGAAAATTCAGGAGAATAATGTAAAGATTAAAAATTCTAATAATAATGTGTGACAAATAAAAAAGGGAATGTGAAATGTTATTGGGATGGATAAGAATGTAATGATTATTCTTGTAAGTATATAAAATAAGATTGTGTAAAAAAAGGATGTTCAATAGATGAGGATTTTTTATGTATGGATAGATTAGAATGTAATGAATACAAAATTGAGAGATCATGTACTTATAATAAATCAAATATTTAATGTATGTGGGAAGACAATGTATGTAGAATAAAATTATGTGAGAATGCAAGTATATAAAGATAAACTAATTAATAATGTTAATAAATAGATATTATGTGTATTACTAAATTTGGAGGAGGATGTAAGAATAATGGGGAATGTGAAGAAGCTAATACTAAAGCTGGATGTTAATAGAATATAAGAGGAGATTCTTGCTATTGGAATGGATATAATTGTGTAATAAAATAATGTTAATGGGCACCTGTTATTTTTCAAAGAAAAGATGAATGTTAAAATTTCTAATCAACTTGTGTTTATAATGGTTAAATATGTATAGAAGAGGGATGTTATGCATAATCAGAAAATTTAAGTTGTTCTGCTTCTAAATAATGCAAATGGTTAAAAAAATGTGATATAAAAACATGTGAGACTGCTGGAAGAAATATAATATACATATCTCATGATGAATGTTAGAATTATTTACCAAATTGTACTTTAAATGATTCAGGTATAGGATGTATGCTTATTAAATATTCTTGTAATTAATATGTAAGATAGATATAATGTTATTTGTCTATATAGAGTAAATGTACTTGGTATGATAATTAGTGTTTAGATAGTAAATGTGAATATTTAAATTATAAAACTCATTATGAATGTAATAATTATTTAAAAAATTGTACTAGTGATGGATAAAAATGTATAGAATTGAAATTAAAATGTTCATAATATACTGAAATTCATTCATGTAATATTAATTAAGACAATCAACATTGTGTTTGGTAGAATAATACATGTTAAGATGTTACTTGTGATTCGATTCCAAAAAGTTATTATTATAATACTCATTAAGATTGTAATACTTATTTATAAAAATGCACTATTTTAGAAAGAATTACAGGTTGTATTAAAATGCCATCTGATTGTAGTTTATTAAATTAAGAATAATGTTATGGAAAAAAATGCATTTATATAAATGGATTATGTCGTGAAAAGGAATGTAAAGATTATAAGGGTGATATTACATAAGCTAATTGTGAAAACTTTATTGAAGGTAAAAAATGTATGAGAGGTCCAAGTTTGATACCTAATAGTTGTGTTGATTAAGTATAAGAATGTTTAGAAATAAAAAATGAATATTAATGTGAAGATGCAAAAGATAATCATAATAATAAATGTAGATGGGAATTTTCAGCTTGTATTAAATGGACTGAAATTTTACTAAGAAAAATAAATGGAAACTGTCCAGATGGTTCAATATCTTTTGATGATAACTTTTGTAGTAAATAAAAATAATGTAATGATAAAGATATAGCTACAGTAGAATATACAGATTAAATATGTGAAAATTATCTTATTTCTTGTTAGAAAAATACAATTAATACTTGTTAAGAAAAATTGGTTAATATTTCAAGTGGATGTAGTTTTTATTTATCTAAAATAAATTGTATTTCATAATCTAATTGTTATTGGTCATTTGATAATACTTGTAAAACAATAAAAAGTAATTGTGATGAATTACTTATCAAAGAAGATTGTTAAGATAATAGAGAAGAATCAGGAACATATTGTAGTTGGGATGATGATAATACTAGATGTTAAAATATTTGTGAAACATTGACTCCTAAGAATTTATCATGTTCAATTTTGGATCCAAAATGTATATTAAAAGGTAGTAATAATGAGAAATGTATAAAAAAATTAGAAAATTGTTCTGATTATAAAGTGTCAGAATAGGAATGTGAAGATGATGATAGATGTACATACACTTTTGGTTTTTGTATAGAAAAATAGTGTTCTGATATAACAGATAGTTTAACACATGATGAATGTAATTCTTATAAATCAGAATGTACAATTGCATATCCAGGAGGTTGTACAAATTTATTACCTAAATGTTCTGATTATAAAAGTGAAATTTAATGTCATATTAATAATTTATCAAAAGATTGTTATTGGTTTGAATATAAAGGATGTGTTGAATAAGAATGTAAAGAAATTACTTATGATTCAGAATTAGGTGTAAATCAATGTTTAACATTTTTTGATAATTTAATTTGTAATATAAATGAATTAGGTAATGGTTGTGAAAATTTAAAAGATTCTTGTACTAAATATAACAATGAAAAATAATGTCAAAAATAATTAGATGGATATGAATGTATTTGGTAAAGTGATACATGTGTATAAGCACTTTGTGAAAATATTGAATTAAATATTTATACACATGAAGATTGTTATAATTAATATGAAAAAGTAAAATGTACTGTTAATTAAGATAATGATAGATGTATTGATTTATTTTCAGATTGTAAATTATATATAACAAAAGAATAATGTTTAATAACATTAAATAAAGAAGATTGTGTTTGGGATCAATTATATTCATAATGTAAATTTAAATCTTGTAAAGATGATATACCTAATAATTAGAAATGTTCTGATTATCTTTCATCTTGTATGGAACCACAATATTTGTGTAGAAATGTAATTTGTGAAGATTATGAATATGATAATGATGAAGAATGTAAATTATAAGATAATAAATGTACATCTAATGGTCGATTTTGTATATAAAGAGGAACTTGTGAATAAAATTAATATAAATAAGCATGTAATATAGATATTAACAATAAATTATGTAGTTGGAATTTTGTTAAATAATAATGTAGTTATGTGTAATGTCAAGATGCTCCATCTTCATTAATTCATACTTAAGAATGTGAAAAATACTTTCCAAATTAAAATTGTATTACTAAATTTGGAGGAGGTTGTCTTATAGTAACTGGTTGTTTTGATTATACAATTTAAGGATAATGTGATGAGAGTAAACTCTTTGATTGTATTTGGTAAAATAATACATGTAGATCTAAATTATGTTCAGATTATAAAAATAGTTATATTTTAGAATGTTAATCTAAACCATAAAATTGTACTACTGATGGTACAACATGTATTGAAATGAAAAATTGTGCACAATTATCAAAATAGTCTTGTTTTATTGGTATAGATGGAATTTGTTTATATTTAAATGATCGTTGTTAACTTTATCAGAATTGTTAATCAATTTACTTCACTTCTCATTAAGAATGTTATGATGCTTTATAAAATTAATGCACTTCAGATGGTATTCAATGTATACCTATAACATATTGTGATTAATACAGTAATTAAAAATCATGTGTAAAAGGAATTGATGGAGATTGTGCTTGGGAAAATTCTAAATGTATAAAATTTACATCTTGTAAGAATTATCTTTATAAAACTCATGAAGAATGCAATTCAATTAATTAAAGTTGTACAAGTGATACTATTAATAAGTGTATTGAATTATTAGAATGTTCTAAATATGTAGAAAATAATTGTAAAATTGATAAAAATGGAATTGTAAAGAAAGATGGTTTAATTATAAAATTAAATACATGTATTTGGAAAAATTAATAATGTATTAATATTACATGTTCAGATCTATATGGAACTGATCATTTAAGTTGTTATAGATAAATGTCTACTTGTACTTCAGATAGTGTAAAATGTATTATTATGGAAAAAACTTGTTCTAATTATTCAACTAATATTTGTGATACAGCATATAGTTAAGAAGGTAAATGTGCTAATTTAAATTCTATATGTTCAATAATTGATTGTTCAATTAAAACTGTAGAGAGTTAATGCAATGTTTTGAAACATTGTTAATTTATTAATGGTTCTTGTTAATCATATAGTAAATGTTAAGAATACAAAACAGAAAAAGATTGTACTATAGGTACTGATGGATAATGTGTATTTAAAAATTCTTAATGTAAATTAATGTCTGATTGTACTGAGGCTAATACAAAATAACTATGTTCAACAAAAACTTGTTATTGGAATGAAACTTCATCTAAATGTTAACCACATTAATGTGAAACTTATGCAAATTAAAATTCTTGTGGATTATTTTACAATTTTTAAAAGAATTAAATAACATATTGTGCTTTTGATGATAAAGAACGTGTTTGTAAAGAAATAAGTCCAATATCATTTACTCCTGTTGATTGTTTTTAAAAATCTCTTGGATATTTCTCAAATTTAAATGGAACATGTCAATCTTGTAATAATTAAAATATACCCAATACCAATCCTAATTAAACGGATAATTATACTACCACACCAACTAATAGTGATTCCCTTCTATTTGGTAGTGTCTTTATAATAGGTTTATTAATTATCATTTGAAAATACATTCATCATTTATATATTAATTATTATTTATGTTTAAACATGCTGGCACTTCAGAAAATAAAGCATTAATTGAAGTCAATATCCATCAACTCAATATTAATATATCTGTTCCAAATTGTGAAGTTATGATTGTGTTTCAAAGAGGAGACAGAAAAGCTTAAACATAACCAGTCTCATTGATTAACAAGTGTGCCAAAATAGAACAAATCCTAAGAATTCCTGCAACTCTCTATTATGATGTCAAATAAAAAGAATACTAAAAGAAAATGGGTACCTTAATTATTCTCATCAAATATGAAAAGGGAATGAAAAATGCAGGTCAAATTGAAATTGATTTCTCATCATACTTAAATTAAAAAAAAGGAAAAATAGATGAAATCTCTCCACTTGCTAAATGTCCTGATTCAAATGCAACTCTTTCATATACTATCAACTTCTTGAATTAAGATTAAAGATCCAAAACTCCTGAAGCCAATATTAATAATAGTATTCAAATCTCTAAATACAGTTAGGGAAGATCAATCCAAAGCTTAAATTGCATAATTAGATTTACAAAATAAACACTTGAAAGAAGAAAATATTAGATTATAAGAAGAAGTTGATCAATTTAGAACTTAAAATAAATAATAATAGATATAAATATAATAACTATTAAAATAAGAAGCATTACTTAAATAAAATTACTCTAAATCCAATTAAGAAACACCAACAGCATAACCTGAAGATTGTTAGAAATGTTATGAATTTTAATTAGAATTAGGTATTTATTATATTCTCTATATTGAAGAATTATTAAAAAAATAAAAAAACAATAAGTAACTTCCTTGTGATAAATGTATAAATTTAGAATAATAAATTGAATAACTCAAAAAGCAATATTCTCAAGGATAAAAGAAAGAAGCTTTGGATTAATAAGTTTAATTATTAAATTAAGCTAATACTAATTTAAAAGAATAATTATATGAACTTGAATAATAAGCTATTAAAATTAGAAAAGAAAATCAGGATCTTAAAAACAAATTAAATATTTAAAATTAATAATTAATAGATTGCAGAGAGAGAATATAAGAATTAGAAAATGATGATGAAGATGATAAACGTATTCTAGAATATCAAAAATTAATTGAAAAATCAAATGATGATCTTATAGAAATCTAATAAAAATTATTTTCATTTAAAACTGAATGTGATTAGCTATAAAAAGAAAAAAATGAATATGAATAATAATTAGGAATTTTGTCTAAAAAATATGATTCATTAGGTAATATTTTATTAAATTATTTAGAATTATAACTATTTTAATAAAAATAAAGATATGCAAATGCTATGCATGCATTTCTAAGCTTAGGAGATACAAATGCAATTGAAGTACTTGAATAGTTTAGTGGAGATTGAATTTTATTTTATTTTTGTTCAAAATTATTTGGGCAATAGTTTTACTTATTACTTATTTTTATATAATTGAAATCTATAATTTTATAATGCAAATTTCATTTTCATTTTAATATTTATATTTATATTTATAAATTATACAAAAATATATCATAAACAAAAAATGTATTCAGGGTTTAAATTGTTCAAGTCATTTTTATCAATAATAATTACATAAAATTAAGTTAATAATATATAAGTAAATTGGGTTAATTATAATAAATAAATAAAATATCTTGAGGCTGTCTCAAAAATAATATGAATATACTATTATAATAATCAATTATACTTTTGGCTATCTTAAAAAAAAGGATTATTATCCTCCCTATTATGATTATATTGATTTCATTTACTTTTTTTGGATTTTTATACAAAATATAAATTCAAATATTTGTTTAACTCAATTTAGATTAAAAGTCATCAATATTTGATTTTAATATTTCAGAAAATATCATTTCTTATTCTAATTATCATTAATTTGGCTCAAATATAATTATAAATTAATGTTCTTTTTGTTTTAATTAATATACATCTAATTTTAGAATAACAAGTTTAATTCATCTTATCCAAAAAATCATGGTAATTCATTCTTAGTTTAGAAAATTGAAGATGAAATCTCAAATTATAATTCTAGATATCATGATATTATTATTAGTGTTAGGGGTCTGTACAATTGGAATTTATGTTGAAGCTAAAATATTTTATGAAATCAGTTTAGAATCATCATATATCATGATGAATTCTATCGATATGAAGTAGGTTGATAGAATAGGAAGTCAAGTTGAATCTTATCTAATTACCAAACATTAAAGAAGTAAATAATAAATTAATAAAGGCATTTAACTTATTGATAATATTGCTTCTTTTTTATTTCACTTTGCTAATCAATAACATCAGTAAAACTTTAATGACATTTTAGACCTATGTCTAACAGAAGATGAATACAAAAATGCAAAATATATAAAAAATATACCAAAGTTCTGTTATTAGACACATGGTGAATAATACTAATAAATGATGTAGAATGACAATATAAAACTATTGTATTATGGACTTAAGGAACTTGATTACTATTCGTAACTTTTCAATATCTAAATACCTAATTTTTTATAGGTGGTTGACACAAGTTCAATAATATTTGATTCATTATATCCAACAGGATTACTAATTCAGAGTTATAATCCATAATAAAGAGCTTGGTATATTCAATAATAAATTTAGGTATCAAAATCATATTTCTTAAATAAACAAGACAAAAAATGAGTACTTTTTCTTTACTAATGTTTATTAAGTAATGTATGGAACTCAAGAATATAGTTTTTCAATTACTCAATCATTATTTAATAAGGAGAAGGAATTTTTTGCAATACTAAAGACTGTATTATATATAACAGACCCAAATTTACATAAAATATAATTTAATGTGTTATTAATAAATTAAGAAGGTTAAGTTATGTAGAATGGAATGGAAAATCATACAAATAACATAGGAATCTTATATATATATAATGAAACAATAACAGGTTTTAATTTAACAGATTGGAAATAAATTGAATTGAAAGCAAATTAAGATAGGTCACTTTAAGATTAAAATAGTAAGGATTCAATATTAATTCTTTATAATAAAGTATACAAACAATTTGTGAATTTAAAATGTAAAAAATTTAGAAAAGAAAATTTTACATTAATATTGTAAATATATATGTAATTTTAAATAGATTTACAAATATAACATCATAACATATTTTATAACAATAAATTTTGGATAAATAATATGAATTTTTACTTTAATATGGATAAGCAGTACTTATAATTTTTGGTTTAGCAATTATGTTATTTTGTTTGAGTTTAATTTTTATTAATGTTATCTGTAATCCAATTGTAAAATTAAGATAAAATGTTTCATAACATGTAATGGAAATTGGAAATAATACAGATAGAATGTTATTCAAAATAAAATCAAGAAAGAAGAATAAATAAGATTTAATTATTAAATTAAATGAAATGTTTATGAATATTTCAGATGTTGTGAAATTAAATTCAAATAAGAAGAGTGAATAATGTAGACTTATTGAGAAGATGTAGTATAATAAAAGAAGTATAAAAGAGAAATGCTAGTTTAATTAACAAATTAATTCTCTTAGCAATTCGTAATCAAATTCTATTGATTTAAATGAATTCAATACAGAAATATTGAAACTTTTAATGAATTAAACTAATTTTCAATAATGATATTTTTATGAATTATATATTTAACTTGATTATTTTATTGATTCATATAATATACATTATTCACTTAATATTAATAATTCTTTAAAGGTTTGATATTAACATATTAGATTTAGGTTATAAATCTCTTAATTATCTTAATAACTATGAATAAGTGTTTATAAATACTTGTGTATTTTGTGCATTTATATCTTATTTTTACACAATTATTTTATCACCATCTATTTTTGCATTTATGTTTAATGTTCTAATGGCATTAACCAACCATGATTCAGTTTCTTCTTCATTGAGTTATAAATAAGTTGAAAATTATCTAATTAATTAGTATATTATTTTACTTAATTTATACACCATTAAAGATTTTAATATAAGTTGAAAAGAAATATAGTTTACATGCATTTATAATTAAAGCTTTTTTCGATTTGATAATAAAGTCTTAATCAATCTCTGCTGAAATATCTTATATCATTTTTATTGCATTATCAAACTAAAATTTAACAATTATTTCTTCAACATAATTGAGTAAATGATATTATTTCAATTATTTATTAGTTTTAGTACCTATTATTGCAAGACTTGTATTTCCAATAAATTATTAATTAATTAATAATGCAACTGTATAGTAATATAATAAATAAGGTGCAATAGTATGAACTACTTCTAAGAATTATTCACCTGAAAAAAGTTCAAGGAAAGCATTTGTATCATCAGATATAAAACAAATCAAAACTCCTGCATGTAAAAGATCTGCTCTTTATTTGAAATTATATTTTATTTAATCTTCTTATTTAAGTAAGTCTTTAATTGCTTCTATACATACTGCAGCATTATTTGTATTTTTAAAGAGTCCAACTAGTTTACAATTCTAAATAAATATATGCATTTTTTTACTAATCTAGCCCATAAGAATCCATTTCTCAAATGATTTAATTTCTCAGTTGCTTCAACACATGGATATAGATTATCAACAATTTCAGTTGCCTTTTCATATTCTCCTTAATCAAATAATATTATTAATGCTTAATAAGCTTCTTCAACTGTCCATAAATTTTCTTAGATATAATCTACTAATGCTCTTTATCGAAGCTTAAGTAATTCTGCAACTGATGTTAGTTTTCCATTTAAATTGTCTTATTGAATGATTTAATCAATTTTTTCTTAAGGCACACCTAATTTTATTAACCTTTAGAAAAGTCTTGTGCCAAGAAGAGCCTCTGTTTCTTTAGATGTTTGTAATTGTAAGAATTGCACACATCCTAAAAAAACATGGGGATTAATGAATCTTTAGAAATGGTCCATATATTAAATCAAATAAAATATTTTGGGACTGAATATATTCCAAAGTTATGTTTTGGATTCACTTTTTTTTGAATGTGATGGATTGGCTTCTCTTTATAAATTTAATAAGTAGCTCCACGTAAATCATGTAATTCTGCCATTGCTTTCTTCTTTTCTTTTGGAGTTAGTTTCTAAAATTCTTCAAATTTTACCATTATATATTTTTATTAATGAGTAATTAGGATAGTGAACCAGAAATCGATGATTCAGAATTGGATGGAGTTTCAAAAAGTAATTCTTCGTATGGAGATCCAATAGAAAACCAAGATGATGAAGATGCTACCTCTGAATCTCAAGGTATTGTAATTACTTTATACTCACAAATAGGTTAGAAATCTGTGACTTCTGACTCTAGTGATGATGAAGAGGAGAATTAAATAATAAGAACTGGAGCTATGATTTAATAGAGTAAAGGAAGAAAAGTAATGAAAAATGAAAGAATTACTCCTCCATTTTTAACTAAATATGAGCGTGCTAGAGTTATTGGAACAAGGGCTTTATAAATTAGTAAGAATAGTCCTATATATGTTGATCCAAGTATTTAATGATATAATCTTATTATAGAGGAAACAACTGATCCTATTTAGGTAGCTTAATAAGAATTAAATGAGAATAAAATACCATTTATAATTAGAAGGTATTTACCAAATGGAAACTTTGAAGATTGGGAACTTTAAGAATTAGAACGCTTGGATTGAGATATCTTGTATGAATATAAATTTAATCGAAGTGCATAAATTATCATTTCAATCTATGTTCTTAAAATCTTGTTAATTTAACTTATCAATATAATTTATGTTAACTTTGGAAAACTTCAATCAAAGATCTTATAAATAACCCATTTTGAATAGGTATATACCTTATATAGTCAAAGTCCACGATCACTAAAAGCATGTTAAAGATGTGGAGTGTTAACTGAACAATTAATTAAAATAAGTATTAAGGAATTAAAGCAGAGAAATCCTGATTTAAGATTGAATAAATAAGGTTGGAAGATATTGTGGAGACATCATGAATAAAGAAGATAAGAAACATTATAATTATGTAGAGAGGAAAGAAAATAAATTATAATCTAAGATTAAGAGGAACATTAAAACAATTTATAAAATGATAATAATACTTTTTAAGTTTAAAATGTATTTGATTAATAAGAAATTCAAAAAATTTAAGAAAGAACTAATAAAGAAATATAGTAAATGTAATATTTTCAAAAATTGTAATAAGAAATTAATGAAAAGAGTTTAAGAAAATAATTAAAGAAATAGTAAAAAGAATAATAGAGATAAGAATAATTACAATTAAATAAAATTAAATAAGAATAAGATAAATTGAGAAGAGATTAAGAAAAAAAATTAAAGGAATAATAAGAAGAATAAAAATAAAAATAAATTGCATTAGAATAATATTAAAAAGAATAAGAAAGAGCTTAATAAGAAATTAAAAGACATTAAGAATTATAAGAAGAGAATAGAAAGAAAGAAGAACAAAAAAAGTTAAAACAATAATAATTCAGATAATAATTACAAAATAAGGAATTATAACGTGAAATTGAATTATAATATAAAAAGGAACTTTTATAATTTAAAGAAAAATAAAGATAATAAAAACTATTTTAGTAATAATAGGAAAGAGTATATGCATCTAAATTAGCATAAGAAGAATTAGCTCAAAAATTGCTTTAAGTAAAAGAATAATAAGAAAATAAATTGATTAAAATGCAAGAGGAATTTTAAAATAAATAAATTCAAAGTGAACATTAGAGAAAATTATTTGAGTAATCATAACATGAAAAAATTATGGATATATAAAAGAAAGTTTAAATCTAAAAAGAAAAGATGTTAAAATAATCTGAAAAATGTAAGATGTAATAAGAGATAAAATAAGAAATTAATATTTCCAAATAAAAATAGAAAAATGAGAGAATTAAATAAATTTAAGAATAAAAAATTATTGAACATTAATAAAAATTAGAACAATAAGAAATTGAAGAAAAGTAGATTAAATAAAAACTAGAAGAATTGAATATTATAAATAAAGATTAAAGAGTTGAATTAAATTAGAAACTCATCTTAAAGGATTTTATGATTAAAGAAAAATAATTATTTAAAAAATAATTATTAGAGCAAATCAAATTATAAGGAAATTAAAAATTGAAAAATAAATAATTAGCACTTGAAAAATTATATTAAAAACAACTTATGGAGAAATAATATTTATAATCTTGTTTTAATGAAAAATTAAAGTGGAATGAAAGTCTAAAAATATTACATAATTAAAATTAATAGAGTTAAGACACTGATTATAGACGTAAGAATTTATAATACTCAAGCTTCTACTGCCTTAACAAAATCCTCTTATGATATTCCAAGAGTTTAATCTACTGTCAATAAGAAAATGTAAAATGAAGAAAGAAAAGTGATTGAAATTTTGAAAAATCCCTAAAAAAGGCTAGATCTATAAGAACTTGAAGAAAAATAATATTAAGAAATGATTGAAGTACTGGACCAAGTTAATTAATTAGTTAATTGAATAAGAATAACAATTAGAAGAAGAAAGAGAGAGAACAATGTTTTCAATAGAAAATTACCAAGAGTAAATGAGATTAGAAAAGATATTTGTAATTGAGAGAAAACAAGCTTAAAAGAATATTCAAAATTTATAATTAAAACATTAACATCAAATTGAAGAGTTATTATCTGCTTGAATATTTTTATAATAATATATATCAAATAAACTAGAACTTTGATGAATATGTTAAATTAATTAAAACCTATTTATGATTTCCTGATTATCATAATTTAATTATATCTAATCCTTAATTTAAGAAATTTTGTCAATTAAATAAAATGTTAATCAAATAATAATAATATTCTTTCTAATTAATTTATTTATAATATAATAATGTAATACTTTAAATTAAGAATGATTTGAATTATAAAACTATACTAATTTTTAATAAAAATAAGAAAATCATTCAAAAATAACTGATTGGTTTTCAAACTTTGTATATAAAGGGTAGTTAACTTCTTATTAAGCACCACATTATCCTTGTTTATCTTAAATTCTGGCGAATCTAATGTAACCAGATTCTCCCCATGAGATTCCCCATGAATTTTTGATTAAATAGTAATCTGGAGCATATCCAACATTGGTTACTCCGTGATTAAGAGCTGGTTTACTTCCATCACATTTGGCATTGTAGATACCTTTCTTGTAGAGTTAGAAGTTGATTCCTGAAGCATTGATACCAATAGAGAGAGCATGTTCAGCAGCAGCTTCAACATAGGCTTATGGGTTGAGTGATTCAACATCAACAAAACCAGCAAATTAATATCTGGTCTTGGTCTTTTTGGCTGCACATTATTAATCAACTCCAGCATATGGATATTCTGATCTGATAGCAATACCATATTTAGAGGCATAAGCAAAACCATCATACATTTCACCACCATCACATCCTTCACTTTCGAATTCATCTTTAACTGCACAATCAACCAATTCTTATTCAGATAATTCAACATTTTTAACTCCTGCTTATCTTAAAGCTGTTTCTAAAGCAGCAACTGCAGAGAATGCCCAGCATGATCCGCAACTTCCTTAATTTTTAACGTCACTTACTACTCCATCTTTTCTCAAGTCTACTTCAACTGGAACTTATTTTCCTTATTTATTATAGACTTATCTAGTTTATTCTCTTGGAGTGGATTTGTATTTTAAATATTTAGCTTCGAATTCTTCAACTGAGAGATCAGCAAAGTTATTCAATCCAATTTCAAAAGTTTCCAAACCAGCATCAACTCTTTTTTGATGTTCTTAAATATATTCATAATTTTTCTTAAATATTCCAAATCTATGTGAGTTTTCAAATTATGTATATCTTTTTCCATGTTCTTTTTACCAATTTTGATAGACTTTCATTACTTCATCTTCTAGGAATGAATTTGATTCATTATTTATTGTTGTGTTTAACAATGATGTACCAGCTAATAATGTTATAGCTAAGAGGGTTAATAATCCTTTTTACATTTAATTAATTGAATTGTGTAAACTTTTTCTGCATTTGAATGAATTAATGAGATCAATATTGATTAACGATCACGTCATTAAAAATATATATTAAAATTTTTAATTATATTTTAATTACATAATTATTTATGATCAATGATGTAATTAAAATATAATTAATTATTAATTTATATTATTTTCCTCATAGAATGAATTATTCCATATACAACATAATATTTAATTAATAAAATTAAACAAATTACTTTGTTAAAGGTTTTAATCTCTCTTACTAGTCTAATTGATATAAGAATGACTATAAAAGTATTCATATTTAAATATATATATATTAATTATAAGAAAAATGAATTCAATTTTATTTAGTTGGAGTTAAGAGCATTTTAGGTCTGGTAGTAAGTGGTTATTTTTTTAATGGACTTTTACTTGATTATTATGTTTATGGTAAAGTAATTTCTATTTTTTGTTCAATAGCAGGATCTTTATTGAATATATTAATTCTAAATACCTTCAATGACGGCAATATCTCTCAATCTAAAAATTCCAACTTAATTCTCATAGATACATTCTATCAATTAAGTCTTCTTATCAATCTTTTAGACTATCACTTTGTAGCCAGGTTTTAGAATAAAATTATCACCTGTTATTGGTTTACAAATATTAATAGCTGTTCCATAAATAAATGGGTTTTATTTGATTTCTTTGGATAATATTTTCTGAGAATTGATATAATTAGTTTGTAAATGAGCTGGTTTATTTCGAGCAGAATTCATTTAAGAGGATATTTATGAATCTCTTTTTACTTTAGATTTGCAGTCATCGAATAGATTAAATTACGCATTTTTTTATGATTTATTTGTTGGTGTAAATGAATTTTAAGTATGAACAGGGGATTTATTTTATTAATTATTGATATTACTTGTTTATCTAGATCTTTAATTATTACTTACTGGATTTATTTTATCCACTTAACAAGTAGATAAATGTCTACTTACTTAACAAGAAGCATCTGTTATTGATTCTTTCTCTGATATCTTAGTTAACATTTAAGGAGGTTGTTATGATGATTAATATATATCAGTAGATTCTCTCTTTGAATTCTCAGTTTAAGATTGTGTGGCCAATACTTCAGTTAAAGTATCCTCCTATTTCATCAAAGGTGAAGATCGTAATATACTTTCTGAGTGCATTTTTTAAAATGAATCATTACCAAAAGAACATTTAAAATTTTATAATCTTTAAATTCTTAAATGTTATTGTTTTCTTAAAGCACTCTCTATATTAATAATTATAATATAAATACCATCTAATTACAAATTATCATTATCTTCTTCTTCTATATTTACTTTAATTTATTAATATATTTTAGGTGTCTAATTATTATTATCATAATCCTACAATTTTTCTTAAGAGTTCTTTCTATCAAGATCAAAAATCATATCTGTTTTTTCTATTTTCTCCTCTAATATACAATTTTATATTTGATTATTTGTCAAATCATTATCCATTTCAACCTTCTAAATTACTAATTCCCAATTATCTTATTATTTTGTTTCTAAATTATCCTACTATTTTATTTCTTATTTATCCTCAATAATTATTTATTATTATTGTAAAAATGCACTAGATTTTTTATTTTATTCATTTATCAATGTTTTATCTATTTTAAATATATTATTTAATTTTCTCATTGCAATACTAGTATTTCCTAATATTTTGAAATCATCTACCTTTTGTATTGATTACTCAAACATATGAGAAAATAATAACAAAATTCTAAATAAAATATTTAAATATACCCTTTTTATAAAAATAGATTTACTCTCTCTTTTAATAATTGCATATCAACTACTTAAGAATTCTAAATTTATAATTCATCAGTCTAATTCTTTTCCATAAACTTAAATTGTTTACTTGAAACTGTAAATTTTGAATGTCTATTAGAGCGTCTACTATTTCTATAAATTATTGATTCCTTATTGTTTTTTTGTGTTTTTTCAATTTATATACCTCTTATGGATTTATTATTCTTATTATACTATTATTATAAATACTTCAATTTTTATGTCATATTTAAATTATGAATCATAATATTCATATTGATTAGATAAAGGAAAACAAATTTTACCATAATTATTTGTGAAATCTTCATAAATAGCAAGAGCTTTAGCAAATTCCAAATAAATAGTCCATAATTATAAATCTTCATTATCTTTTGCATCAAATAAAAACTTTCTATCTCCCATTTCCTTCAACTTCTTATACCAATATGTTGAACATATTTATAAAGTAAAATTCTTTTCATTTTCCAAAGCTAATACAGAATATATACTCTTTAATGGAATTGAACATAAAGGTAATTCACTATTGAGTGAGTCCTATCTATTTGAATATAATCTAAGTTCTTTTCCATCTAGAATTACATATCTAGGTACCTATGAAACTCTATTTTAAGATTTTTTAATTAAAATTCCTTCTCTTAAAATAATATTTGTTTGATTTTAAGATCTATTAAATTTATTACCAATTTATTTTAAGATAATTGATTTAAGTGCTTTACTAGACATATTTTTAAACTTTTGAGTATCTTATGTACATTTTGGATAAATGTAGTTTATCAAAAAATTAGGTTTTGAATTAGATTTATTATCATTATTATTTTCAAAATTAATCTATTAATTAACATTTGATTCTGCCATCAACCATTAGAATTATAATTTTTTACATTCCATTAATTCTTCAGTTTCAAAAGGTAAAGGTAATTATTATATAGCTTCAGCAACAGCCTTATGTAATTGTCTTCTTTATTTAAATGTAATCCTCTAATATAAACAATCTCTCATAAAAGGACAAGTAAAACGATAAAAAATATTTTGTTCTCTAACTTCCATAACTTCAATAACTTCTTTAGCTTCTAATTCATCTAAATATTTTTATAATTTATTGTTGACAGCATTTTTAAATGGATTAATTCTATTTAACAATTGAATATCAAAAATATCTCCAATAACACTAGCTGCTTTCAATAATAATTATTCTAAACATGATAATTTATCTATGATTGGACCATTTACTTCAATTCTACAATAAGGAGCATCTACAATAATACTTTCTTCATAATTAATTAAATTAACTAATTCATTTGTTATAGTAGCATATTTTGGACTTAGTCTAATTAAATCTAAATCAATTAAATTTTAAACAAAATTCAAAACCATTAATGGATTTCCACTTGTTTTCATATAAATCCATTACATAAAAAGTAATTCTACATCATTTTTAATTAATATCTATTTATTTTCACAAAATAGAAATTAATTATTAATTTCTTTAGATTAATTCTCTTATAAAATTACATCATGAATTGAAGAAGTTATTCTTTTTCTTATTCCACTTTCACTAATACACTATTAAATTTATTATTCAGGCATAAACTTTTAAATATTAAATGAAAATCTTATCATTTTAGCAAATTCATCATCAGTTCCTCCTTTTCTTTCAACTCCTCTTAATTACATTAATATAAATGGATTTCCATCCATTCTATCCTCTAAAGCTGTTATACCTTCAATAGCAATATCTTCTTAAGATTTTCTTTTTTCTGCAACTTTTGGTTATATAATCATCTCTTAAAATGAATCTCTATACAATGCTAAAATAGTTAATCTATCATATGTTTTTATCATTTGTTTTAAGATTTTAAAAGATATTTAATCATAATTTTAAATATCATCTAAACATAAAACAACTGGTGCTATTATATTAGTATATTTAATAGAATAATTAATTTATCTATGAACAGATGATTTCATAACATCCCATCCTATTTAATCAGGAGCTCTTCCTTCATATAATTCAGATAATTTATTAGGAATTTATTCAAAAAAATTACTTAAAAATTGAAAAATTATTCTTTTTACATCAATTTCTTTCTCTTCTTCTTATTATCTTTGAGGAAACTTCTCCAAATGTCTATTATCATTCAATCCTACAATCTCTTATAACATTTAAACTAAATTTTGTGGATGAATATTGACATCAATCATCATATTAAATAAATCCATATTTGCTGGTTTCTCAACTCTTTTTGCATATAAAAGAAAGATTTATTTTAAAATACTTCTTAATCCATTTAATTTGAATGTTCTTGTTATAGGATCCAATTATTAAACAAGTATATGAGGAGACTCACCATATTTCCATGGATTATATTAATTAGAATTTATTTTCTCCTATATTCTATGTAACACCTTTTTAGCTAAACTACTCTTTCCACATCCATATGTTCCTTTTAAAATAATTAAACTTTTCTTATCAACTCCTCTGATTACTTTATCAATTTAATTTAAAAGCTTTTTATGTTATTCTTCTCTTCCAAATAATTAAATAGCTATAAAATCTGATTTCTTTGCAAATCCATAAGCATAATTATGAGTTTTAAAATTAGGTAATAAATTACCTGGAGTAGGTTCAAGTGGTTTATCTAGAGGTACATAAATATGAACAGGTGCATTTTTGCCTTTAACTTAAGTTTATGTTAAAAAAGCTGTACTTATACAATGACCAGCACTTTTAGCAGTTTCTAAACATAATAGAATTTTATGATGTGTTTCTGAACATGCTGCTTACATCAATCTAGCTGCAAGATTAACAGAATCTCCAAGAACAGAATATTCTCTTCTTGAACCACTTGTACCAACTACACCAGCAAAAACAGTACCTGTAACTATTCCAATTGAACATCCACAATTAATTTTTGGTAGTTCTTTATTCATTAATTAAGCTGTTAAAATAGCTCTAACAGGATCATTTTAATGACTTAAAGGAGGAAGACCAAAAACAACTATTAAAGTTGAACCCTTATCATCCATTAAAAGTTTATTTAATGATCCTTCATGCATATATATACATTTTTATACAGTTTTAATGACTCTTTAAATTTATTCTAATCCCTAAGCATTTTTAGCAGAATTCAAATCCATTTTTAAGTTAACAAACATAATTGATAATCTTCTTAATTCAGCACTCCAAGCTTCTTCATTTATATCAATATATGGTAGAAGTGCAGCAGGTATATATGATTGAATCTCATTTCTAATCATTTAAAATTATGATAATGTAATGTTATTTTTGATTAAAAGGGCATCAGCCTTCATTTTCACTTTCGCTTATTATAATTTAATGACTTCATAGTGTCCTTCATGATCAGCTACTTATTAACATTCAAAGAAATTATTAATCATATCATAAATCTATTAAGAAATGATAATCTTTCCACCTTCAGTTAAACAATGCTCAGAATGAAAAGCTTAAATTAAAGGATCTCCAGTTGCCAAATATTCCATTCTATTGAAAACACCACCAACATGAATAATATTCATTTCTCCAACTCCAAAACCAATCTTTACACTTAATTAAATACCCTATTCAATCTAAGCTTTAGTTAATTTTTCTTGAATTAATAATGCAGACTAAATGGCTTATTTAAGCAAAGTTTCTAGATTTTACTGAAAGTTTTGATCATTAGGAGGAGGAGGCCAGATAACAATCATAGCATCTTAAGAATATTTAAAACTTTAATACCTCCTGCAAATTTGAAAATATCACCACCACTTCTTCCTATACCTTAAACTAATAATTCCATATAGCGATTAATTGCAAATGCTATTCGTTCTGCTCCTTCTGTTCCCAATTAACTTAATAATTCTGTTAATCTTGTAAATCCAGATATATCTGCAAACATCACAACACTTTTTATTCTTTATTTTTCTGGTAATTTTCTTATTAATTTATTCATTTTTAGATTCAAAAGATGTTATACAACTAAAGCAGGTACATAACCTAAAATGGACATGGATTAACTCTAAAATTATTAAGACATATTTAATGTAAATAATTATTTATATTATTTAAAGTAATAATAATAATGTTATAAACTTCTATATTCATCAATATTAATGCTTATAAATTCATTAATATTTGATATGATAATTATTCATATATATATATAAAAGGAATAAGTAGTTGAGACTATGTTTTAAATTCTAATTAGTTATTTATTCACATAGTACAATAGTTTTTTTAGTTTTAAATGCATAAAAATAATTATATTCTTATCAATAAGAAATTTTAAATAAATATCCTATAGCAAAAGTAATTCATATGTAATAGGATTTTTAATAACAATAAACCTTAATTAATGGGATCTATAGTTTATGGTAAGGAATAGATGATGAAGAATAAAAAAGAGAAAATAAAAAACCTTTGAAATAAGCTCATCCTTAATTCTCATAACTCACTGATAAACAAAAACTTAGAAAACAAATATTGAACAATAATAAAAAGAATAAAGGAAAACTTAAGGGGGAAGGTTAAGTCTAACATGAAGATTTTGAATCTAACTAAACACAAATTCAAGTATTCCAATAGTCATTTTTCTATAGCAATTAAAATATGAAACTAAACCATAATTTGTTCTATTAGTAAAACCTAATAATGAAGAAATTTAAATTGATTTAGAGTAATATATAGATGAACAAGTAAAATTTTAAATTTTAAATAATAGTACGCAATTTAGGGAAACAATTCAAAAGTATCTTACTTTAAGTAAGAGAGTGATTTTGGACATACAGAATATAAGTTAAGATTAGTAGATCCAGACCCCAAGAGATTGACTCACTTAACAACATAGATGAATTATAGGTAAACATTATTTTGATATTATAGATTATCAGAAGGAAATGGTATGGCATATTATAAAATTGGAGTGGAAGATAGTGGTAATCCTTTAGGATTAAATAAATCTGATATGCTTGGTTCTTTAAGAACTCTATGTTCTATGGCTTAATCTTTAAAAGCTGAATTAATTGTGGTTGGAATAAATTAAGGTACAAATGGCAAAACAAGTGAAGTAATTGTTAGAAAAGGATTGAAAGATGGGATTAATTTAGATATTCGTATTTTACTATTAGGTGAAAGTGGATCAGGTAAGACCTCATTATTGGGAGTATTAAGTACAGGACAATTAGATAATGGTAAAGGATTAGCAAGAATGAAGTTTTTAAAAAATAGATCTGAAATCACATCAGGTAAAACTGAAAGAGTGTCTCATACAGTAATAGGGTTTGATAGTGAAGGTAAAATTATGAATCATCAAAATTAATTGAATTTTAATCCTACATGTATGGTAGAAAAATTAGTAGATTTATCAACTAAATTAATTACTTTTATTGATATGGGAGGAACTAAAAGAGCTCATAATTAAATGATTTAAATTATTAATTCTTAATTTCCAGATTATGCTCTATTAACTATATCATCCTTATAACCAATAGGAAAACCAACAATGGATTTCCTTAAATTAATACAAATTTAATAAATACCTTTTATGATTGCAATTACACATGTTGATAAAATGGATGAATATTTTTATATGGATAAAGTAGAATAATTAAAAGAAATGATAACTAGTTTATAAATTTAAAGTGTTCCCCTTGTAGTAAGATCTGAAGAAGATGTTGTTTTATTTAGTAAATAGATATTGAGCAAAACATTAATCCCAATATTTTTAATATCAAACTTAAAATAAAGAACATTAGATTATTTTATCAAATTCTTAAATTTATTACCTTCAACAAATGAATTGACAAATAATTCAAACTTAGATTCTGAATATTGTATTCATAATGTTTTTGAAATAAATAATCAAAAAGTTTTAGGTGGTACTGTTTTAAAAGGAGTTATTAGAGTTAAATAGATATTATAAATGGGTCCTGATAAACATGGTAGATTTTTTCCTATTGAAATAGAGGAAATTTAATGTAATAGAGTTCAAGTAATATATATAAATTTTATTTATAAATAGGTTAAATCAGTTTAATGTGGATAAATTTGTACTATTCGTTTTAAATAAGGAACTTTAACATAACAATTTGGATCTGATTAAAATCCTGTTAGAAGAGGAATGGTTCTAATTGATAGTAAAAGTAATCCATAAGCAGCATGGGATTTTTTAGCAGAAATTTGGTTATTTGATGATCAAAAAGATGCAAAAAAAATAGCTGCTAGTTTTGAACCAGTTATAAATACATAATGTACTAGGTAATTTAATATATAAATATATTAGATAAATATGTAAAATTATAAGAGAAGAATAATTATAATTTGAACCTTTAAAGTTGAGGAAATAGTAGTCAAAATCTATTGATGAGTCATCTAGATAAAATTAAGATAGATAATAACAGAGATTACCATATAGAAAATAAAGTGAATAAATTAAAAAGGCAAGTAGTTCAAGCAATCTTAATAAATCATATAGAAGTCCAAGGAGGAAAAGTAGTTAAAATAAAGAATCATTTGTAGATGAGGATTTGAAAAAAATAGATTTATTTGTTATTAGTGAAAAAAATGATAAGCCTTAAGAATTTATTGAACTCTAACCAAAACAGCCTAACTTTATTCGATTAAAATTTAAATATTTTCCAGAATATATTACAAAAGGAATGAAATTAATAATTAATGATAATGGACTTTAAGCTTGGGGATTTATTAAATATATAAATTATTGATATTCATTTCTTTGAATAATATTTTTGATATAATTTAATATCCATATGTCTTGAATTGACATGATGTTCATATATAAAATGTATCATATTTATTTATTTTAATAACAGAATATCTTACTTTCTATTTTTTATCAAGTTCATTATAAGTAATTTATAATTCTAAATTATTTTATTTTATTATAAAATAAAAATGAAAAATAAATAAGAAAAAAAGAAAATTATTAAGTTTGTTGAAATTTTCAAAGAAATATTAGAAGTAATACTCAAGAATATTGTAGAAATCAGAATATGATCAAATAATTAAATGGGATAATGATGGATAAAAAATTAAAATTTTTGATAAATCTAAGTTATAATTAGAAGTATTACCTAAACATTTCAAGCATGGAAATTATGCAAGTTTTTTAAGGTAAAAATAGAATTGAAAATTAAGATAATTAAATCTTTATGGTTTTATAAGTTGTAAAGATTAAGATGGTATACTAACTTATGAAAATCCATATTTCACTAAAAAGGAAATTCAAATGAGAAAGATACAAAAAAAACAATAAATTTATATTGAAAAATAGTCTTTGGATGATATCTTTATGAATGAGTATGAAGAATTAAAGAAAACAATTATTGATTTAAAATAAGAATAGATAAATATTTAATAAAAGCTAATTCAGTCTGTTTAACATTAATAGTAATGCCATTTACATTGTAAATTAATAATAGATGTAATTTTTATTGATATTTATTAATAGTAATTACTAACAATAAAAGAAATTTAAACAAGAAGAGGTACTTTCTTTATTGAGAGTATAAAGATGATAGTGAAAGCAATGAAACCTGAAACTTGTATTTTAAGAATTTTATTTAAGCTTCTTCATTTGAGTATTTGATCAAATGTGTTTTTCCTAAAGAATGTGATAATGTAAATATTTAATGTAAAGATGATGGAGTAATTGAGTAGTAATAGTATGTTAATTCTCCAGCTCCATTTGGCAAAGGAGTAATTGATAAGATAGGAGAGTATTTAAATCATAAAGATGATGAATTTAATCCTGAAACTTTGGAACCAGTTTGGTTTTGTGGTTATTCTGAGCAGGATTTTAATTTTTTTGGTTTTGAATTGTGATTTTATTGTTGATATATATATAATTACTGATAGAATGGTTATAATTATAAGAAAAACAAATAGTATTGTATATCATAAGAAAATTATATAATTATTATTGAATGTAGTAGAAAAAAAGTCCCAAGTTTTTAGTTAAGTTGTTTGAATTATTGGATGTAATGACTAAGAATTATTTCTATAGTCAGAGTAATATCGCTATTTACGTTGGAGTGAAGATGGGAAGTCATTTTAAGTTTGTGACTTAAAAAAACTAGAGAGATAAGTGTTGAAGGTTTTCTATAAACAAAAATCCTTTGCTAGTTTTATTAGGTTAGATTTGAATTTATTTTATGATTAGACAATTGAATTTATATGGATTCAAGAGATCAAAGATTCGTAGAAATGTTAATGTCTTTTCTCATCGCCATTTTATTAAAGGTGACAAGTAAATCTATAGATGAAGTTTAGAGATTAACTTATAAACATTATCAGTCATAATAAATTGAGAGTTATGGAAGAATTGACGAATTAAGATAATAATTTAAAGCCATAGATTTATGAGGCCGAACATCAGTAATTGACTGAAACCTTGAAGGATCTCTAGAATTAATAAAAATAAATATAAATCAAATTTAATGAGCAAATACATTTACAAACATAACTTAAACTTAGAATTCTTTAAATTATGAATGTAAATTATTGATTTATCCTTTTTAGCAAATTAATAATCATGATATTTCAATTAATGTTAAGGCATAAAATTCTTATTAATTACTTTGCAAAGTAATGTAAATTATACCAAACAATGAATAACATAAAGAAGAAATAGAAGTGATAAAGTATATTTGCAAAGTCTTTAATGAATTTCATAAAGATTCAGTATCATCATTATTTGAGAGTCCAAATGAAAGATTAACCCCATTGCCATTTTATTTACAAGATTCTGCTGTTCCTAATTAATTAGATATAAAAGTCTAATAAAATAAACTTTCGGATTAGTTTTAAATTCATGCAACAAAAATATTTCAGCCTTCTTAAATGAAGTAATAATAATTTTTGCTTTGATTTTATTATATTTATCTATGTCTATTTTATTTAAATGTAACCCTATTTAACCTGGATCAAAAACAGATATTAAAAATTTATATAAATTCCTTGATAATTAATAATCCGTAAATATAGGTAATTTTTGATTAATAATATTCACAACTAAACAGATGGGTAATTAATGCGGTTATTGTGAATGTAATAATGAGAAGTTGTAACAATAAGAGAAAGAAATAATAGTGGTAATATGTCAACTAAGTGTAAGTTAGATCAAAACGAAATAAGAAATAGTAATCATTAATCTAAAGGCTCAATTAAAAGTAATAAGGGAAATCATGAATTAAATTAATTTAGTAAAGAAAAGGATAAAAAACTTATTAAAAATCAAGTTTCTTTAACTAATTCAAATTAAAAAGAATAAGCAAGATTTAATGAACTGTGTAATGAGAAAGAAAACTTAGTTAAAGCAGCAATCAAAATATAAAGCATTTACAGAGGTTATTAGGTTAGAAAAAAGAAATAATAGCATGGATTAAAAATTGTTTAGAAAAATGAAATACAAGGTGCAAATAAAAACTATATGTAGGAAAATTTTGAAGTTATAAATCTACCTGCTTTAAAGAATGATACTTCCTTAGAATTGAGAGGACCCTATTAATTTAAAAGTGGGGCAATTTATGAAGGTTAATGGAAGGGAAATTTCAGAGAAGGAATTGGAACTCAGATTTGGAAAGACGGAGCTAAATATGTAGGAGAATGGAAAAATAATAGAGCTAGTGGAAAAGGTATATTCTACCATGTTGATGGTGATATTTTTGAGGGAGAATGGGAATTAGATAAAGCTAACGGAAAAGGAATTTATAGACATTCTAATGGATCAAGATATGAAGGAGAATGGAAAGATGATCTATAAAATGGTTTAGGGAAAGAAATTTGGACTGATGGTTCTAAATATATTGGACAATATTATCGAGGAAAAAAGTAAGGAAGGGGAAGATATGAGTGGCCTGATGGGTCTTATTATGAAGGTTAATGGTAGAATAATAAAATAAATGGTCATGGTATTTATTGTTGGGCTGATGAGAGAGGATATGATGGTGAATGGTAGAATAATTGTATGCATGGGTATGGAATATACACTTGGAAAGATGGTAGAAAATATAAAGGAGAGTATAAGAATGATAAAAAAGATGGACATGGAATTTATTATTGGGCTGATGGTAAGAAATACGATGGAATGTGGAGTTAGGGAAAATAACATGGGTAAGGATTGTTTGTTTTTGCAGATGGGACTTAGAAACATGGGATATGGAAGGAAGGAAAACGAATAAAATGGCTTGAGATAGTACCTTGAATAGAAAAATAAAAAAATAATGAAATTTATATATATATACTTAAATTGTTTCTCAAAAAATTGAAATCTTTTTTTAATTTAAATAAATAATAAATGGGCAAAAAGGAAACAAAGGATAAGAAGCCAGCACAATTCAAGTAAGTAAATTATTGATATATTTCTATAGAAAGATTTATGAGTTGTTGTCCAAATATACTTAAGTCATCATCGTTGGATTAGCAAATGTCGGATCAAAACAAGTGTAAGACATTAGAAGAATATTGGCTAAGAAAAATGCCCTCTTAGTTATTGGCAAGAATGTATACATGTTCAATTAAATATTGTAGACTCTCTTCAAAAAGGTCTTGGCTACAAGAGTATAAGAATTACCAGATACTCATGAATATTATGATGAATTGAAGAAATTCGGAAATGCAATAAAAGAATTAGATTCCTTGAAAAACTAAGTAGCAGGCAAAGTTGGATTTATCTTTACTGATACTCCAGTCTTTGATCTCAAACCAATCATTGAAGAAAATAAGGTTGAAACCCCAGCAAGAGTTGGTGCCATTGCTCCAATTGATGTTGTTATTCCTCCAGGCCCAACTGGTATGGACCCAGCTTCAATTTAATTCTTCCATGCACTTTAAATTCCAACAAAAATTGAAAAGGGTTAAATCTAAATCACAAAAGATTTTGTTGTCTTAAAAACAGGCTAAAAAGTTGGTTAATCTTAAGCAGTTTTATTGTAGAAATTAGGAAAGAAACCATTTTTATATGGGTAATAAATCAAATTTTATAGTTAGTATGGAAGTTTTATCATGCTATGATAATGGATCAATTTTAAATAAATAATAAGTATCAGTAAACTTGAATGATATTGTTACTAAATTCCAATAAAATGTCTAAAATATTTCAGCAATTTCATTGTAAAATGGTATTATTGATTATAATAATTAATTTAGGTTGGATCAATGAAGCCTCAGCTCCATATGTGTTGGCAAATGCATTTAAAGATTTAGCAGCTATCGGTTTATAAAGTGGATTCGTCTTTGATCAAATTAAGTAATCAAATGCACCAGTTGCTGCTGCTCCAGTAGCTGCTAAAGTTGAATAAAAACCAGCTGCCCAATAAGCCCCAGCTAAAGTTGAAGAGCCAGAAGAAGATGTTGATATGGGAGGTTTATTTGATTGATCATGAAAACAATAGTATATTAATAAAACATACAAATAAAATACAATAAATAGGGTTAAATATATTACAAGTTGCTTATCCAATTATTTAATCTATTTTGATTACAAATACAGAGTTTCTGCAACATCCTTTATAATAGTTAACAGATAAATTTTATTCTTATGGATGTTACTATTTCCATCGTTATCAATTTTTTAATTATTTTTATTAATTAAAATTAATTAATATATGTTAATAAAAACACTATATTAATGAATTTATATTATTATTTTGATGTAAAATTGAGAATACATTCAAGACGTGTTTATATATGACTATGAAAGGATGGATCAACAGAATTTATCAGAATTTTGGGCACTCTTAAGCCAGAGGGGGTTTTTAAATCTTTTTCTTATATTTAAATTAATTTTTTTAACTTTTATTTCCTCAATGCCTCCAGAGAACACTTAGGTAACTTAACCTTATTTAAATACTAAAATTACGATTATATTATCTCAATATCACTTGACTTTATTATTTTTTTATAGATTTCTAAAAAATCAAAACACATTAAGAAAAACAAGACAGATGTTCATGAATATACTGAGGAAAAGAAGAAAGAAATTGAGAAAGTGATTTTTTATTATGTATTTTAATAGGAATACTTGCAAATAAAAAAAAACAATTAATTACAAGAATCATATGAACCAAAGATCTAGAATGTGGTCAGCACAGTGATATTGAAAATGAAGACTAAAGCAGGAGAAGAAATCGATAAACTTGATTTAGACAATCTGGCTCATACATCATAAAATTGTGAATATAAAAAAAGTAGATATTTTATATTTAAATTATTTAGGTCGATTTCCTGCTCTGATTCAAAGAATAAAAGAACCCAAGTCAACTGCCCTGATATTTGAAGCTGGTAAGATGGTGATAACAGGTACCAAAGGTTAGAATGAGGCAGAAGAGGCTGCTAAAAAAGTTTGAAAAAAGCATTTTATTTAAAGTTTAGAAAACAGATAGAGAAGAACAACAGGATTACTATAGAAATAGGCGATATTTAAACAAGTAACATAGTAGCCAACAGCCAATTGCCTTATGAAGTAAATCTGATGAAAATAAATGATGACAGAAGTTTATCAGGATCTATCAGCTATGATGTATAATTTCTAATAAAACTCTCTTAGCGATCAGCATTTCCAGGATTGATATTTAAAATGTAAAATCCTAAACTCGCTGCACTCATTTTCTATTCAGGAAAGATAGTCTTCACTGGGGCAAAAAATGAAACTTAAATTAGAGATGCCTATTGTTAATTATTCAATATTCTCAAAAAACACTCATAAGAAAAAGCCAATAAATGAAGAATAAGAATTATTGAATATTTTTTGTGTTGTTTACATAACTACGTCTTTATGATTTTAGTTATACAAATTATTAGAATAGTCCATTACCTAATCTTAATAAAATCATTAATTTGAAGAACCAATTAAAGAATATCATATAATTACATTCATTTATTTGTTGTAAGTTTAATTTATTAAATGAATATTAGAGAATGTCATAGATATCCTTATATTTAATAAATAAAATAGAATTCTTAATTAACAAATTATAATATTTAAATCATACTATGTTAATTATGTAAATACATTTACTAATTATAAAAGTAATCAACTTAAATATTATATTTATTTTTAAATCTATTATTATTAATAAATATGTTTTCATTAATTATGAACAATTGATATACAAAATTAGAGATGAAAACTAAAATCAATTAGATAATTGAATAAAGAATAATTATTAACTTTTATTATTTTATAATTGATTAATATAAAATTGAATGAAAAATTCGTAAGGCTTAAATAAGCTATTAATGAGTAAAAGAACAAGGACCACATTAACATTGAATTAAGAAACTAATTAGTCTTCAAATTAAACTAGAAAATCATCAATTTAAGTTATCAATATCAATCAATAAGATGTAAATTAGAATCAGGATAAGATTTATTTTTCAACTCGTCAAGGCTCTCCAAAAAAACATAGACACACTAAAAGTAAAAATAATTACTATTAAATAGGTTTAGGTGATACTTTAATGAAATCTACGTCATAGAAATTAATAAAAACTACCCAAAGAGATTTTCAAGAGAGTAACATAATTAAAGAAGGGGCTTTATATAAGAAGATTTCTCCGAAGGTGATCTTCTAGAATGATAAAATCAATGTTTATTTTGTGAAGGAAGTCAATAAATTCACATAATCAAGTGACACAAAAATATCATCTTAAGATATTGGTCATAGAGAACAAACCATATAAGAAATTTTTAATTCTAGAGTTTCAATTAAAGGGCCAATTACATCTAGTTAAAATTTATTATAAGCCAGAATCACATAAGGAATTTTGAGCAATCCCAAACATTTGTTTGCAGCTTCAAATAAAAAGATAAAACTAGATAAAAATGAATCCTTAAATACTAGTGTCAAGTCTTCCTTGTGTAAATTATTGAAATTATATCATTGACTATATTCATTTACTTTTCTTTGTAACATTTTTTTTTATCAATATCTATTTATAATTGAAATATCATAATTAAATCAAAATAATATCTATTATTTTATTAATCATAACTTATTCTTGCTAAGAAAGTTGATTCATTATATTCTTTAATATTATCATCTAATCTTATCTTAAATGGTAGATTTGCTTATTCTTATAATAGAGACTTGATTAAATATCTAATTTGATAAAATGTTTAATTTTAAGAGATTTTAGTGCAAATCATTAATAAAGAAAACATTAAATATATGTATCTAAAAGAATGCAATAATGCTTTAAAAATATATATATATAATTAATAATTATATTTAACATAAATTAATTTACTTTGCTTAGTACATTACTTTATTAAGAACATAAATTACATAATTTATAACTTAGATTAAATCAATCTGTAGTAAATTGTATCCCATTGTATATAGGCTTTGTCATATTATTTTATTCTAGGATTGTTTCAAGATCAAATTGATTAGAAGGATCTGTGAAAAAGAACCTTTTTATATTTTTATTATAGATATTTTTAATCTAATCTATTTATCATCTTTATCGACTTGCTTTATCATTTTCTATTGAATTTATTATTTTAATATATATTTATATATATAAATAAATTAATTATGCAAATAGAAGCAGAGAGCAACATAAACATCTAAGAGATTTACTAATCCATGTTGATCCAATAATTTAATATTGCTATATTGAGATAGTGGGAGAAGGAATGGTTATTAGAGAATTACTTATTTCCACAAATAAAGAATAATGAATAGTATCTTTAGAATAATAAGTAGATTATCATAAGAGCTTGTATTTACTACAATAGCGATTTTAAATTTAAAATAGCTTGAGCAAATCAACATATAAGACAGTCTTTAAGATTAAGAGATCCTTTTGAAGATATTTAACTACATAACAAAAGGATTACCAGATTTTAAATCTTTATAATTAGAAGAAAAATAATAAGTTTATACATTTTTAATGCAATTATTTTGTATGCCTGAGACACAATTTGTACAAAAAGAATGTTATAAATATTTATCTTAAGCATTATTATTAAGTTCAAACAAAATAGTATAAATAAATTATATTAATATAGTTTTTGAAATGGCATTTTTTGAGATACCCAAAAATGGTACAATCATATATGAGTGCTTTAAAAGTATAAGGAGGTGGTTAAAAACCAGAATCTTTATTTATACCTAATTTAGTGTAGGATATGATCTAAATAATATTTTCATATCCAATTAGCGAGGCAAATTTTAAAGAAAATGAAGAGTTAATACAAATAGAATCTCAAAATTAATTTAGAACTTTTTTAGAAAGAAATTCAGCTCCACTTCCTACTCCTAAACATATTATCAAAGCATAAAATGAAAAATTATTGTACAGAAAAGTTACATAAACTTAAATGAGATACCTTAAATGTATTGAAAAATTTGTAGATTTTATGATTTTATTATTAAGTTCAATTCCAACAAGAAAGTTTTTAAAGATCTATTTACTCTCAACAAATATATTACCTTATTTGAAATGTACATTACCTTAATATCATTCATGTGTATTATAGACTTTAGTTTAATCATTTGAACATTATTTAACATATCCAATAAATGATTAGAATGGAGAAGTACTCTCTCTCAAAGATTAATAAGTTATGTAGAAAGATTTCTTAAAGAAATTATAGACAGTACTTTATAAATAGTTTAAATTCATGGTATAACAAAAAGAATTAGAAGAATATTAATTCATCAAAAATTTAAGAAGATCAGAAATTGAAAAACTATTTTAAATGATGGTATTGGTATTCCCAGTTGATTTATAACCTAAATTATATGAACCTGGGAAGAACTTTGATTTTCTTATCTAAGAAGTAATGAAAGCAGCCTCACCTCCACCATTTCTAAATCATTATCTAAAAGATACTCCTATTATACCTAATGAATAAATGATATGGGATTATAAACACATCCCTGAAGAATCTAAAAGTGGTGTATTAAAATAAGTATTGGCTTTGCCAAAATTGAACTTATAATTTCTATGTTTTGAAGACTATTTAGAAAGAAATTATAAATTATTTAAACTTGAAAGTGCATTTGATTTAAGAAAAGATTTTGAAGATACAATAATTAGAATGGATCCTAAGTTTGATTAAAATGGTGCATTTATTTATTTTAGTGGATGGGCTAAGGCAGCAACAGAAGTTATTAAATTCAGAATTCATGAAGTATAAACACCTGAAATAGGGAAAAGAATTCCAAGAAGAGTTTATGGAGAAATTCAATATTCAGTTGAAAGAATGGCTTAGAATGTAAGAAAGGATTGGGATAGTTTAAAGAAACATTAAGTTGTATTTTTAATAAGCTTTAGAAAAGAAATAGATATGTAGGAATTTTAGAGTGAACTAAGTGAAAGGTAAAATTTAATAGATTAGATTGAAGAGAATGAGGGATGCAAACTCTTTTGTGAAAAATATGGTATTAGAGCTATTAGAGGAGCTGAAATAGAATTAGTATACGATGAAAGAAGGAGAGAAATTTTAGATTGGGAAGAACCAGATCCATCTAAAAAATTCTAAGGAAATTTAAGAATTCTTCATGTATTTTTAGATTAAGCATAATATCAAGATGATATAGATTGTATTATATTAAATTAATTATTTTAGCTGGTATAAATGCAGAAGGTGAAATCTATGGTAATTTCAAACTTTTGGTTAAAAGAAATCCAAAAGAAAATAACTTTAAAGCCATTCTTGGATCAATTTAATAAGTTATATTATAGAAACCTTAATTGCCCAAATTTTTAGATGAAATACTTTTGGGATATGGTGTTGAAGACATTTCTTCATCATAATATTATATGAAAAATCATACAGCTAGTGTAAATTTCAGTCTTATAGATACTGTACTTGATTAATAACATTATGATGATGTTATATAATAAAATTCTTTCATACCAGAAGATTTGAAATCTAAAATTACTTTTGGTAATTTAAAAAATAGAAAAAGAGTTAATAACATTAGATACACTAAACCATAAATAAATGCAATAGTTTCAGCTATGTATCCTGGATTAACATTAGTTGTTGGTCCTCCAGGAACAGGTAAAACAGATGTAACTGTTTAAATTGTAAATCTACTTTATCAAAACTTCCCAAATGAAAAAACACTTCTGATTACTCATTCTAATCATGCTTTAAATGACATATTTTAAAAGATATCAAAAATGGATGTAGATGAGAAACATATGTTAAGATTAGGTATAGGAGTCAAAGATTTAAAATTAAGTAAGACTTTTTCAAGAGAAGGTAGAATTAATCATATGTTAACCAGAAGATTATAATTATTGGAAATTGTTAGTTAAATTTAAAAAAGTGTGTAAATTATGTTTTCAGAAGAATATTCATGTGAGGTATCAGAGATTTTCTTTAAATTACACATTCAAAGATTATGGAATAATTATAAAGAAAAGATTTAATCAGATCCTATGTTTGTTTTTCCATTTAATACATTTGTTGAATAAAATCCATAGCTATTTGAAAAGGCTTAAACAAAAGAAGAATAATATAAAGTAATTGAAGACATATTTGAATAAGTTAGAGAATGTAGACCATTTGAGTTATTGAGAAATAAAAAGGAGAGAGGAAATTATATTATTTGTCATTAAGCTAAAATTGTAGCCATGACTTGTACTCATGCTGCTCTTAAGAGAAATAGTTTTTGTGAATAAGATTTTTAATATGACAACATAGTTTTTGAAGAAGCTGGATAAATATTAGAAATTGAAGCTTTTCTACCTTTAACTATGTCTTTAACAGGAAAACTAAAGAGATTAATAATGATTGGAGATCATAATCAATTACCTCCTGTTATTAAAAATGTTAGTTTCTAAAAATTAGCTAATATGGAATAATCTTTTTTTATAAGAATGATTAGATTAGGAGTATTTTATCATCAACTTACTGATCAAGGTAGAACTAGACCAGAGATTATGAAATTATATTCTTGGAAGTATAAAGAATTAAATTCATTATAATGTTGTCATCCATCTTCAAATAATTAATTTGGATATGCTAATGCAGGATTATGCAAAACATTTTAATTTATAGATGTTGATTACAAAGGAGTTTATGAAAATAAGCCTATGCCATACTTCTATTAGAATATTGTCGAAGCTGAATTCATTGTTGCTACGTAATTATTTTGAATATTCTTAATAGTTATATGTATTTGGTCTTAAGAGGTTATGATCCAAAATAAATAACAATTCTAACAACATATAATGGTCAAAAGATGCTTATTAAGGATATTATAACTAGAAAGTGTTCCTGGCATTCACTCTTTAGAACACCAGAGAAAATTACCACTGTCGATAAGTTCTAAGGATAATAAAATGACATCATTTTAATTTCAATGGTTAGAACATCTTAGCCAGGTTATTTAAGAGATATTAGAAGAATCATTGTAATATATATTTATTATTCTAATAGGTTGCTTTTTCAAGAGCAAAATTAGGTCTTTATATTTTTGGCAATTTATCTATATTTAATAAAGTACCTGAATTATAAAAAACATTCTCTTAATTTGTGTCAGAACCATTACATCTATTACCAACTGAAATGTATAAAACTAAAAGGGCTCATGATGATTTCTAGTTAGAATAATCTCAAAGTGTTAATCATCCAGACTAAATGTATGAAATAATAAAGACATAATTAATTGAAAGCCAAAGATAAAATTCTAATAACGTAAACCTATCAGAAGTACATTAAGAATAAGAATCTTAGAGCTAATGAATATTATATATATTTAGAAAATAAATACACATATAGTTATCACATATTTCTATTGTTTATAAGCATAAATCTAATTAACAGATCATTTCTAAAAATTTAGATATTTATATTAATAAATTAAAATATATTTATGATATTATAAATTAAATTTATTATTAATTATAGGTTTATATTGATAATTTAATTATTAATATTAAATTCGTCAAAAGAATAATCATATATTTATGATAAAGAAATCTAAATGCTATCATAAGGATTAAGAACTATTTAGATTAAGATGTATTAATTTAAAATTCTGATTCTATTTAACCATAAATTTTGATTTAACAACTAAATAAATTTTTGCAATATAAATAAATGTATAAGTATATATATTAATTTCTAAAATAAATATTAAAGCATTGTTAACATTTTTAATATATTAATCTTGGAACATAAAGAATATAATTAGAGTCATGATTTAGTTTAATATTATTCAAATATTATCAAATAATAAAATACTACAAAAAGAAGCTAATTAAAATCATTTTAGTATTAATCATCTCCATTTTATCCTTCTCCCTTCAATCCATTCACCTTCTCTTTAATCTCCAAGCTCAGAAACCATAACACCATGACCATGTTATTTTCCTTATTTCCACATTCCTCTGTAGCTGCTACCATTTTAAAATTTAAACACTCCAAATCCTTCCTTCATGTCATAGTAATACTAACATAATTTATATTTTTAATATTACATTTCCAGAATACTCTCGTCCATCTGGCCAAGTAAATGTACCTTTTCCATGCATTTAATTATTTATCCACTATCCTTCATACTAAATTGGATATTTTTTATTACTTTTCTTCCATCATTATACAGAAAGATACCAAATCCCTCATATTTATTTTTCTAAAATTCCCCTAAATATTTGCTTCCATCTTAATATGTTATTTCTCCATATCCTTGCTAATGTCCAAATTTATATCCACCTTTATATTCAAATTATTAATTAATTTCATGCCCTTCACCATGAAACAATTATTATTTCCATTCTCCTTTATAAATGAATCCATTTTAATCTTAAAATTCTCCATATCCATTAAATTCATTTTCTTCAAAGTTTCCTTCATATCTAGATTTAATTTATTAGTTACAAACTTCCATCACAACTAATTTATCTTCCTTTGCCTGATTTTTAATCTTTCTTAAATGTTCCTTCATACAAAGTACCATCTATATCTATTTACCTACCAAATCCTTCTTTTTAAAACTATAAAAATTTTCCTTAGTATTGGCATCCATCATTCATTAAATAACATGGATAACTGTTCTATTAAAGAGGCATCAATTCTTTCAATTTGTTTTATATAGATAAATGTAAATTTTAAGGCCATTCTATTTTTTGTACATCTTTTGGTATCATTTCAATAACTGAGACATTTTATTATGTTAAATTTGATTCCACTTAATTTTAAGTGATTAAAGTAACCTACTTTTCTACTATTTTTGGTTTATTTAAATAACCTGTATATAATAGAAGACAATTACGTCTAACACATGTTTGAATTTTGATAATTTTAGTTTCATCTAAAGATATCTCATCTTTAGGAATCAATCCAATATCACTATTTAATCTTCCAACATCTTAGTTTGAGCAACAAACTATTCCCATATAATTTAATAAATTATTATTATTCAATTGTATTATCTTTATCATCTTCCAATTACGTTTTCATAATTAATCCATATCAATTCTTTAAAAGAAAAACAAAAATCTCTCTTCTAGAAACGAATTGAGATTTTACTATTTAATTTCAATAATTTTATATTTTAAAACAAAATTTTATCCAATAAGAACACTCTCAAGTTTATAATAATTAGATAATTAATTCAATATTTTCAAAAATTTAGGAAATATTATTATTTCTTATCATTAATACTCAATCTTATAATGAGTCGCTCAAAAATTCCATCTTTAAATAAATTATGTTATTCTATCTTAATCATATGAATATTTTCTATATTTATAAGAATAAGTAAAATTATAATAATATTAATTATAATTAATTAAGGAATATACTGAGGATGATTAAAAATAAATTAGAAAATAAATAAAACTAGTTCAAACTCTAAAACTCTAATAAATGTAATTATATTTATTTTATATTTGAAAAGAATATATTTTATAAATTTTTGGTAAAATAGAAAAATAATTTAATGAAATATCATATAAATAGAATTAGTTTAAATTATTAAGTCTAAATTATCATCTATAATCTCTATTCCAAAATAATTAATATACTTCAAATTTTGTTTATATTATAAATCTAATTAAATATATATTAAGAGTAAATCTTTGAATTTAACTATTCTAGAATGAATATTTTTGTATGATTTGTTTGATTTTATTATTTTGTAATTAAAGAGTAATCTATGCTTATAATTGTAATATAATAAATCTAACTAACTTTGTTAATATATTATATTTATATTATTATTTAATAAGAAAAGATGGCCTCATAATTATTAGAAAAGTTATTCTAAAATAACCCTCATTTGAATGAAATTTAAAAAGATCGAATTGCAGAAACATTATAATACTTAGAGTAACATAAAATTTCACTTTTGTTTGAAGTAATTATTTAAGATGATTAAATTTAGGAATTATTGTCTTAATTAATATTTGAAATGAGCAATTAACCTAGAAAAACACTATTAGATGCACTTAAAAATTATAAAAATTAATAATTCTTTGACACATCTGATTATGAAGTAATTTTTGAACATTTTGATATATTTAATGATAAAACTGTCAAGATTAATTCAATTAGATAGGGATTATAAATAATTGGTATTACAAAATCAGAAGAAGAAATTAATTAAAAATATTAATCTATTTTAAAAAAAGGATTCCTAAATAAAAATGAATTTATTGATATTATGAAAAATGAATATACTTAAAGATGAATTTGGAATATTGTTTAATATAATATTTTATGTAATATTCTCATTATTGATGGACTTAATTTATACAAGATCCTTTAATCTTAAATTCATAAATATTATTTAAGGTTGTTTAGCTTATGTTCATTAAAGCTTCATGTGTGAAAAAGGCTTGATGTCCAGTGATAATAACATTAGGGAAAGATAACAATCTTGCTAAAACATCATCAGTTAATACTTCTTAACTTACATCTTTAAAGAATAATTTTTCTTCTTATTCATAAACATCTAAAATATTAATTTAGATTTATACCTATTGCTAAGCCTCCGATTTTTTTCTTTTTTAAAGCATTAACAACTGCTTTAGTTTCAATAAGAGCACCTCTTCCTGTGTTTATAATCATTACATTTTCTTTCATTTTTGTTATAGAATGATCATTAATAATGTGTCTAGTTTAAGGTGTTAACGGACAATGTAAGGATATGTAATCACTTTAGTAAAAGATATCACTTTCATCAACATATTGAAATCCCAAAGATTCAGCTAGTTTTTGATCTCTATGGGGATCATAGGCAATAACATTCATTCCAAATCCTTTACAAATTTTAGCAAAGCAAATTCCTATTTTTCCTAGACCTACTAATCCCATAGTTTTTCCATGTAAATTTGATCCAACAAGTCCATCCAAAGCAAAATTATGATCTCTTGTTCTATTGTAGGCTTTATGAATCTTCCTATTAAGAGACAAAAGAAGAGCCATAGAAAATTCTGCAACTGCTTCAGGAGAATAAGCTGGGACTCTTACAACATTGATTCCGAGTTTTTCTGCTTCTTTTAAGTCTACATTATTGAATCCGGCACATCTTAGGGCCACTAAATTTACTCCTTGTGTAGATAACTTTCTTAAGACTTATGCATTAACTTTATCATTGACAAAACAACTAATTAGAATGTAAGAGAAAGTATTTACCATACAGTATCACATTCATGTGCTAGTCTGGCACTATTTTCATTTAATTATTCTGCAAAAAATGATAATTTGACTTATTTTTCTTCTGGAAGACTTGTATTAACCTTTGTTAAGTAGTCTATGTCATATTTCTTGGTATTGAATACTGCTACTGATGGTTGCTATTAATATTTTGAAAGATATACTTTTATTGTATTGAATGCAAATCTGCTTAAAAGTTTAATCATTATTCTTTAAAATAAATTTATTTTCAATATCAAAATGTATTCTGGATTTAATAGTAAAAAACTTGAATAAGAATATAATTCTGTAGTAAATAAAATGACAATCTTATTGATAGATTAATTATCATTACAACTTTAACTTAGTAAAGTACCATTATACAATATATAGATTAAATTACAAATAAGCAATTTTTTGATAAACAATTTTCTAAATTGTTAAATTAGATTAAGTAATTAGAAAATTAAAAGAGTTAATCACCTAAATTCAGCAATCTCTTATAACCATTATAGTTTGTTATTTAAAACAATGTCCATTAAATGATATTTAATGAAGAAATATCAAATGTAAAACCTAAATATATTCCTCCAATTTTAGAATAAGATGTTTAATATTCTACTTAATTTACAAAGTTGTATAGTAATGTTGAAAGATAAATTTTATATATTAATCAAACTAAAAAATAGAAACACTTCTCTCCAAATAAAATCAATAGAGTTTGTAAATACTTAGATTAATAGAAAACAAAATAAATCAACTGTAATATTGGAGAATTTTATGCTGATTTTTAAAATGACTCATAAATAGTTGGAAAAAACAAATTGATTAATTAGAAGTTTTAATCTTTTGATTTAAACAAAATTGCTAAAACATCTTTAAGTGTTGATAATTCATAACATTAAGAAATATCTAGAATTTTAAATTTTAATGAACAGTATTGAACTTATATATTATTTTGATTTATAAATTAAATAAATTTATTTTTAATTCAATAAATTATAATAATAGTAATTAAAATACTTATCTTATAAGAAACAAATAGTTAATAAATATCATAATTTTTTTTAAGATTTTAAACAATTCTAGATTTTTTTAACAATAATTAAGAATTTCTCTTATAAATCTCTTATAAACTCTCTCAATAAAAACATTACTTATACAAATATTGACAATCCTATAGTTCCTATCATCAACCAACCTATCTAAAATCTTTGATCAGCATTTAATACACCAATCTAGAATTAAAAATTAATATATTACTATATCATCGAGAGCAAAACCTGTAGATAAAAGCATTAAAACAAATATACAAAAATCTGGAACACCATTTTAAATAAGTTCAGCATTAGATGTAAATGGATTTTCATAAAGAATTAAGGCTATATTTAAGAAACTAATAAAACAACTGAATACTGTTTATAAGAGTGGTTAATAGTAGAAATATACAACTACTATAATAAATAATGCTTTTCTGTTCAAATTGATAAATGAATACATCATAGCTGTACTTGATTTAGTATTGATACTTTCATATAATGTGCCATATTAATTTTAAAAGATTTCATGATCCAATAACATATGATGTTTAGTAGTAACATAATAGGATATGATTAGAGTAAAGACACAGACACTAATGCTCACATATGATAATATTTGATTGATGAATACAATTTAATAATCCATAAGACTGCTAGGTATTGTTGTAATTTGTAGTATAATAGCTAATACTAAATCTAGAAATGCTAAATTTAAAGATTTAATGAAATTTGATAAAAAGTTAATCTTAAATTTATGCAAAGGTTAATAGATCTTGTCAATAAGATAAGGGAATCTCTTTTTTGGATTTAAAATTATTTTATTTTATATTTCTACTTAAGCCTTTTAAATTTTTATTTTAGTAAATTTATTCTCTGTATTTGATTTAAATTTGTTAGAAGGCGATTGTTTGGTTTCATTCAATTGGAATATTTTAACAGATGATGATTATGTTTTCTATGTAACAGGAGGCCATATGAATTCTAAGATAAGTAATATCAAACAAGAAATAATTTAAACAGAAATTGTAATTGCTATTATGGCAAAGCAAGTCCATGTGTTATTTAGAAATATTGGATCGACTCCTTTTTCCATGAATTTTTTAGGACTTTCAATATAATAAGGATCAGTAGGTTCATTTAAAACAAAAAATGCTGGAAATAATTAAAAATCTCCCCAAGCAGATTTTTGAAAAAACATTCTAACATTTTCAGGAAAATAGATATTAATATAATAAAGATTGTTGATCCAACTTAAAATATCCATAATAGTCCAAAAAAAGTTGAATCCACCTAATACTATAACAGTTGGAGCTATAAAATAGAGCATTTCTCCAAGAGCAGATTAAGCATTACTAGCACTTTCAGCTTATTAAACTTGATTTTAAGAATAAATAACTTTTTTTCTTGGTGTAATAATAATTTCTCTAGTTTCTTCTTCAAGTACACGTCTAGATGTTCTTACTTTAACAGGAATGAAAATATGTATGAGATTTCCAAGATCAATAGTTTTATTGAATGAAAAATCAATATTACATTTGGAGTTGTTTTCATCAATTTATTCATAATTAATAAAGGATTAAAATTCATTTGGAAGAAATTAATCAATAGTGATATTAATTTTAGTGCAAGGATCACCTTAATCAATAGGAAAATTAAGAAATAAGCTATCAGAAGTAGTAGAATTTGTATAAGTAGCTTCTACTTATGGTTATGGTATTTTAGTGCAGGTTGATTGTTTACAAGTATAATACTTTTCAACTTGACATTTGGAATCACATCCATCTCCATCTAGAATGTTACCATCATCACATAATTCACCTTCAACTATAATAGCATCTCCACATTTTGTAACACATTTACGATTAACAATATAATATCCTTTAACATTTGTACATTTTGGACATGTTCCTTTTTCATCAGGTTTAGCATCTATAATAGTGCATGTTAGACATGTTTTATTATCTTTACAAGTGTAACACATATCAGAACATTTCAAACATTCATTTTCTTTTAGATAATAACCATCATAACATTAATCACAAGAACTTCTATATCCTTTTAAAGAACATGTTTAACAATGAGGAACACATTAGAAACAGATAGATCTTGATAGCATTTTATTAACACAAGTAAAAAGTGAATCGATTTTACAATCTGTACAACCATCTCTACTATTTTTATTACCATCATCACATTATTCTCCTTTTGTTAATTCTCCATCCCCACAATTTATATAATTACATATATCATTTACCTTTCCTTTTATTGTTGTACAACTCTCACATTGATTCTATTCATTTTCAAAAAATCCTTTTTTACATATACATCTAGATTCAGCAACTTCTCTATTCACTATTTAATAATATATTTATAATTCTTACCATCAATGCAACTTAGACAATCTGATGCACTTGTACAATTAGAACAAGGTGGAGAACATTCTATAATAAAATTAATAATAATATATTTACTTTAACAAACTTGTTTCTCATTTTCAAAGAATCCAATATTACATATACATGATACTCCATCTTAATCTAGTGATCTATTTTCTGAACATGTTAAACATTCATGATCATTAAGACATTTTCCACATTTACTATTACATTTGATACATTCTGAATTGTCATTCTAATAATATCCATTTGCACATTCACATAATTTATTTTCAGGGTTCATCTTTCTTGATGATATACAAATTAAACAACCAATATCTGTACCATTAACACAGGAAGTACAAGTGTTATGACATTAAGTACATACTCCATTATCATTTAAATATTCATTAGTTTTGCATTAACAAATATTATTAATAAGTTAATATTTTTTAGTGTCATCACAACTTAAACAATTATTGGCATTAGTTGAACAAGTTAAACAATTTGTTGAACAATCTAAAAAGTATATATAATATATAAAAAATACTTTCACATAAACCTAGATCATTAATAAATTAATGACTATCAAAACATTTACATACTGAAATATCTAATTAGAATTTTGTATCACAAGTTAAACAATTAGTAGCAGTGGTTTCACAAGTTAAACAATTTTTATCACATTCTATATAATATAATAAATAATTTTAATTACTTTAACAAATTCCATCAGAATCAAAATAATATCCATCTATACATTTACAAACATTTTTAATGGAATCTAAAATCTTATATTCAGCAGAGAAACAGCAATTATTTGAATCAGTACATGTCAAACAAGTAGGATGACATTGAATACAATCTGTTTAAGCAGCATTTATATAATGTTAAGATGGACATGTGCATACATTATTAGTAATAATCATGTTAACTCCAACACAACTTAAACACTATGTTGATGTATTAACACAATTTTAACAAGGAGATGTGCAAACTATTATTAATTAATCTTTATTTACTTTAACAAAAATCGCCAGATAGGTAATAACCATCAATACAGGTAGTACAGACTGATGAACTAGTACAATTAGAACAAGGTGGATTGCATACTATTAAAATAGATATATATATAAATCTACATATGCAAGTATTTGATAACATATAATAGCCATTTTGACAATCACAAAGATTAGTGTTTATATTTAATTGTTTTAATTCAGCTGCTAAACAACAATCATTTTAGTTAGAACATGTTGTGCAAGTAGGATGACAATCTAATATATAGTATAATACATATATACTCTGACAAATAGAATTAATTGTATCATAATATTGATTGGAAGCACAAATACAAGTTCCACCACTTATCATCATTGTAACATCTGTACAAGATAGACAATTTGTTGATTAAGTTTAACATGCTTAACAAGGCTTAGTACATGCTATTTTATTTTAATAAGATATAATTACATTAACAAGTATTATTCGATTCTAAGAAATAACCATCTAAACATGAATCACAAATATCAACAGTTGAACACAAAGTGCAAGGTAATACACATTCTTAAATTAAAATTAAAATATACATTAACATGACATATTTGCATCTATATAATATCCAGAGATACAATTAAGACATTAAGTTTCAGATGAGCATGTATTACAAGGAGAAACACAATCTATTTAATTATATATAATTGTCTTACTTAAACAAGTGTTCATGGAAGATAAATAGTAAAAGTTACTTATACAAGTCTTACATTATAAATTTGTTTCACATGTTAAGCAAGGTGGTATGCATACTAATGAAATAATATAAAATATAACATGCACATAATTGTGATGTATCATCATAATAATATGAATCATTAATGCAAGATTTACAAAGATTTAGATCATAACATGTTAAACAAGGTGATTAACATGAGGCACATAAATTATTTGATAAATAATATGAGTCATTTATGCATGAAAGGCAATAACTTGAGGTTGTACATTCCAAACATGGAGATATACATTAATAACAAGTAATATCAATATAATAAGTTTAGTTAATACAGGATGTACATGTAGTTAATGAAATGCAATTTTAACAAGGTGATTCACACACTAAATCATAATTATTTATTTTTACTTTAACATTCTACACTATTACTAAAATATCCATTTTAACATTCACATGCATTTGATAATGGATTATAAGAAGATAATGCCACACATTGATTACATGAAGTTTGATCAATACAATCCATACACAAAATGGGACAATACTAAATACACTGTCCATCTACAACCTATTACCCTGTTGGACATTAACATGTTGGTAATACTTAACCTAGGTATAAACATGAAAGACAATTGGTCACAGTAGTTTCACATGTAGAACATGGGGGTTGACACACTAAAATAATATTTAATAATCATACATTCACATCCAAATTCTGTTAAAGTATAATCATATTAACATTCACATTAACTATTTGCATTAATTATTTAATTTGGACCACAATTTATACAATAAGTTGCATACATAGAACATTAATAACAATTAGGATCACAATCTTAACAAATTCCATTCATATCTTCGTATTGATTAATAGCACATCTACAATAAAAATAGTTAGGATATATGTCAAGTACAAGTTGTTTTTTAGATTCAACTGAACAAGATTAGCAATTTGTAAAATAATCGCTACATGTTAAACAGTTAGGATCACAATCTTTACAGATATTTTATCCCAGATCTAAATATTAGCTTGAACTGCATAAACAATTAGATAGCACTCTATTACACTTTTACAATTCTTAAATGTAATCACATGGTTTAACTTGATCATAGCATTCCACTGTAAAATATATGAGATCACCAGTCAAATAATCAAAATATTTATTCCCTGATGTTCTTATCTTGAATTCAATTTATCCTGCTTTTTTCTTTTGATTAATAATATACTAAGGCGAATAAGAATTCTATGTTGAAAGTCTTTTTAATGAGAATAATGTTGGAATAGTTAAAGGATACTATAAAGTCCCATAAGTGATTGTAGCCCCTCCAATAGAAAATCCTGTATTTTAAGTACTTGAACTTAAATAGTAATTGAAAGATTAATAAATATATTCAGTAAATTCAAAGTATTAGTATTTCAACAAGTATAAAAATTGGTTTGCAGTAAAATAAAAAGTATTGAATCCAATTTAATTTAAATAAAAAGATACACTAAATGATATTTATGACTATAAGCACCATCCTAAAATGCCTCCTGAAACCGTGTTCAAATTTCCAGGATAAAGATCAATAGAGCTAAAAGATCCTGAATAATGTGATTAAATAACATTTTAAAATCTTTAACTCTTACCAGCTACCCACTAAATCTTATACCTACCATTACTGGTTTTGCATATCGCTTTTAATTCAAAATAATTGTTGTAAACATTATTTACAAAAACTTAAAATTCTATAGAATCTTCTAAATCTATATGTCCTATTAGGCTTATTGCCACTAGAGGGGGACTGTAATAATTTTTGGAAAAATATATCAAATATATTGTATCTATTGGACTGTTACATTAAAATTCATATGTTCCTTCATCAACAGTTAAATCAGGTATATATCCTAAAATGTTTTGATTTTATAATTTACTTATACATTCTGGTGAAATACCATCATCAAAATATCCTGTAGGGCATTTGCACTCTGGAGCATTAATTCGAAAGCCAGCACAAATGAAACAATAAGTTGGATTTGCTTAATCACAATCCAAACATGTTGGATGACATTTAGGAATACATTCTTTACGTAATTCATTAGCTACATAATAAGTTGGGCATATAGATACGCATTACCCTTAATATAAGTATAATCCCTAACTAATAATATAATTGATTACATTTAGACAATAAAAGCATTAATCAATAGAATATGCACAAATACTATTATTTATATATTCATAGGGTGAGAAAAATCCATTACTAATTCTCACACTAGTTAATTAAAATGGTTAAGAATTAGAATCTAAATAATTATGTATATTTACTAGAGTTAGAACCTATATATAAAGTATCTGTATTTGTTATAGAGATTTCACCCATAAAATCATATTAACAGGAGATATTTTCATTCTAAATAAACATAATTATTGACATCTGAACCAAATTAACTATACTTACCAAAAACTTTTATCCAAAAACCATACTACAAGAGAAACTTTGCATCAACTAATTAAAATTAACATAAATGTATTGATTTATAAAATCAGCCTAAATTTGCATTATTTCTTATTAAGATCTCTTTGAACTAAATGTGAACAAAGTTGATTATTCAGATTATTGATTATATAATAATTAAAATTCTATTGTTACTGATTTTTCGATTTTGAAATTCTCAATGTATATATACTATTGATTTTAGAATGATAATAGTTAGTTATTAATTATTATTTGTGGATCATTTATATCATAATCCAAAGAATTTCCCATTTGTACAATATGCTAATAATTGCTCCAATCCTTTAGAATCTTAGTTTGATATCTTTCATAAATTTTTAAATCTAGGACTACTTCAGGTTCCACATAAGACATTATTGTGATTTAATCTATTATTTTTAAATCAGGTGTATCGAATGTTTTCATCTTTTTTATTGTTATTGAGATAGCTTAACCAACAAAAGATTAAATAAATCGAAAATCATACGAATAAAAGTAATCCCATAAGTCATAAGTTGATTGAAAAAAACCAAAATATTAATAAGTGGATTCAGGCAATACCATGCATTAAGGATAAGGTCCATTATAAATTTGAACATAACAAATTTATTTTACTCCTTAAACCAGATTTTATTTGTAATACACATATATCCAAGAATTTGAGTTGAATAGATTAATTTCACTCCAAAGATTATAAGAATAATGGAGGACTTAAATTGATTGGTAATAAAGCACTATATTAACTGTTTTTTAGTTTATTTGCATCACAAGTTACTTATCATAATNTTACCCTTAATATAAGTATAATCCCTAACTAATAATATAATTGATTACATTTAGACAATAAAAGCATTAATCAATAGAATATGCACAAATACTATTATTTATATATTCATAGGGTGAGAAAAATCCATTACTAATTCTCACACTAGTTAATTAAAATGGTTAAGAATTAGAATCTAAATAATTATGTATATTTACTAGAGTTAGAACCTATATATAAAGTATCTGTATTTGTTATAGAGATTTCACCCATAAAATCATATTAACAGGAGATATTTTCATTCTAAATAAACATAATTATTGACATCTGAACCAAATTAACTATACTTACCAAAAACTTTTATCCAAAAACCATACTACAAGAGAAACTTTGCATCAACTAATTAAAATTAACATAAATGTATTGATTTATAAAATCAGCCTAAATTTGCATTATTTCTTATTAAGATCTCTTTGAACTAAATGTGAACAAAGTTGATTATTCAGATTATTGATTATATAATAATTAAAATTCTATTGTTACTGATTTTTCGATTTTGAAATTCTCAATGTATATATACTATTGATTTTAGAATGATAATAGTTAGTTATTAATTATTATTTGTGGATCATTTATATCATAATCCAAAGAATTTCCCATTTGTACAATATGCTAATAATTGCTCCAATCCTTTAGAATCTTAGTTTGATATCTTTCATAAATTTTTAAATCTAGGACTACTTCAGGTTCCACATAAGACATTATTGTGATTTAATCTATTATTTTTAAATCAGGTGTATCGAATGTTTTCATCTTTTTTATTGTTATTGAGATAGCTTAACCAACAAAAGATTAAATAAATCGAAAATCATACGAATAAAAGTAATCCCATAAGTCATAAGTTGATTGAAAAAAACCAAAATATTAATAAGTGGATTCAGGCAATACCATGCATTAAGGATAAGGTCCATTATAAATTTGAACATAACAAATTTATTTTACTCCTTAAACCAGATTTTATTTGTAATACACATATATCCAAGAATTTGAGTTGAATAGATTAATTTCACTCCAAAGATTATAAGAATAATGGAGGACTTAAATTGATTGGTAATAAAGCACTATATTAACTGTTTTTTAGTTTATTTGCATCACAAGTTACTTATCATAATATCCATAATTGTAAATCCAAGCTAAATCTTACAAATTCAATACTTCCAATAATAAAGTTATCTACCAAGCTATCGATACCATAATTATTGATATCATAGTAATAGATATTTCCACTTTCAATATTACCTTAATTAGTTGTAAATTAAATAGGATAACCAATTATGCTAGAGATTAAATTAAAGTTTTACTCTGATTCTAATGAATAAAATTGAGTCTCGGCTACAGAAATGAAAATTGCTAAAGTGATTACGTAATTAAACACCATATTTTAATATAATAAATTATAATGAAATCTCATATAACCTTGAAGATCACATAAATTTTTTATTAAAATTGATACCAACTTCAGTTGATGGAATTTTAATTAATTTTTGATCAAAGAATTGTTTCTATACCTAAACGAACTGATAATTCAGAAGAAGAAATTTGTTTTTCTCTTCTTACATAGCTAATTTTTTCATTATTCTATATATTTGAATTATTCATAGGATGCTAAGCTATGTAAAATATTATATTAAATTTCTCAGTAATTTTAAAAAAGAGGTCAGAAATATTTTGACTGAACCCTTTTAAAGAATTTATTGGAATTATAATGACTGAACCTAAATGATTTTCATATAACTGAAATAAAGCGCATTCTAAATATTCTTCTTTAATCTATAATGCTTAATCCTGTACAACAAAATGAAGTACATTTTATTAGTTATGAAAGTGAGCTAAACTAGAATCAGCATGATTATAATGATTATTCAATTATTGATAAGTGCAATTTATTTTATTACTTATTGTTTCTGAATCTGTGTCAATCAAAACTATATATTAATTATGATTGGGTTTGTTAACAATAACAATGAGCAATAACAACAAAATGCTCATTATAAAAATTAATTATTTTAAAACTAACAAACCAATATTATCTATATCCAATTCAACTATTATCTATTTTTATATAAAATCAATATCTTTTCTAATCTATAATCTACTTCACTCTAAAAAGTTTGTAAATCAAATTGAATTTAAGTTAATACAAAATTGAAATATAATTAATAACTTAATTAAAAATGGCTATGATGGTTCCCCCCTAGATGAATCCAAAATATAAAACTTCACTTTGTAAACATTGGACAACAACAGGAAATTGCAGTATTGGATCTAGATGTCATTTTGCTCATGGAGAAAGAGAATTGCGTAATCCTAATGATGTATTACAAATATTTATAAATTTATTTAGCCATTACCTCAATTACCAAGCCAAAATTTACAAGATCCTAAACTTCTATAAGTTTATTTCTCTGGCAGTTTGGGAATTCACAATTATAAAACCACATTATGCAAATATGCAAGCAATAACACTTGCAGATATTAAGAAATGTGTCATTATGCCCATTCACCAGAAGAAATGATTCCATTTGAAAAAGTTAGAAATGTTACTACACAAGTGTTGATCTCAAATTATGTCTCTTTAATAAAGAGTCATTATTTGTTAAATAGTCATTCAATTCCCGGTTTTAATATCAATTAAGAATAAGTAGAAGTAAATATGCTCTTTTTATATTTTAGTTAGCATTATAAATGGAATTCCAAAAATTGATAGTAGCATAATAACTTAAATTTGTACTTAATCATCTAGATAAAATGGATTACACTTAATCAGAATTGAGACTTAAATTAAATACCGCTCATGAATTACTTAATGCCAACAACTTTCCAGGTTGTAGCTAAACCATCAGTGATATAATTAATAGACCAAATGTACCAACAGATGAAAAGAAACATTATTAAGATATTCTTTTTGAAAGTGCTTAAGAAGGGTTTAGGATTGTGGAAGGATATTAAAGATAAATATTTGAATTCTAGTGTGAATAAGCATAACAACTACAGGAAACATATTAGAAGAGTGAAAATCCATAAACTTTATTTGGTAATGCACCAACTCTTCCTACCACAAGTATTCCAGGATATCGGTTTTGATAAATATATATAAAAATTTTAAATATCAATTCATCATCCTTAAGAAAAATATGTACATTTAATAAATGTTTAATAATTTGGATTAAAGCTCTATTAGAATATTCATAATTCCTTATTTTAATTTTGATAAAAATTTTATATTATAAAATTAGTGTAGTAATATAAATAAAAAGTTTAGATATAATAGTAATATATAAATTGTCTTTTAGAAAAAACAACAAAATTGAACATTAGTTGATAAGTTTAACAAAAACAATATGATATTAAAAAGATCATATTTATAATTTTACATTCATTTTAGATAAGAGTATTCTCAATTTTTAAAAATATTTTAAATTTCTTAAGTCAATTTTATAGATTCTATGAACCTAATGGTTTTATATAGAATTATATTTATCATCATCCATAAGAATATATCTAAACTCTTCAAAATTTAAATTATCAAAAATAAAATAGAATAATTCAATTACATTAAGCACCAATATATTTATAGATGTGTACTAAGTGATTTTATATATATTTCATGTCTATTTATTTAAAAATTTGGATATAAATCCTGTTTTGTTAGGATAAAAATTTTGCTCTGTTTAACTCATTTATCTACTTTTAGATAGCAATTGCTAATTTAATTGTTCATTTTCCTTTATATATTTAGAATTAAGCATCATCAAATAAACTTCATTTTTTTCAGATTCTATCAACTACTAATTCAACTTATCTATCCTTATCTTAAATTGCTCTTTTTCTTCATAATATTGTTAATTTAACAATTCTAATTCTTAAATATATTAAAGAGATGTCTTTTCATTCTATAATTGAAGTATTTCTTCTTTCTGAGTAGAAATGAGACAAAGTAATTCCTTTTTTAAATTTTATAATTCTAATTGCACATATTTAATTAGAGCGCTAAAAGTTTCAGCCAATTATTTCTTGATAGAATCAAACTTCATGTTCTTCTCATCTACAACTGATTTCATTGCATTTAATTGTTATTGCAATTTTCTATACTCAAAATCTTTTAACTTTAATTCTAACTAAAATTGCAAATTCATAAATTATATAATATTAACTCATTATTGTTATTTCAAACTTTCGACAAAAGTTCATTCAATTAAATCAATTTAATCAATTATGAAATCACAATTCAAAAATATTATTAATTAAAATCATTCATTTAATCTATCTACAATATCACAAAGTAATTAAGATGTCCATCTTGCCTATTTAGGAATTTAATTTAACAATCCTAATCTGGATTCAATGTTTTCTAATTCCAAATGAGGTTTGAATCTCTACATAGCTGCAGATCCAATTGATAATTGATGATTCTCCTCTCTCATTCCTAATTGCCCTCTAAGTTTATTAATCTCACTCTTTTCTACTTTAATCTTTTTAAAAAATAAATTAGATTACATTATCACGCATCCTTTCTATAGCCTTCAACTAATTTTATTGTAACAATTGTTTTATCGAATCAGTCATATAAATTAAATCATCCATCAATGTCAAATCAAATTTCTCAATTACTCTCTATTCCCCATTTACAAATTAAATATCTCTAATACAACAAAGACGAGAAATCTCTGAGAATTCATATAATTCCTCTGTCTAAGGATTTATTAAGATTCTATAAAGATTTTTTCTTATTCCTATCTAATTTTTTACTACCTGAAACAGTTTTCTTGAATTATTCAAATAATCCTTTTTTTACAATGAACTTATACTTTCAATAAATGAAGATTATGAATTAGATTATACAATTATTCAGTGAATTTCTTATATTATTAAGCTAAGGGATTACGAACTGTTTCCAACAAACTTATCTTCTTACGCTTATCTCCTTATTCTTTTAATGATTTGAATCTTTGTAAGGTTGTCTGACTTTCAGTTTAAAACAATTCCACTTCCTCTTTAATTTTTTTGATTGTTGCATCACCAACCAAAGGAGACCGAAATGTTCTCACAGAATTCAAATGATCCAAGTAGCCTTATAAACTATGATCTTTTTTAAATGTTGGTCTGGGAGTGGTGGATGTTTTTAATTTTTCTTTTGGACTTCTTTCAAAGATTGATTCTCCTTAATGGGTCAAATTTATGGGTTTGGTTGATTAAGAAACCAAGCGTCTAACTGGGGCAACAGTGTGAAATCGCTTAGATGTTCTAGTTGGTTGTTCCTTACGGTGGAAAGTCAAGGTCTCTTAATGTTTAAAGATAGGAAAGACTACATTATTCTTTAAAATAAGACTCATTATAATTATATTAATTTATGGAAAACAAAAAGGAAATAAAAGATCAAGAGAAATAAAAACCAATTGAGAAATCTAAATCTTTAGTTCCCATGTTGGATAAGGAGGATATTGAGACTTTAAAATCATAATTGCAGAAATATGAAGATTTAAAATAGAAATATAATTTGTGATAGTAAATCATTATTCAAGAGTTTAACATCTTATTTTTATTAATTACAAATCTTTCATTTGTTTCATTGACTTAATTAGATAGTTCTTCTTTTAATTAGTTAACTTCTTTTTCATAGCATCTACTGTATTAAATTAGAGAAAGTTCTGAATTAAACTGCTTTTTGTTCTAGAACTTAAAGAATTTTTATTTTTCATTGTATAGATTGAGTCAGTTCTAGAGGAGAAATCTTTTTACTGTTCTGTTTCTTATTTTGACGGAGAACTACTCTCAGTCTTTTGATTTATTCCCAACTTTTATTATAGTTATTAATATTATATTGATTGTTTAAAACAATTTCTTTTTTACTTATTTTCTTCAAATTTCACCTAAAACAAAGCATAATCTTCTAAACACTTGGTAACCTGCTTTAAACTATTTTGTGTATTCAAACTTTAATTAGTTTAATTACTAGAGAATATACTGCTCCCTCTGTTAATCGTTGTGTCTAGTTTTCTTTAATATCGATTTGTTATTCCATAATATTACTTTTTACAATCTTCCTCTTAAGTACTTTAATTTCTATTCCTTATTAATTTTTTTGTAGTCTCTCTATGTTCTATACTTTTTTTGATTATTGTTTCAAATAGCAAAGTTCTAGTTTACTATTTCTTTTCCATCATATTCTTCAATCCCTTTACACATTATTATGACCCTTTTAATAAGAATGATTAAGCACTAATTTTATAAAATTTAGCTTATTGACTATGAACAACTACTGTATAAAAATAATTATCTTAAAATAATGATTCTTCTCCTATAACTTATTAATTATGTAAACTGCATAATAACATTTAATGATTTTGATGTTTTTTCATTATAGCCACTTCTCCTTCAAATAAAATGTAAAAAGTATTAGCTTAATCTCCTTCTTAAGTGACTGTTTCATCTCTTAATTTAATTTCTTCATTGAAACTGTACATTAAACTCTCAATCATTAAAGTTGATGTTATTCTTTCAAAATATGGAATAACTGATTGAAAAACTTCTCTTTTGAATTCTGCATCTTTTTTGAATGATCCTAAAACTTCAAAAAATTCATTTCTATTTAAAGATATTAAATAAGTATCAATGTCAGCAATACAAGTTGCTGATCTTTAAGCATCTCTATTATTCTCCATTAATGCTTTTTCTCCAAAATAATTACCAGAATTCAAATCGTTTATTAAACATCCATAATTTTACATATAATTTTATAAGATATCAGAATGTAATTCAGTTTTAGAAACAGTCTATTAACCTTTCATCTACTATCTTATTATTGAATATTATTATTTAAAGATTAATACTCTTCCCTCAATAATTAAATACATTTTATCATTTGATATGGCTCCCTCTTTTAAAATTATTGTGCCTTACTTAAAAACTTCCAATTATAATTTTGTACACAACTAACTTAAATGCTTTAGCTTACATGATAGATTTACTCCATATCATTCTTTAATCTACTTGAATTAAATAACTCTTAAAAAAAACTATACTTCTTTACTTAATTGTAAATAGTCTAAACATAAAATTTACTAGATATACCATTCCATCTGATAATTTGCAATGTGGTTTTGATAGTAAACCTATTAATGGAATAGATTGGTTGAGGTCTTCAAATTTCAACAACATTGCGTTATCACCTTGATTGTAGATGCGCTGTTAATATTTGTTTTAAATACTTCAGAATGAGGCTAGATCAATGAACGCGAAAACATAAAATTACAATTGGAATGAGTTCTTAGTTTGTAAGAGCCTTCTCTTACTGGTGATGAAGCTTCACTCATTTAATATTAATTAATTATATGTTATAAAAATTTTAAATGATAAATTATCATTATAAATATCACTAAAAACAAATTCAATCATATTAAATTAAACAAAATAATTGAAAGATTTGTAGTATTAATCCATATCAAAATATTTTATTTTATATAATTTATATCCTATTACATTTTTCACTAATAATATACATTGAATTCCACAATTAATGATATTATTATAAAGATCATTAAACCTATACTTAAATTACCTCTTATTTAATAATTATTATTTAGATTTTACCTTAAGACCATAAAAAATATGAATGTTTGTCACTCCTTATTATTAAAGTTCTATTTCATCTTTATTAGTTATTAGATTAATTTTTAAGTGATCAGTATTTTTGATAGAATCTTAATATCTTTTATAATATTTTTATTTCATATCAGTTCACTTGTAATCTAAAATTATAATTTCTAAATATTTATTTTAATCCTCTTTTGTTATTTTAGAATAGTTAAAATAAATTAAGATACTCTATTTCTTAATTTAAATTCTAATATCTCTATATTATAAATAATCTAATCCATCAATGAAAAAAATGAATAGTCATTTTGGTTTTAATTGATTCATAAATAATAAGAATATAAAAATGAATGAAATAACAGAGTTTACTATTCTTTAATTGAAAAGTTAATTAGAAAGTTCATTAGAAAACACTGGGTCTTAATCTAAAGAAAGCTTAAAATTATTACTATAATATAGTAGGATGCTTAGCAGTTATGCAGAATAGCAAACTAATAATAAAGCTATTACAATTTTGAATCAAGGTAATATTTATTTGTCAATTATTATTTAAGCTTTTAAAATGTTATTACCTGATAAACCTCCAAAACTCTTAAGTATTTAATTCTAATACTGGAGATTATTGATTATGACTGCTATTAAATTATGTAAAGCATTAGAGATTAATGGGTAGTTGCAGCAAGGCTTAAATGTATTGATTTAGATTGAGAACATTACCAAATAATATAATAAATCACTTGAATGGGCTTTAAATGTAGAATTGGAGTATCTTTATTATCATTTGGCCATAATCTGGGAAAAATTATAAAATAAAGAAAGAACTTTTTATGCTGCTAATGAATGTATTTTACTTCTTAAAAGTAATCTCAAAAATAAAGCAGAATAAAAACAAATACATATGATAGCTGAGATGCTTAAATTATAATCATAAACAAAAAATTCAATTCATCAATAATTATCTTACTTTAATTAAATACATTTTTATTAATCTAAATATTTGGGAGACAATCATAAAGAGACAATAAAAACTATAATGAGGATAAATTAACTTAAGTCTGAAATTCAATTTGAAAAAGAAATAGAGGAATTCAGTAAAGAAGATTTTAAGAAAAAACTACCTTTTTAAGAAGTCTCATAAATAGATTTTTATGGAGAGGAAAAATCATTTAATTTAGAATAATAATAATAATAATAATAAACTAAATAATTTGATTCTAAAGAATATTTAAGATAAAGATTATTTAATTAATAAAAACAACTTGTTATACATGCTAAAAATAATTCTCAATCAAAATCATCTCTTCGAATAAGTCATTAATCAAAGAAAAGTTTAGAAGATTTTAAAAGATTCACAGATACTAAAATTAATTTAAAAATTAATTCTAGAACATCTAGTTCTGGTGATAATAAATTTTATTATTTTTTAAATGTTAACAATTTACAGTAATTTTTATTTTAATTATTAGAGGGAGAACAAAAACTGAAACTACATAGTATAGAACAACCTAGAGTAAAAATTAAGATAGATTAACACCATAGGGAATTCCTAGTTAATAATTTAGATGTAAAACTAATAAATCTAATGTATCACTTAATAATACCTAAAATTAATAAGAATTGAATAGTGGCAAAAATGTAAAGGATGATGTATTTAAAGATTTAATGACTTAAAGACCTAAGAGTAGTATAGCTTAATAAAGATTAGCCAAACAATTATAAATGACAATAGGACATTAAGTAATAGCTAATAAAAAGTCATCTTAATAAATATAATTAAGCAATTCAAAGCCTATTGAAAGAATGTTAAAAAAATTAAATACTTAAGAATTAAACCTAAAAAAAAGAGTATTAAATTTATAATAGCCAATATAACATTCTGAAGTCAGTACTAAAAAATCAAATTAAGCTTAAGAAATAGTTTTTGGCCCTTAATCTTAAAAATCAATTAATTTGGTAACATCTGGAGGTATGTTATATGTTTTTAATAAGATGATCATACTTAAAAGAGGAGTGACCTTGATTTGTTTGAATATAATTTAGAGAAAATAATTAAGATTTAGAGATTCTTTAGATTTAAATTAAAATAATTTCATAATTATGATATAAAGCATGAAAAAATTAATTTAAATAAATTTAGTGTAGGATTTGTTCATGAAGATGAAGATAAATTTGCTGATAAAACTCCTGCTTTACGGGGCAAATCAAATAATTTTAAATTTGCCTATTAAAGGAGTAACACATCTTCAGTAGAATCTATTAAATTTGCTAGCAAGAGAGATAATTTTTTATAGCCATAATTATTCTAATACAAATAAAAGGATCATTCATTTAATAGTTAAGCAAGTAGTAAATTAATAAATCAAAAATCAGGAAGCAATAGTTAGATAAAGTAAAATTAGTAAATAATAACATAGTGAATAATCTTCAGAATCTTTATAAGATTTTGAATAACAAGTTTTAAATATTGACAAAAAATGGTTTTATGAAGAGTACATTTAAGGTTAATGTTTCTTTTTTTGTGATGATCAAGCAGATTAAATTATGAGACTTTTAAAATTTAAAGTTAAATTTCTACATTAAAATGAGGATGATAATATTAGTCTCTTATGTGAATTAGAAATAGAAAAAGGTTTTCAATCTCATATTATAATACTTCCAATAGTTTTATCAATGAAGAATTGGAAATTGTATGCAAAAATGAAAGGTTTATAATTCTTTTTAAATTTATTAAAAGAATTTGTAGAATAAAATTTCCCAATAATTCCTTAAACAACAAAAATTCTCATCTATAAAGGTCAATACTTCGATATGCTTTTAGAATCCATTATATAATTAATTTCTGTGATAATGAAGAATATTTGTAGTGAAAGAAAGTTAGTTGGAGTAAAGTTGTATTATACAAAAGATGTTTAAATAAAGAAAAATAGAAAAATGATTTAATAATATTATTAAAAATAGAGACAAGAGCAGAAATAATATTATTTTAAGTCATTATAATTTTTTATGAATCACTATGATATAAGAATAAACAAAAGAGCAAGTTCCATAGATTTGAATCTTAAAAGTTTGATGGGCAATGAAATAGCTAAGTAAAAGTTAAAAGCAGCTGAAAATGCTGTATTATTTGCAATTAAAGCTAAAACATCAATTTAAAATTAACCTCCTAAACCACCTGTAATTCCTTTGATGTTATTTGATGATGATAATGTTTAATCTCCTTAAATATTAGAAGTATCTATGAGAGATCCTGATGTTAATAGAATGTAATTAAAAAACATTATCAATCCTTAAAAAAGAAGATAATCAATTTAAGAGTAAGAAATGAATAGATTCAGTAATCTTTTTCAATAAAATTAGAAAGTTCATCATTAAAGAAATCATTCTAATTTAACACCCAAAAAGACATCTGATAGTATTTTTAAAAAGACATTCACAATTGAAACAAATCTATTATAATAAAAAATCTTAACTCGTCCTTAAACTATAATTCAATAAGTTGATTAATCATTTTCAAGTAAATCCTAATAATCTTAGACTTCTTCTAATAATTAATCAAAAGATCATGATTTATAACCACCATCTATATCACATAGTGTATCATTAAGTTAATAGCCTCCTCCTTCATTTAAGAAAAAAAATGTTGGAAATGTTTCATAATCTTAATAAGGAAATACAACAAATTCAGTTTAAAATTTACTTGATACATAATAAAATTTAGTTGCCCATTAATTATTTGATACATAAGCTTTAGAAGGTTTAGAGTTGATTCCTGAACAAGAAAATGAATTGGAGTAGAAAATAATAACTATATATTAAAAAGATGATCATTTTACAGTATCACCATAATGGAAGATAAAAAGGAAGGCTACTATTCATAATTTTTAATTTGAATATTTTTGGAATTAACACAAATAATAAAAAAAAGTATTTTAGAAAATTTATAATAATCCTTTTAATATAAAAGAAATATTAATGGTTGGAACATAATAAATTGATAAATAATATTTTTTAATAAGTGTGACATAAATATTAAAAGAATAGATTTAAATATTTAATCAATCTGTATTAAATAATAAAGAATTAGTTAAAATTCAAATAACATATCGTTTAGCATATCCATATGATAATGTATGGTAAGATAGTATAGTAATTAAATTTAAAGAATTTATAAAGTGGTTTGTACCAGATTTTGAATTATCTAGTTATATTTAATATTTTGGATTAAGTAAAAATCAAAAGATTCAAGCTTTGTCTTATTTAGGTCGTTATGCACATATAAAAGAATCAAAAATTAAATTAGAATATTATGAAGAAAAGCGTAATAAAAATAAAATCAAATAACACTAAAGGAGAGATATTGAAATCTCAAGAATGAAATAAATTGAAGGTATGTTAATTAGAGATAACATGGATTTATATTACATATAAATATTAGGATTGAATAATTTATATTAAGAATTATTGAAAGAAAGAAAGATATTAGAAGAGAAAATAAAAAGAAAAGAAGAGAGATTAAGACTTTTTCTTTAATTAACTGATCCAAATAAATTAGACCCTACAACTTAATAACCAAAATATATTGGATATGATTATGATGGTGATTCTGAGGAAAAAACAATTTAAGTTCCACTTAATCTTTAAATGTAGATTTTAAAATCATATAATACTGTTGTTTATTTGAAATAATAAAAATAAATAATTAAGATACAATCAACATATTTAATTTGGGAAGGTGACAATATCAAAATGTGGAGACCATTCTAAAGAAAGATTTGGCAATAGGTTAAGATTGAAAATAAAGATAAACTTATTAATGCTATTCAATGTAAATTAAGAAATTATATACTGAAATAAATTATAGTAAAGATATTAAGTTTAAATGGTAAGAAATATATAATAAAGTAATAAAAATAGTTTGTATAAAATAATTCCTCATAAGAACTACTTTATTAATATTTTTAATTAAAATAATTTTCAAATTAGTAATTTTATAAGTTTTTAAGTATATTACGTGTTTAATTATTGTAATTAGATGATTGTTCACATTTATGGAATTCATATTTTAAATAATATAAATAATTATAACATTGTTATATTTCTTAAATTGGGGATTGTTTATTAGAAATTATTGTATTAATTGATAATTTTGCATAAGTTTTAAATTAAAATTTAAATAGATATGTATTTATAAGAATCAATATTTATGAGAAATAGAATATGAAAACAAAAATGCATAAATTAGTTTTAACTCTTGATGATTTACATATAACATCAAAGAAATAATATGATTTAAATAATGAAAATATAACTCAAATTATTTTTGATGATGTATAAAAATTGATGCACAAATATGTAAGTTATGAAAATTAAGGTGTTACAAAACATCCTACTTTAGTAATTAAGAATAGTAAATTAAATAGAACATTTAAATTAGTTAATTCATTACCTTGGCTTCATAATTTTAATTATGATGAATTTTAAGTAACACTTTACCCTTAAAAATTTTAATTCTATCATCCTTAAGGGTTACATCCTAAAATAATATGTAAAGTTGTTAAATTTTTAAAAATTCCTTAAGTATTTTCAAAAAGACATCATTCATTTTATGATAATTATGAAAAATAATATGATAAATTATAAGAAGATTTTACTTTTAGAGTACCTTGTATAATTACAATAGAGAAATTTTAAGAAATTTCAAGTTTTTATATTTATATTTATTTTCCTCAATTTTGCAGAAGATTTATTACAAAATTACATTTTGATGATATATTAATAAATTAAGATTTCAATTTAAAATTAAATTTTTAATTTAAAGAATAATTAAGAATTCATAGAAGTGAAAAATTATGGTAAAGTTTAATAGAATCATTTAAGATTGTAATTAATGATTAAAAGAAATTAATTTTGTAAATTGAGAAATTTAAATTGTCTTGTATATTATAAGAAGTAGTATATTAAAAAATAAAATAAATTGAAAAGAGTTAAGAATCAATCCTATTTATTGTTAATATTGAAAAAAAGATTGAATAAGATCCAGAATAACTTTTGATTCATTATCCATTTGAAAGAATGAAATTACAAGAAGCAAAAAATTATAGTATGTTTCTAAAATTATAATGGCTAAATCAATATGATAATATTTAATCTTATAGATTACCATTATATGAATTAATGATTGGTTATTTTGAAAAAACAATAAAAGGTTTTAATATGTTTGATTATAAATTTAAATTGGTAGATTTGATAAGAATGTGTTAAATTTCAGTTGAAAATATTATTATGAATTTTTCTATGAATTAAACAATTAATTACAATAATACATTAGATTAATTGATGCCCTAATAACTTACTTACAATATTAATCAAACTATTAAATTAAATATCAATTTAAAAACCATATAAGTAGATAAATCTATGTATAAATTATTGTATAGAGGAGTTTTATTGAGAAAACCATCAATTTTAGTAGGTATATACTAAAAGTTACATAAACAATAATTATATTTTTATATATAAAGAGCAAAAGATTGTGAATCATTTATTCATAAAATCAGATTTTAAGAGATAGAAAATATTTATCCAGGATTTTAATTGAATTTATAAATTAATTAAAGATCAATTGGTCCTAATATTTTTAAAATACTTAAAAATAGATTGATTGTATAAAGTTATTATCAATTAAATTGAAATACTATATATCAAAGTTTTTGTTTTGAAATATAATAATAATTAAGTATTAAAATGTGCATATTGTATTATTATAAGTTTCCAATTGGAATTAAAGAAAACATAGCATACAAGAAATTTGTATGAATATATCATTTATTTATTTAAAAATGTACTTTTCTTTTTGATTCTGCATCACCTTAAGTTTACATTTTTCGAAATTAACTATATTTTAATTCTTATTTCATTATGCTTTTTACAGATTTATTATCAGCACTATTACTTCTATGACTATCATTTTCACTTTTTTCTTCAAAAGTAACTCTATGCTCAGAAAATGACTTTAATTTATTTAATTTTTTTGAATCGAAAGACCTCAAAGAGTTCTTAGGCTAAAAATCACAAAGAGGAGAATCATCTTTTCTTTTTTTCTTTAATGAACGTTATGATGTAATAGGACTTTGTTGTACATCTGCTATCTGTTTTGGTAAATCCTCTAGATTCATTACAATTTCTGCAACTAATTAAATGTCTTTGTTAGAGTATTCAGACCGTTTACTTCCTAAAGACCTTAAATCTGCAAACCCAGGAGTTGCAGGATCTTCACATTTATTTGGATTAACTGAGAGTTTCTCCTTTTGGGAAGGAGTCTTAAATTGGACCAAACATTATTCTTGTTGCTTTTTTATAGATTTCTTTGAGGATTTTATGGATGATTTCTCAGTGTCTTCAATTTTAAGCACAATTTCAGATTATTAGTCACTAGATAAAGAACAACAATTTGAGCTCCCCATAATTTAATGTATTAAATAATACTCACTAAAATTCTTTTAGATGAACCAAATATTATCAAAAAGTAATGTTTATCGAATAAGATTGATTGGAACTTTAAGAAAATTGAATCTAAAAAGGTAGCAATTTAAAGACATAAAATTAATAATAGATACTATTAGTGAAATATTTTGAAAAATTAAAATGAACATAATTTTATTATAATTATAGTATAATTTTATTAAAATAGTTAAATGAAATAATTTCAAATATCTATTAAAGATGATCATAAAATAGTTCTCTCTCATATTTATTAAATAAAGGTAATTAATAAAAAAAATACTTTTGTTACTATTTAATTTTTTATTGAATATGATAACACATTTAGAAGGTCTTTAAAAGAATGTGATAAGAGAATAAATGCTAAAAATTTGTGATAAAAATAGAATCTATTAAATTTGATAATTTAACTGATATTTTTATTTATCTGTTAAAATTATTATTATATTTATTTATCTGTCTTAATGGGTGCAGAATAATCTGTAGCACAAGGAATTGTTAAATCAAAGAACTTTACAATTTTAGGTTATAAGGAAAATGAAATCTATGGATCTTTCAAATTAATTGAATCTCAATCAAAATAATATGCCATGGTCTCTAAGACTTGTTAGAATTATGAAGATTATACTAATTTATGTTAGATACTCAAAGAAACTTAATCTCTGAATGAAATTGATCATTTAGTAAAATTAGTAGAAGTTGATACTCAAGAAGAAACTAATTTATGTAGTACATTCTATAGAGTCACTGCCTTATATGAATATTATGATATAAATCTAAGACAAATCACAAAATAAGCATCAATAAATTGTTTATTTGTTTTGAAGTGTCTAGCAGATATACTGAGTTAATTATATGGACATAACATTGTACATGGAAATTTAACTCCAGATTATGTATTAATTGAGAAGATTAAGGGAGAAATAAAATTGAATAATTGTACCTAATTAACTGGGTATAATCATTACAAAAGAATATTATCAGGTGATAGTTTATGGTATTTATCACCTGAATTACTTACTGCATTAGGTAAGAAGGAACTCAGACCTTAATATAATCACGAGAAGAATGAAGTATATTAATTAGGATTGATAGCTTTAGAGTTTTGGGGAAATTGTAATATTTCAGAGATTTATGATAAATAGAATTATAAAATGAATGAAAGTATATATTTATTTAATATATGATAGATATAATATAGGAATCAATAGATGAATTTGGAGTGAGAAATGGATATGTATTAAAAAATGTGATAAAATAAATGTTGTAGGAAGATCCAAATGCTAGACCAACAATGACTGAATTGAGTTAATCATTTAAACAGTTATTTGAGATACAATAATAAGTAGAAGAGCCAAAAGTTTAAAATTATGAAGAGTAGGGAAATTAATATGAATAAACAAATAATTATTAAGAAATAAACAAAGAAACACATGAAGTTTAAGATGAAGTATTATAATTTAATAAAGAATCATTTTAATATTAAGAGGGAACCAAGAGGGATATTCAAAATGAAAACTCACCTAGAGTTTAATTTGAAGAATCACCTAAAAAAATGGAAAAATAAAATGTAGATTTTAATAGCCAATCAGTAAAGTAGTCTATAAATTAATCAATAAAAGAATTCTATGTAACAGGATCAATTGCTGCTTAATTTGGATAATTAAATTTACTTGATAGTAATTCAGACTATAAGACTATTGGAATTACTCAATTATAAGATGATGGAGATGTACTATAAGAAAAGTCATAAAACCATCCTACTTCACCAAAAGGGTAAGATTCTATCAAACCAAAAAAGAGTGTGAAGGTTAATACAGCTTCAGCAAACAAAAAGGGAGTTTCAATAAAAAGACCTAAACATGAGATTATGGACACTAAATTGCCTAAATAAGCTGTGGTTGTGAGCAAAAAAAGATGATATAAAAATTATATTACTATAAATTATTATTAATTTTATTTTCAATTTCTTAATATATTCTTATATAAGGAATTCAAAATTAAAATATAAGGGATTATTTCCATGATTATATGGCTAAATCTAAAACTTGTTCATTTTTTAGTAATGATGTTTAATATCGAAGTAAGAAATAGAATTTTCATATAAATTTATAGATTCTAATTGAATTTATAAAATCTTATTCTAAAAATTAAGTTTTAGTCCTTAATTTACAAAATAAGATAAGAAAATCTAAAATTTTATATAGATTTAATTTCATCATTATATTGACTATATAAATAAAATTTGAAATAGAGTAATTTAAATATCTCAAATTAGAAAAGAGAAAAACTTTTTTAATGATGATTTAAATGTTGCAGATAGTAATGTTTAATTCTTTTTCTATAATAGTAAGTATAATTTATAAAATAAAAATGTTTATATAGATTACTATAAACATGATCCTAAAATTTGATTTTATATTTAATATCATTAAAATATTTTTGCAAATTCTGTCTTAAATTCTTCTGCTCCTTCCTTGGTTGTGAACATTACTTTTAATATATCAACAGATATAGAATTCTTTTCATCCTTTTCACCTTATTCTCCTTATTTACTATCTTATTTTTCTTTTCTACTAATAGCTTTAATAATTAAATTTTCTGCCTTCTATCCCAAGGGTTTGATCTCTGAAAATCCTTTGACGAATTAGCCTGTATACAATGATTATTATATTGCATTTCTAAATAGTAGATAAATAAAATACCTATAAACAAGATAGTAAGATTCTCCAGTTTTAGTTTTTTCAATGGCAACAGATCCCTTTTCTAAAATATCGTTGGTATTTTTTCTAAACTTTTCAACATTTACCTTTAATTAAAATTGCAAATTACCTTTACTAATTATTCTGTGTTTGAAGTATAATTATATTTCATTACTATTTATTATGGTTCATCATCTTCTGGTTTTTACTCATCCTATCCTATAAATATTAATATTTAATGAATACCATCATCTTCTCCAGGATCACTATCATCAGATTTTGGAGCCTTATAACTAATGCCAAACAAGGATGGTCCTGGTTTTGTTAGATCTACATTAACATTGCTTAAAACTGAAGGTCCAGAACTGAAAATTCCAGTTGTTGGTTAGGATGACCCAAATAAACTTCCTTAAAATATTGAGGATGTTTAATTGTTATTGAATAAATTTTATCCATTTATCATTGATCCAAATAAACTTGGAACTTTATTTTCTGTCTTTTATGCTTCATTTTTCTCTTCATTCTATTATTTATTTTCTGAAGGTGTATTTTTATCATCCTCTTAACCTTTATGAGACTCATCCACTTTTGTTGCAAATTCAGCGGATTATTAGGCCATGAATAATTTAAATATTTAAATTTTTATATATGTGCTTTTAAAGAATATGAATAAAAATATCGAAATTCTGTTCCTATTCAATTAATCACATTAGGATCTGATTGTATATCTTCTTCTTGAACATAATAATCTTCTAAATCAAGATTAACATAATAGTTTCCTTATGTTTCATAATTAAGAAAATCCTATTAATCATGAAAAAGATATTTCAATTATGATATGAATTCCAATACTTTGATTTAATAAAAACACATTTTTTTTTTGTAAATTTCAAATACTTCATCTGATGAAGAATTTATAAGATTATTCATATTTAGATCTTCATCATCCCCAGTTTTAATTATTTAAATCAAGAGGTTTTTAAAGATAACTTAAATATCTTTTAAATTTTTTGTAGCTAAGAACTTTTCAATTTAATAATTTGTAATTTATTCAATTGAAAATTTATTTTCTAATTATTCTAATATTTAAATTAATTCATAATAAAATTGTTCATCTAATAAAAAATAAAATTCCCTTAATAACTTATACCATTATTTATTTTCTAAATGTTAATTTTCATATTTATTAATTTTACAATTTTAATCCTTAAAAAAAAAAACAACTATTCTCGATTTTGTCTTTTTTTTTTAAGAATTTTATTCAAGATAATTATTTGAAAAATTTACCAGAAATTCAAACAAAGGTTAACTTTATTTTATTTATTTTTGTAATTCCTCCTTTTACATTCTTTTAATTTCATCTTTTTCATTTTTTGAATTTCTTTTTGCTCCAGCTAAATGAATAGAAACATGTCTTCCATTCTTTAATAAAAAGTATAAAATATTTTTAATTTATATATTACTGCTCCAAATATTTCGGTTATCAATTTTAGTAGTATTTAAGTTAGGAGGCTTACCTACATTTTTTTTTTTAATTTCTTAATTTCCTTATCCTTTATAATTACATTTAATTTTTGACTTTTTGTGAGCTTGATAGGATTTTTTGGTTCTAATATTTTTTCTCATTATTTATTTGATTGTAATTCTATTAAGAAAAGAATATAATAACATATATTTATATAAGAATAATTTTTTGATTTATAATGTATATTTGATTATTAAACTAAATTAGTGAACACAATTTATAATATATATATATAGAAATTTAAATAAATTCTCATATAATTGTAAAATTAGATTTTTTTATAAATAAAATAGATTCTAAGTGTAATTGATATATAAATTCAAAATAAATCAATATTAGTTAGGTCTTTATATAATTAATTATTTAATTTTATTCTAAAAGATATAATTTTAATATATTACCTTTTTTAAATACCAAATCCTACCATATCAAATCTAAATATATTTTCACTAATTTTTATTTCCATTTTGTCTTCTATTCTTAATGGTTGACTTATTTTTTATTATGTTGGATTTAATGGATTTTCATATTATTATAATGACTACCAAGTACCATTAGCAGATTGTTTTATTCCTTCTCCATCACATATTTCCCATTAATTTACGTTAAACTTAATTTATGTTTGCTTTCTAGAAACTGTATTCATATTAACAATAATATCACAATCCTAAGACCTTCCTATTTTAAATATTTTTGATCCTCCTGGTCTTGCAATAAAAATAGCCATCTATTTTACTATAGGAGTATCAAATTATATTTTTAGAAAAGGACGATTGCAATTTTCTAAACTATATTATTTTCTTCCTTTTTTCTTCATTTAAATATAATTTTATAAATATTCTAGCATTTTATATCAAATATCTATACTTTAAAATATATCTTATTCTTCTTTTGATAATCCATGTATTCTGGCTCTATCTCTAGTATGTTCTCTAACAAGAGTTTAATAAAAATAATCAGTATTTGTTTCTTATTATCTTTTATCTTCAAATTTTAAATTATAAGTGCTTAACTAAACAACATGAAAGTAGAAATCAGCTCCAATTAAGTATTTATTATTTTCATTCATTATTCTTGGATTATCTTTTTAAATTCTAACTAAGGTTTTAAGTGATGTTCCACAATCTTAAATATAAAATTTTGGTTGTTCTCTAAAAAATAAAAAATCAACTTACTTAATAAATTGATGAATAAGTTTGAATACATTTGATGGCAAAGCAGCAAAATTAGAATTGAACTATTTCAATGAAAGAAATACTAGGATCTAAGGAGTTATTCTACTAGAATATTTAAATCCAAATTCTGTTGAAATTTTACAAGGGACTTAATCAATATTAGATTCTATAGGAGTGAGGCCTTAAAATTTATTCAATTTTCTACCAATATCCAAATTATTTTCACTAGATCTTGAAGTTTTCCTTCTTCTTATTATTTAGATTTCATTTTTGTGAATTTAATTACCCCCTATGATTCTAACTATAAATGAGAAACATTACTTGTCATCTTGAAGTATATATGTTTTTTAATTAGTCTATTGATGTTATTTGTAAACATTAATCTTTAAATGTGGAGAATCTCTATTATATTCAGACTTGATTGTCTATAGAGCTACAATGTTTTAATCGTTTCCATTTTAACTTGAAATGTTATTTGGAATCTAAAATATTATTAAGAAATTTACAAAATTTTCTATATTCATTTCATTCTCATTTCCATTAGTCGCTGTACCATTTCTTTATAGCTATTATAAGTTAAAAGGTTAAATGAAACTTTAAGGATTCATAATATCTAGGAATCTTAATTATTCTTACTATTCAAGTGATTATTAAGAATTTAACTAAAGTTTAAAGTGCTGGACATTTAAGACAAGGATTGTTTTAATAAGAAATATAATTTAAAATTAATATTAATACGAAATTTTGTTGTCACAAAATTTCAATATCATGATTTATTAAATACTTGTATGTTTAAAACTTACTATTTACATTAAAATTATGTCTATATTAATAAAATACCATTAGACAAAATGGTTCTAAGATTTTTACTTAAAATGGATGATAATTCATCTTGAGCGTTTTATGTACTATAATTAATATTTTGCTATCCTTATATAATACTATTATTATATTATTGCAAATTAATCACATTTTAAAATATAGTTAGTTATTTAAATCCACAAAAATACAAAATTTCTCTAAGAATTGTATTAAAATCTATAGTTTATTCCATCTCATCTATATTTTTATTGATTTATTATTCAATCTTAATTTTATTTCAATTATATTAATATGAATTTATATTCCAAAGCATAATACTATAACTTTTTATCAATGATTTCATTCACAAGAATTCAAGTATATAAATAATAATAAGCAACTATATAGATTTCCTTTAATGATCTTTAATATATAATTATAAAATAAAATACTTTTGATAATATCAGAGTTTGTAAATTGAATAGGTAATCTAGAATTTTATTAGATTTTAGAATCATTACTCAAATAGTATGTGTATAGACATAAGAAAATATGAAAAATTATTAACTGAAATAAATAAATTATTTAAAATATAAAAGAACTTTTATCATTTGAATTTCCAATACTTATAAAAGCTCTATTGAATTAGTTTACAATTTATATAGGTTTTTTGTTATGCCTTAATTTAAATTAAATATTCTTATTATTAGGTTATAGATTTAAACTAATAATTGAGAGCATCAATTGAACAAAAGAAAAAAATAAAATTTAATTATATTACTTAATTTATAATTACAAAAAGAATTGATAAATTTATTTATTTATCAGAGTGAAAGCAAATTTGTAGAATATAAATTAAATGGTTATATTAACTTTTTTATAGTTTAAATTAATAATCCTATATTTGATTCAGATAAATAAGTAAAGTCTTTATATTTTCGATGTTGCTTATGATAGTATTTAATCTTATATATATAAATTTAGTATATGATTAAACGACTAAAATTTAATACAGAGTAGATTAGAAGAGCATCATGTGTATTATAGAAAATTGACCTGAGAATGAGTTCAAAAGATTTTTCTAAGTATGTAATCATGAGAGTACAGTTATCAAGACATCATAGATATAATGATTTTTATACTTCTGAAGCCATGTGAACTAAGATCATTAGCAGATGTTGAACTTCTAAAGTAGGCTACAAGATCTCTTGATTTTTTTGCAAATTTAGGTTCTGATCTTTTACATGAATAATGTTGTAGGAATCTTAGACATAAATATGTTCCAATTGGATATTTTATATTTAAAGAAGGAGAATAAGGAGACAATTTTTATTTTATTATAAGTGGTCGAGTATAAGTATTGAAGGATTTCAATCCATCAGATCCATAAGCATCAATATTTGATAATGAAATAAAATAGTTGTCAAATTTCGAGACTTTTGGAGAAAGAGCTATGGATTCTGATGCACTTAGAACAGCATCTGTTAGAGCTATTGAGAATACACATCTTGCATATTTGAATAAGGATAGTTATTAAATAATAGCTAAGAGTGTTAAAAATCAATTAAAGAAAGCTTATTTTGAAGAATTTGCAAATTTAGATTTTTTTCATAACTGGAGATTTTAAGACATAAAAGTATTTTATGATAGAGCATATGTAAAAAGATACTCAATGAATGCCACTGTATATAAAGAAGGTGATCCATTAGATTATGTATACATAATTAAAAAGGGGGAGTTTAAGATAGTCAAAATAATAAAGACATCAACCATAGATTTAAATGAAATGTTTAAAGGTGATTTTGAGAAGATTTTGTGTGGTATGAGTACTCCAAGAACATATACAATTTCAGAAAGATTAGAAGCACGATTTTAAAGAAAGAAATATGGTAATTTATATTATATGGAGAAGAAGAAACCTGTAACAATCAAATATATAACAGCTGGTTAAATGTTTGGTGAAATGGAATTTTTAATGCAAGTAAACTTTATATATAATTAAAGTAAAGAATAATAATACAAGAACTCACTCAGTTTATTCAGTTACAGAATAATCAGAACTTTATATGGTCAAAAGAGAATATTTTGAAATCATTTTAGACAAGGTACCATCTATTAAAAATGCATTGATTTAGTTATCTGAATAGAAGAATAATAATTTTATGAGATAACTATTATAATATGAGAAACATTTTAATGATTTGACTGAAGTAAAAAAAGACTTAGAGAGAAATATTAATTTAGATTTTTTATAATTAGGAAGTACTGAAAAACGATTGCCTTCTCCAGTATTATAATAAATCAGATCAACTCAATCTGTAGTTAAAAAAGTAGTGAAAATACCCAAAATTGAAAGAGAAGTTTAGAGGATAGAAACAAAAAAGAAATTTTTAATGAGAAGAAGAAAAAAAAGTGCTTTTAAGATACATGATAGTAATTCTGAAATGGATGGCAGCTAATATAATTTTATTAGTTCGATTAAATGAATAATTAATTTATTGTATATGAAATCCGAATATAATTACTCTTAAATTTAATATGAATGTATCGTAGTTCGTAAACATTTCATTAGTGATGTGAAATATTACTGCTATGTTCTAAATGATTATCTTTTAATGAGTAGAGTAAGATTGCTTACTATATAGAAAGCAAAAGATTAAAGACCCAAATATGTCTATAAATTGTAATTAAGTTAACAAGTTGGATGGATTACAGAATAAAAGAACAATAAACTTTTATTAAAAGCATTTACAATCAGATATTAGAATAAGTTCAAAGACTTTACAGGAAAAACAGAAGACTTACAGAAGTAATTAAATATCAAATATAATAGATTAAGAGAACATTTAAAGAATAAGGTGACATTTTCTAAGATATCAGATTTCTATGAGGCATAATATAATTTAGGGAAAGGAAGTTCTGCAAAAGTAATACAAATAAAAGAGATTGGAGCAGAATCAGTAATGTTAGCAGCCAAAGCCATAGATAAAAATTATCTTTAGAAGAGTGAATTTGGAATGTAAGCATTTTTAAATGAAGTTGCTATTCTTAACTTTCTTAGTAAATAAAACAGTAATTCACCATTTATAAAATTATATGAAACATTTGAGGGCGATCACACATATTATTTAATTTTAGATTTATTACGTGGAAGAACTTTAGCAGAAGAAATAGATCTATTAAAAGTATTATATAATTGATAATTTATTGTATAGTAAAAGAAAGAATTGCTATCATTAAAGTCAGTAAAAATAATAATGTAACAGTTATTAGAAGGAGTGAAGATTCTTCATGAGAATAATATTATACATAGAGATCTTAAACCAGATAACATTATGTTCCGTGAATAAGATCAGTATAATACTCTTATTATAGTGGATTTTGGATTGTCAACCTTTACTGATGTATCTAAATATTAATTTCCAAAATGTGGAACACCTGGATATGTAGCTCCTGAGATTTTAAATTTAATTGATAGAGAATTAAAATATGATAAAGTTTGTGACATATTTAGTTGTGGATGCATATTTTATAAATTATTATTTGGAGATAGTTTATTTTTTGGTAATACATTTAATGAAGTGTTGGCTTAAAATAAAAAATGTAATTTTATTCTTGATGGACGTGATATGGATATGATTTCTTTAGAAGCATAATAATTATTAAAAAGAATGCTTACAAAAAATCCAGCAGAAAGAATTACAGCTAAATAAGCTTTGGAATCTGATTTTTTCAAAAATTAAATTACTTTATCTCCATAAAATAGTATTAAATATTAATTATTAATTCTAGTTATGAAAATGTTTAAAACTAATAATAATACAAGTAATAAAAACATTTTTTAACCAACTGCTGATGGATAATTATCTGAAGCTGAATCTCCTTTTTAAAGAATTTAAAATAAACTATTAAATTAAATGGATTTTGATGCTGATATATCTGAAAATAAATCTTCATTCATTTAAATTAAATAATTACCACAAGTTAAAAAACCTTCTTGTGGTAAAATAGAAGATTCTACTTTAGGAAGTTTCTATACTAAAGATCCTTTAAATAGCTTTAAAAAATTAAAAGCTAGTATAATATTTTATTAAATTAAGTATCTCTTAAAAATTTGAATGAGTCTTAAGATAGTAAATGTAATCAATAAGAAATTGATTAGATGTAAAGAATCTCGTTATTTAATAGATAAAAAGATAATTGATTTATTTTTAATACTTCAATCAAGTTTATTTACATTCATTGTTAGTAATGTTAAAAGATCTTGAACAATTAATCTTTCCTTTATTATTTCTTGCAATTTTATAATCCTTATGCATTAAAAAGACCCATCAACATTTTATATGGAAATTATTTCTATTAATAAATAACTTAATTACTTAATGATTATTCATATATTCAATAATTGTATCTGCTTAATTTGAATTCAATATTTTTATATAGGATTCATACAAACTATTTTCAATATTAAAATTTTTTGATACTCTATAATAGTCATTTAACATAACTTCTCTACCAATATTATTAACTTTCTTAATTCTTGAATAAACAACTGCAAAAAGATAAATTAGTTCATCATAATACAGTTTTTAAATTTCTGTTAATTAATGTTAAGATAATCCTTACAATTTAATTTCATTAACAGAAATTATTTTATCAATTAATTGAATTCTCTATTAATCATCCTTATCATTTTATTTCAACTCATATTTACATTGAACTAATTGAGCATAAAGTTCCAAATTAATACAATCTCTAATTACTAATTCTTAAAGTTAACCTATAATTGAGTTTAATTCTGAGTAAAATGGTTTAAATTCTTAAAATACTTCCTTAATTGAATCAAATTCATTTATGACAAAAATGATTGACTCTATGTATACTACTCTATCCATTATATCAAATGTTTGACTCTTTTTCACTTTAAGATCTTCTGGAATTTGAATCTTTTTTAAATATTTAATTAAATCACCATATTTCTCTCTATATATAATCACTTAACTATTGTGTTCAAATTATTAAGTATATTGATCAGGTTCTTGTTTTGGATCATAATTAAAATTTAAAGTATCATCAAATATATATCTTTTATGCTCATCTAATATCATAGGAATGGCTAGAGTATAGATATAATAATTAATTAAGAATATCAATTCTTCAATTAATTTATCTTTATGTTATTAAAAAAAGTGTATGTACAATAATTATTATTGAATGATTATGTATATTTAATTAATAGTTTAAGTTAATAACAATGTTCTTTCTTTTCCTTAATAAATTAAACTTGAAATATTAGTTTATTTTTTAAAAGAAACAGTTGAACCCATAATTAAATCAATAATTTTCTTGTATTCTATTGATTTAAAAATATTTAAAGTATCTGGAAATGGATCCTTATATTCAAAAATATGAAATTTTTATTATTTATTAGCAATTTATAGAACAATTTATGTTTAATTGAGTGTAATTTTCATACATTTCTTACAATCTTCATTTATTAATTATTCTTTGATTTGTTTATCATTACTTCTTGATTCCAAATAATTACTAAATTTATCTTCTATAAATGTTTTATATTTCTAAAGATTTTAACCTCCAAATACTTCACATTTAGATATTAATATAGTTAACATACCAAAAAAACAAATCATATCTTCTTTGTTCATTCTTGGCCAACTTGTTGTTTAATTGATAAAATCACATATTCTATCAAAAACCTTTTCATAAATTAATTTTCTTAATTCAATAATTGATGAGTTTTAAGAATAATCTAAATGAAATCTTATTATCAAATGAAAATTCATAAAAAAATGAATTGTTTAACAACATAATTCTCTATAAAATTCAGTTAATTAATCCTTTGAAATTTAATTTAAAGAATCTGTTAAATTATCAAAATAAAAGTCAATTGATAAAATTTGACTAATTTAATCAAAAACTATTTATAATTTAGCTTCAAATGCTCTAAAAATTAATAAATGAACTATAGTTTCATAAGGTTGAACAATATTGTTTTTCTTATTTTAATTAATAAATATACTTCCATGTAAAGATAAGACTCATAATGAATTTTGTAAATCTTTTCATCATAATTGATAAACTAATCCATTATTCCTTTACAAGTTAATTATCTTACGTATTCAATTCTATCCTCTTTATAATTTTTGGGTATCAATTATAAACCATCAATTATTTCAATATTCTATATAATACATAAACAGTACAATAATTGTAGGCAAGTATATAGATGCATCTATATATCCATTCTACATACTCAATACAAATCTTTCATAAGGTAAAGCATAACAATCTTTTATTTTTTTTAATGTTTCAATTAATTGCTATAATAATATTATTCTTTTACTTAAATATTTAAGATTGATTATCTTTTCTCTAAAATCTATTTACTTTATTTTAAAACTATTTATTATGTTTTTTACATCTTTTCTCTGCTACTTCGAACTTTCATAAGTAACTCCTAACTAATATTTCCAATTTAATCAATATGAGTAAGTGCTTATAGATAACTAGAGTAATTGGTGAATACATTTTTGGACAGCTTTGTTTGTATTACATTCAAATAATGATCATATCTTTCAATCTACCTTTAAATGCTAATCATTTAAGAATTCATATCTCCTTAAAATATATTGCTATATTCAATTTTTTCAATTTAAGTTTGGATGTCTTAATTTTCATCAACATTCTTATAAATATTATTTAGAGCATCATGATTAATATCTACATCTCCATAAAATTCAATTAACCTCTAAACATTTTTTCTAAGAATTTCCTCTGTATTACTTTCATGAGTTCGAGTTGTATGCTATTTTTATATTTCTAAAATTGAGGTAAACATTCGAAATTTATCTTCATCACTCTTGTATTGTTGTAATATTCTATTCACATCACCAATATTTAATAAAGGTACGTCTTTATACTTTTTTTTTATATAGTCTTTTTTTTTATTAAACATATAAAAAATTATAGAATCAAATCTGGTATTTATTATTTCTACTAATTTTACATTAAGCTATTTATCTTCTATTATCTAACTAATATAGTCTAAAAGATAAGGATTATATTTACTCTAAATTTTATACAAGAAGAGAATTATTATCATTATTAATATAAAACAAAGACTTCTTTGTTCAAAGTTAATATTGAAGTAATCTAAAAAGGTTTTATAAATCAAATTGATTCATTTAATCAATTAATTATATAATTTTATGTTAAAAAAAATGAATATATATAAAATGTTTTAGTTTGAACATAAGATGTACTGAACAAAACTAGGATTTAAAAACCAACATAAAAACAAAGACATAAAATGGTTCTTAAAAGATTTAAATCAACTTTATTGCTTCTTGTGAAAAAGTAATTTAGAAAATGGAAAGCAAATCCTTAAAAAGTTATTTTTGAATAAAAAATGATTTTATTCATATATAAGATTCATATTTTTAAATCCATAAAAAAATAAAATATAATAATAATGAATATTTAGATTATACTATAAAATCTTATGGATTTATATTTAAAACCTTAATTTTTAAAGAGAATGAACTATTTATATTTAAATTTGTTCAATGCAATTATAACTAAACAAAATATTATAATTTTTCAGTAGTATTCCTAGCATCGTCTTTTCTAAGATTATTTATATTATTACTAATTATTCTATTTAATCCTATTAACCTTTGATGAATTTTAAGGTTTTTAATTAGGATTATTTTTTTTAATCACGTTCCTCTCTGATTTACAGAAATAATTTTGTTACTTTTTCATCAATACAACATATTGTCATCATTTCATTAATTATTTCTTCTACTTTAATCTGAAATGAGAAATCAATCTAACCTCTAGTTTTTCTGAGTATATTGATGGATTTTTCTATCTTACCAACAGCATCCCATCTTTTTAATTCTGGCTTAGATTCTGCTTCACTAAAATTAAATGTCCTTGCTCTTTCTGTTTTAACGATTGGAGTTTTTATATGGATACTACTGGATTGCTTAGCTAATTAGACATTTGAAACATATAATACTTTTGATTAGTTATGAAGAGTTTGGAGAACCCGTTTTGGGAGCAAATAAAGAGGGTTTAGAAGATTTCTAAGTTTAAAGAGTTGGTTTACTGAAAGCTTTGGGTGTACTCATTAATGGAAATAAATTTACGAATTATATTATATATTAAACATTAGATGTTTAAATAGATTTAAATTCTTGTGAGATTTTGAATTCATCCTAATATATATTTAAATTAAAGAAGAAAAGGTAAGAGATTACAAAAATATGTTGAGTATATATTAAATTCATATAAATATAATTAATTTGAAAATGAATTTCATAACACGATTCTGTGCAACAGTTGGAGCAGAAACAGCTTTTGAAAGAGTATTAATTAATTAATTTAATAAATAGGCTAGATTAGCAGCTACTTATGAAAATACATACCCACCAGATGAGAGTGATATCAAAATTATACTGAATGCACTTTCTGGTGGTGATAAGGAAACAGATAGAAGAATAGCTTTTGGTTCTATTGTAAGGAGACTAAAATAAAATCATATGAATGAGGATGGATGGATTATCATAATCAAAAATTTGATCATCATAGATAGGTATTTAGGTCACAAAAATTGATGAGGTGCGTGAATGATGGTATTCTATTAAAAGAATTTTGTGAGTTAGATTTACCTAACATAGAGAATCGATCTGAAATAAATAGAAACAATAATAAACTATTAATTAATGAATTGATATCCAAATATTACAATTATATCAAATTCAAATCGTAGTAGTTAAGAACTTCATTTTCTTTAACTTTATATAAAAAAGAAAAATATTTACATTTCAATCAACTCTCTGTTGGGTAAACATAAAATGAAATCAATTTAATTATGCAATTTGTTGATAAAGCTTATGAAGTGATAGAGACCAAAAAAAATGGCCATTTAAAATACAAACTAAATTAATATGTCTTTCTATTGATCCTAAATGATCTATTCAAATACTATAGTTGCTCACTTGTAGCATTTAATATTTTGATCAAAAAAATTGAATAATTAGAATTGGAAGATCTTCTTTAAATGGCAGAAATAACAAGATTACTATATAAATTTTGTAATTAACTAGATACATTTATTAATTAAAATAGATTTATCTAAGGTTTTGAATATTATGATGTAGAGTATAAAGTAATTAATAAAATATTTTAAGATAACTTCTGATTTAGTTGAGTTGGTTGTTTAATATATGAATCTTTACGAACAAACATAGAAAGGAACACCATTTTAACCAAAAGAAATTAAATTTAATACATAAAAATCCAAATTAGTTCTAGAAAAGATATGTATTAATTTACTCATTCCTTAGTTTCGCAAAGTCTTAATAAAACTTAAAGCGATTTTTTTGAAAATTATCAAAGCAACATAAAATAATAAAGCAAATTGGTAATTTATTGCAATTAATTCAAACATAAATTTGATGAAAGTACATTTTAAGAATTCTAAAATAATTTTTCGTCTAAGTATAAATATGTAATTATATTGAAACTAGTTATATAATAATACAAAATCATTACAAATAGAATAAAGATATTCCAGAATTTAAGGAAGAAGATGAAGATTTAGACTTCCTAACTAAAATTGAAGAGAATAATACGAATTATAAATTTGATAAATAAATACATTTACTATATCCAGAAGCTTTCAATGAAAAAATGTTTTTAAATTTTGAAAATATATATTATTTATGATGAGATGATAATAATATGCAATAAATACTCAATCTTCTTGTTATCAATAATAAATTAAAAGTTATAAAACCATCTAAAATATTATACTTAATTATTACTTGTTACTTTTGTTTGAATATAAATATTACTATGTTTAGTTATTTTAAAAACATTATTATTGAAATAATTGGTCAAGATTGGTTAAAAAACAAACTAAAATAACTTAGAAAATTTGAATTAGTACTAATTTAAATACAACAAGATAGAATAAAAAAGTCAAATCTATACAATTTTTCATATTTATATGTAAAAATAATTACAAAAATAAATATACAGAGGATATGCATTGAAAATTCATTTATTGCCAAACTTAAATGATGTTAATGATGCTCCTTGAACTTAATCCACCTTAGTTAGTTTTTTCAAATTTTAATTAAGACTTAATTTGGAATAATCTAATTTAGTTTTTTAAGTTTAAGGTGAAACAGATTAACGTGTTATATCTTCATCAAGAAAATCTTTTGAACTTTTTTCTAAATTCTCTTCTGGTTCTGCAAAAGAAGATTTCTTTGATTATTCAAATTAAAGTCTTTATAATTAGCTTTTTAATTCTAATTCTTATTCTTTAAGAAGTTATATCTATTTCTAAGCTTACTCCATATATATAACTTTTTCTTCCTTGCTTTTTACAAGAGCTAAAGATAATTCATTTATTTTTATTTCTAATTATCTAATTTCAGGGTTAAATTCCGGCTTATTGTTGACTTATGATGATTTCTAATTTTACTATTATAAAGTAGTAATTTCTTCTTTTTAAGATTCAATTTACTTCTTCAATGCCTCTAATTACTGTTTATCTAACTAAATCAATATTAATAGTTACACCTTTTATTATTCTTATCTAGCATCTTCAATTATGATCAATGCATTAATAATATCATTAGTATCAGAATCAGACCCTAACTAAAGAATTTCTTCGTATTCTTCATCAAGTGTTTTTGAGATCTTCACCCAATATTAGAGCAATTACTATTTAATAAGTTAATTCTCTTTTTAATAGTCTTTTTGATTATTTGAGTTTTCGAACATTTTTATTAAAATAAATTTGAAACAAAAAATATTAATTTAATAACACTCAAACTACCTAAAATTATGTTTCATCTGAAATGAAAATTTGAATAATAATCTTTTCTAAATATTTTTGTGATCATCATTTAAAAATTATCTTATGTCTTTAGGAATTAAAAATGAGAAAATATCTTAAAATTCCTTTCTTTTAGAGATCTATAATTTTATAACTTATATTAACTTTAAATTTGTAATTTATAGATAAAAAGAATATAAAATTCGATTTGTCCCTATCTTTTAGATTATAAATTTCATTTTAAACTTTGCTCAATAGGAAGTTGAAGTCTAAATTTTTCTAAATGTTATTCTTTTCAATATAAAGGTTTATTTAATATAAGTATTTTTTATTAAGAAGGAATCATTTTGAACTACTCTTTATTATAATTTATTCATTAATAATTGAATTTGATAATTAGATATTAAATTATAATATTATTGAAAGTAATTATTTATCCTCATTTTTCTCTATATAGGATTTATTTTTCGATTGAAATTTAGATGGTTCTTACTAAAGAATTTGATAGAATATAAATATATTGATGCAAATATTTTCTTATTCAGAAATTACAATTTTTTCATTTGGAAATAATCAAATTAAATGATCTTTTATTTATAATTTAAGGTTATTCAGATATTTGAAAATAGATGTTGATTTATTAATTAAATAAAAGTTATATTTCATTTATATAATCATTTTTGGAATGAATCAATTAATTTTAAACAGTTTGCTGAGCTACTTTGAAATTCCTCAATAGCAGCATCTATTCCATCCTCTTGCTCATTAGGTGTATTAATTTAACTATTGAAGGACTTGAAAAACTATTCCCATTAAAGTAATTGTTCCTTTATCATTTAATTTTGCGACTAACATAATTTATATTTCTTAAACTCTTCGAGTATTAGTATCTATTGATTTGAGACTTCCTAAATGATAATATTTGAATATTACTTGCTTTAATATTGAGATGTTTTACTCTTAGTTAGAATCTTTCTAAGAATCTTTATTTTCACTTTTTTGAAGTTCTTTATTTAATAACTTTTCCTATAATTCTTCAATAGTTATTTACAACTATTATTTGTCAGTTTATAATTATTTAATTTAATTTTGTAAATCAGTATATTCTTATTAACTTTTAGTTTAGATTTATTTATATGCATGATCACTTTTTTTTCTATTTGCATTTGAATCTTATTCATTTATTTTGCATTTACTTTATCTTAAATCATTTGTTGAAGATTTTGATGGTTTTTTATTGTCAATAGCAAATGGATTACATGAAAATGCAGGTTTATTGGCTTTTTCTAATACTATTAATTTATCTTTTTATTTCTTCATTTCCATTTCTTATTTCTAAATTGACATCATAAGAGTTTTAATTTCTTGATCCTTTTCTTATTATTATTATTCTAAATTTGATATAATTTTATTTAATCTTTCATTTTCATCAATTACATTATATATTTATTATTCCATTTATTATATTTCTAATCTTGAATCTCCAGCAGCTGCTTTTTAATATTTTAATTTCCATATTTCTATTTCATTTTATTATGTATCTATTAATTCTTCCAATTTACTTACTCTCTCTTTAATTATGTATAATTATTCATACTATTAAGCATTATTTTATATTTCACTTCTTGCTTTTTCTAATTCCTAATTTAGATAACAGTTCTCATTAACTAATGATTGTATTTTACTCTCAATTGTATTTGAATTCTCTTTAAAATAAAATGTCTATTAAGATTTGTTAGGTGTAAATGTAGATGATCCTCTAATTTATTAACCAATTATTGATTTCGAAGGAGTGCTAGGAGTATCAGAATATGGATTGCTATATCGTATTTGACCATTAAATGGACTTATTTATTACAATGGTATTTGCAATTTTTGAATTTGAACGCTTGAATTGGTTCGAATCATAACGTTTTATTTTAAAATATAATAATAATAAATTGGAAAAGTAATCAAATAATCGATACTTAATTCATTGAATTAGATTGTGGATAATATATATTTATATTTAATATATTAAAATTGTTAATTTTTTCACTAGAGTAAGAATTACTTAAACAAATAGATTTATAATTTATAAATCAAATTTTAAATAATAATTATACTATGAATTTATAATCAAGAGCAAACTCTAAAAAGATTGATTAACGATATTAATATAAAATTTAGAATAGGTTATTGTTTAAATAGATATTCTAGAAAGTAGTAAATTAATTTTCTTTTGAATAGTTTTATAATTATAAGATCGATATTTTGATTATATAAATATATATTAATATTTTATTAATATATATTTATCTCTTTAATATTCTTTCCATCAGCTCTACTAAAAATAATTTAAATTCTAAATTTACTAAATTTTTAAAATAATTAGAATCATTTGTCATTTTTTTAAATAATCTACAATTTAAGAAAATTTTGTTAACTCTAAATAAATTTATTTTCATTAATGTTTTGTTGATTGATTAGAATAATGCTGATAATAATAAACAGTTAATATATTTATACTTGTAATTATTTTATGATTCATATAGATAAAATATTCATAAATAATAACTTTTTAGTTATTACTAAAATCATAATCAAATAAAATGCAATTAAAAACTAAAAGTATACTAAAATTAAAAAATGAAATACTTTTATCTATTATAATATTTAATTTTTGGTATAAGTTTCTACTTCAAAATGGAGTTAAATAGAACTAAAATTAATTTATTTTAGAAATGATCATTTAATAGGTATATGTTTTTATATTTATTACTTTTAAACTAATAAATATAATGATAGGAGAATGATGTGATAATGAAAATTAATTACTTGATTTTTTTAGAGATTTAGTTTGAATTAGAATAAAAAATAAAATTGTTTAACATATTAAAATTTAATAATAAAATGGATTAAAAAATTAGTTTATAGCCAGGTTTAATAATTGAGTCTAGATTTAAATTACTTTAAAAAATAGGGAGTGGTAGCTTTGGAATTGTTTACTTAACTTATGATTTATAAGAGAAGGAATATTGCGCAACGAAATTTGAAAGTAGAAATTTATAAATGAGAATGATGAATAGAGAGATACTAATTTTGAAATAATTGAAAGGCATCAATGGTAAATAGTTATACATTTAATACATTCAATTTCAGGTTTTCCAGAATTAATTCATTATGGAAAAGATAACCAATATTAATTTTATATGAGTACATTGTTAGGTGAGAATTTAGAGGTTTTATTATAAAAATGCGGTGGTAAATTTACTTTATAGACTGTCCTTCAATTATCTATACAATTGATAGATCGTTTAGAAGGTAATTATTCTCAATAAATAGTAATAGTGTTTCATAGTATGAATTTCATTCATAGAGATATAAAACCAGAGAATTTCCTAATTTATAAAGAGGATACATCAATAGTATATTTGATTGATTTTGGATTGTCTAAATATTACAGAGTAACAGATGGTAGACATATAGAATTTACTTAAAAAACAGGTGTAATTGGAACTGCACGTTATGCTAGTATAAATACATTACAATGTATAGATATCTATATTATTTTAAGGGATGGAATAATCTAGGAGAGATGATCTTGAAAGCTTAGGTTACATGTTAATATATTTAGTAAAAGGGGAGTTACCTTGGTCAAATATAAAGGCTAGAGATAAAGACGATAAGTATGAGCAAATTTTATAAATAAAAATGGGCTTACCTTTAAATTAACTATGTTTTAATCTACCAAAGGTATAATTTATTTCATTATAAGTGTTTTATTCATTATTTCTAACATGTTAAATCTCTTCTTTTCCAACAATAACCTAATTATTAGCACTTAAGAAATCTATTCGAAAAACAATTACTTGAATATAATCACTAATTATATGACTGGGAGATTAAAACAATAGAGAAGTAACAATAATAGTAAGATATTCTTATTGATCCTAATTCAATACCTGATATTAGATTACATAGTGATTTAGATTATGTTCCACCTGTAGATGATGAAGGTGAAGTCTTTCTTTTAAAATAAGAGAATTAGCATCATGTCAAATTTATGAAAGAATTACATGAAAAATATTTAGATCACAATTCATATAAATAGATGTAGTAAATTTAATTATAAAAAACTACATCAATTGAACCTAAAAGTTAAGCTACAAGCAAATAGAACAATTATCAAACTAGCAATCATACTTTAATCTAGATTGAATCTTAACCTTATATTTATAATAATGTTCCATAATTCTCTAAAAGAAAAGATTCTAAATCATATACTTCATTTAAATAAACTTAAGAGCATAAAGAAAATAGGAAGTTTCGATAATCAAATGATGACTATGATTTAGAGATGGCTAATGAAGATGGACAAAATCTTGACTTAAATAATCTCTAAGCCAATCACTTTTTAAATTGATGTAAATATTGTAGTAAATTTTTTATCTAAAAAACTGTATTTTTAATTAAATATTAATTTTCTGTTTTTTTTTAAGATTTTTGAAATTTTAATAAAACATATTTTGATATTCAACTGTTTTATTAACTCACATTATCAAAGTTATCTAACATTTATTCTGAATTTACTCTTTTTTATTTTGTTTCTTAAATAGTTCCATCATTTAGTATGTCATCATCTTATTATTCACCATCATTTCGATATAACTAGAATTATAAAAATTCTAAAATATTTTCATCCATACAATCTATTAAATGTTTGTTTATAGGATCATGCATCTTAAATAATATTTCCTTATATGCTTATTAGGCTTCAAGAGCCATTTAATAATTACTTTTAAGAGGTTTTAAGATCGAGAAATATTGATTTCCTTAAATTTCTTTCTCAGGATTTGAAGCAATAGTAGGTTTAGGTAAATAATCAAATAGTTTTATTTGTTCTTTCGTTAATAAAATCATTTTTAATTTGTCAATCTCATGTAATTTCTTTATAATATATAAAATATCGAAGGATTTTTCCATTCTATTTATAGAGAAGTTCATTTATTTAATCTATTAATCATCTTAATATAATTTTAAGGAACTAAGCATATATTTATAATAAGGGATATTTAATTTTTTAGATACAGTCTAAAAGAACCCTTTTACTTGTTAATTTAATTTGTCAATAGTTTTAACTTTAATATCTTCATCTAAAGTGGCAGCATTTTATATTTTCATACATTATTAATTCAGTTCTTATAATTTTTATTATACTTTATAAGATGATTTAATGGAAGATCTAAAAGAATCTTATCTCTAAAACTTTGACTTTTTGAGAGGAGTATTTTGTTTAATAGGGGAGATTAATTTTCTATTTGTTTATTAAATATCATTTAAAGTATTTTTTTGAATATTCTCTACATAAATTTTACTTGATTATTTACTATTTATAATAGGAGCATCTTGTTAATCAAGTAAATAATTATCCTAATCATCATTAATAGTCTCTTCTTATCCATCAAAGTTGAATAATGAATTGATTATTTACAGTTTATATGAAATTGTACTATAAGGTATTTAAATTAACATAGCAATTGTGAATAAGACATTCCATAATCCTCCTAATTCAGCTAATAAAGTTTAGATTCTTGAATACTGTCTATAGTTTACTTATTCTATTGTATGTAATCTAATTGCAACATTTGCTAATAAATCTTCTTCATTAAAATCAATCATTTCAGTATGATGCAAATATTTGAGTGTTGTATCATAATGAAAATCTTAGAAGAAGGCTCCTGAATCAGTATATGTAGTGACTGGTTATAAATATATAGTAATTTCTTTGAAAATTTAACTTGATATTGTAGTAAATAAATCTTCACCTTTAGGGATATAAGGATTTTAAGTTGTTTATAAATCTACATAGTAAGATGACAATTATAATGATAAATAATTGTGAGTCAATTTTTTCATTATTTCTTCTTTACTCTTGCATTTTGGAACATCTAAGATAAATGTTAAGTATACTTTTTTTTTTATTATCTTCAGTACACATTTTAAATTTGAGTAAAATATATTGATAATTCACAGCATCAAATGTACCTTGCATATTAATCTTATCAATTGTATTCCAATCTATGCAATAATTTGTAGAAAGATCAAAATGTGAAAAATATTCAGCTAATGAATCTTACTTTATTATATCTTTTGAACATTAGACTAGAGGTAATTCAACATAATTATATCGAACTTATTAAGTTCCATTAATTCTAAAATGAGTATAATTTCATACATTTCTACTGATTTGCTCACAAGTAAAGGTTCGACAAAATATATCGATTCATCTATATAAGTGGCAAAAGAAGAATCTTAAAAGCCAAACTATAAAGTAAAATTGTTGGGTCTCAACTCATACAAATTTGGTTCTGCATGATATACTTCTGTTGTTAATGTGACAGGCTTTGAACGATCTGCATACACAATTATGCTATTCACAAAAAAAATAGACATCACAACTATAACAATCATTGAGAGTGTGGCTCCCATAATCGTCTTATGACCTTCTTCTTTTTTGATTAGCAGTTGAACAGGTTTAGTGAATAAATCGATTTGTTTAAAATAATGAGAGAAGGTTTTAGCATTCATTAAACTTGTTTTTTATAATTTAATATCTTCATTTAAAATTTTCATTCGATATTTCTGTCATATGATAATTAAAGTACGTGATATATTGGTTAATATATAACATAGAAAAAGATTTTCAATTAATTACTTTTACATTATACTTTCTTTATTAACTATAAAAAATATTAAAACAATTTTGTTCTTTCATAATTAACCTACTTTTTTAATAATTAGTCAATTTGTCTTAAGGTAATATATGAATTTATTTAAATCTACACGAAATGGTAGATTCAACTAAAATTTATGATAAACATACTAATATTTTATAAATAAATCTAGACTCTAGTGAAGAATTAGAAAATTTGAATATTAGAACATAGAAAAAGGATTCAATTTCACAATTAATAAATTTTGGAAGGTTTCAATTATTGATTATTTTAATTAAATATTAAATTAAACACACAATGTAATAAGATGTATAAAACTGATTTTATAATTCATGGTATGAATTGTTAAAGGTTTTTGATAAAATTAATATCAAAAATAGGCATTTATTATGGAGATTCTGAATTTAAGCGAATTTTAATTATATTTTAATTATTATTATTATTATTATTATTGTTATTATTATTGTTGAAATAGTTATTATTATTTTCATTTTTATTTGTAATTAAATGAGGAAGTGATGAATTTTAATAAGGTCGAATTTCAATTGGTGTTGATGCATATTATCGGTGCTATTCTATGATAAATTTATTAAGTCTTTTTTTTGTTTACTTTGAGGCTGTATTTGAGAATAATTTTCCTTAACTTTAAATATTTTTAGGGAGATTAGGCAAACAACTTACCATAGATTTTGAAGGCTCATCTTCACTTAACTTCTTTATTATCCATTTGCTTCCTTTGCATGTAACTTCTACCTTATAATGTTTATTTAGCAAAGTATTAGCCCAATTTGATTTGTATGGATTAACTATCTATATTATTAAAACAATTTCATACTCTTTTCATTTTAAAGACTTTTTTTAGGTTTATGATCTGAAATCTGATTAAAAGATTTTGATAATTATTCTGAAGGTAATTTGCTTTGCACATCTTAACTTGTAAACTCAATCAAACTTACAGGTTCACTTAATTGAGGAACATATTATTGACTCTAAAAAAATAAGCTTGACTATTGTTACATTATTTAATTTATGTTTTTTTTTATATTGATAAAGGTTTCTTTTATAGAATGGGCTTACTTGAATTTATAAATTCAGTAATATTTTGAATATCTAAAATGAAAATAAAAAAGAGATTAGAACAAAAAATAACTCAATAGAAATGATTTTTTTCTAAAATAAAAAAAATATGAATATTAGATAAATAGAAGTTGATTGAATGTAAGGAGTGTCATTTTTGATACTCAAACATAAAATATATAATGAAAAATAATCATTCAACAATGGTAATCCAATTCATATTTTCAAAATAATCAAGTAAGAGTTCTGGTTATTTATCAATAATAATAGTGTTATTTATAAAGATTCTTCCTTTTGATTCTAATAAAACAACATATGATTATTTTTAATAGTATTCTAAAATACATCCAATTTATTCATTGTTATATTCATTATATCCTATTTAATCCTATTATTTACAATAGAATTCTTATAATAGATTTAATGGTGCTTCTGATTTATTAATAAGAGATGAACAAACAAACTTATTTTTTCTTGGATAATATGCAATCTAAAAATAATTAATAAATTTAACTAAAAAATGAGTTTCAAATTCTCTAATAATTTAAAAAGGTTTATCTATCTTTATATTTCCTTTAATTTCTTTGTATTTGAAGATAAAACCTTTAAATTTTTGATAAAATTCATTTTAATGATATTAGTAAATTAGATCACTAAAATTTTATATTAAATTCTCTTACAATTCCCTTCAAGATAATAAAAAATATTACCATGTATTTTCTTCTTTTGAATAACCAAGCCATTTTACTTGATACTCAATTTTTGATAGATTTTTTCGCATTCCTACAATAGATTCAACTACAAATAGTCCTTCCATTATGATTTAGAAAAGTATATTAAATTATATGTTAATTTTTAATAAATAAATGAAAAATAGGCTAATTAAAAATGCAAAAGATAGATAAATGAAGTTATAATGTTTAGATTTACTAAATTAGAAAATGAAGAGATCTCATTCTTTTGATTTACCATCCATAACCATCTTATCATAAGGTCAATTGTTGAAAATGTAATCCAAATTTAAAAATATGCTGTTGATAGCAAACTCTTCAAATTATGGAAATTCTACAAGAAAATCATTAAGATCAGAGAAACTTGATGTAATGGATGCAATATCGTTGGCAAGCCAATTAGTATCTGAAACTCCTTTATAAAAAACAAATATTAGAAGAGCTAGTTAATATGATTATATTAGTCTAAAGTAAAAAAGATTAGATAGTTTTGCTCCTCTCGTTTATATATAGTAACATACTAGAGATGTGACAGTTTACAAGAAGAAAAAAATAAAACGAATAAAAATGCACTATAGTATAGTATATGAATACTGCAATTAGAATTAATGAAAAGAACAAATCTAAAGAAGCAACAAAAAGTTTAGAGAAGCAAAAGTACTCTATTACCATAATAAATAAAAATCACACATAAGAGAGCTAAAACAGTTATAGATCAATTATTCTAAGGACCAATATTAAGATTGGATACTGAATTAGAATAAAAAATTAGAATGTTAATATATTCATAAAGATGTCCTCGTTTATTATTGAAAAGGAAGACATGTATATAAGTACCATAAAATAACATATTTGTATCAAGAGATAAATTGTTGAGATATTAAGAAGTGATGGCTAATAAATTTGTAAATTTATAAATAAATCCATTTAGGATTAGGCTGATTCATCTTGTGAATCTTCTCCTTAGATAATGACGAAGATTCAATTTAAGAAGACATAATTTAGTAAGATATAGGTTGGTGAGAATACAATTAATTAATATTTAACTCCTAGAATACATTGTGACTGCAATCTTAATATCTTCAGTAGAAAAGCCTCTCATAGTGTTATTGCTTAATATGTTCAAAATTTCATAGATAAAAATAAGAAATTAAAGAATTGTATTCATGGAGATAAACAATAGACTTTGATTAAATAGCCAAGTCTTAATGAATTTAATACTTATTTTTTAGCTTAAAAAAGAAGTGTAGATGTTGGAAGACTCTCTTCATAATTGATATAATCTAGATCATAAGATAATAGTAATAAATAGATTTAGTTAAATTAAAAGCAAAGTTAATTTATCAATAAATAAAAATAAATTCTGATTAAATAAAAATCAGACTCCTAATTCAATTAGAATATTAGAATTAGAACATTACCAAGTGATATCAGTTTGAGTAAAAATAAAATCAGCTTGCAAAAAAAGTTAAGACCTTATCTCAAATGAATTAATTAATGTAAATATATTAACGTATTCTAAATTGAAAATTAGATTTTCTATGAAAATAAGAATTTTATTATAATATAAAAATGCAATGTGATTCTTTTGCACATTATGAATTATAAACAATCTTATCAGAAACAGATTATACTAAGAGAGCTACAAAAATCATTTGTACAATAGGGTAATAATAATTATTATAATATTTATTAGTCCTGCTTGTTGGGATGTCCCTACATTAGTTTAATTGATTGATGCAGGAATGAGTGTAGCTAGACTCAATTTTTCTCATGGTGATCATAAGGTTCACGGAGAGACTGTGGCTAAATTGAGAGAAGCTTTTAAATAAAGGAAAGAAAAACCAGTGGCAATTGCCTTGGATACAAAAGGACCAGAAATTAGAACTGGTTTAAATAAAGAACATAAATAGATTATATTAAAGAAAGGATAGAAATTGGAAATAAGTAACAATAATCTTATATTCAGCCACCGATTATACATTTGAAGGGACATCTGAATGTATTGCATGTAGTTATTAAAGTTTATGTAAAACTGTACATATTGGATCATAAATCTTGATAGCAGATGGAACTATAGTAACAATAGTAGATGAAATAAAGGAAGTAAGAAAAATTATAATCTTCATTAATAGTCCAGTGTAATAGTAACAGTCTAAAATGAAGCATCATTTGGAGAAAAGAAAAATATGTCATTACCTGGAGCCATAATTGATTTACCTACAGTTACTGAAAAGGAAGAAGAAGATTTAGTTAAATTTGGTTTAAAACATAATATTGATATCATCTTTTTGTCATTTACTAGAAAAGCATAAGATATTGAAGATGTGAGAGATATTTTAGGACCTAGAGGCAGTGGAATCAAGATTATAGCTAAAATAGAAAATTAAGAAGGAATGCAAAATTATGATGAAATATTAAAATCAGCAGATGGAATTATGGTGGCAAGAGGAGATTTAGGAATGGAGATTCCACCTTAAAAAGTATTCTAGGCTTAAAAATGGATGATTAAAAGAGCATTAGATGTAGGAAAGCCTGTTATTACAGCTACATAAATGATGGAATCTATTATAACTAATCCTAGACCAACAAGGGCTGAGGCATCAGATGTAGCTAATGCTGTATTAGATGGAACAGATTGTGTTATGCTTTCTGGAGAGACTGCTAATGGAGCATTTCCAGTTATTGCAGTAGAAACTATGGGAAGAGTAAATTATTTATTTATTAATAGATTTGTTGTGAAGCAGAGAAATGTGTAGATCATGAAAAAACTTATTGGAATAGAATTCATGATAGGGGATAACTGGGAGATAAAGAAGCTTTGGCTGCTTCTGCTGTTCAAATGAGTTTTGAAACAAAAGCTCATGTTATCATTTGTTTCACTCTTACTGGAGAAATTGCTCGACTTGTTGCTAAATATAGACCAAGAGCTCCTATTATAGCAATTAGGTTTTAGATCTAATCAATTTATTAGTACTGAAGATAAAACAATTAAAGGATTAAGTATGACAAGTGGAGTTACTTGCCTAAGAGTTCCAAGTTTTCAGGGAGTTGATACTTTAGTAGATTATGCTATTAAATCTGCAAAGACAAGAGGAATAATTAAAACTGGAGACAAGGGTATTGTTTTATTAGGAGGGAGTGAGGATAATCCAGATGAATCTAACATCTTAAAAGTAAAGAAAATTAATTGATTATATAAAAAATAAATAATTAATTATATTTATAGTGTAAAATTATCAATTATTGAACATATTTGAATTCATTTTATTATTTTGAATCAAAAAATATAAAAGTGTTCTTGTGTAAATATATTTAAAGATATATGGCAAAATAATAAAATAAGAGAGTTAAGTAATATTTTAGAATGAAAATAATTAAAAATTATTATGTCTAATGTATTTTATAATTTTTAAATTATAAACTCAATTATATATGAATCCAAAAGGTTATAAATTTGAAGTTCACATTCAAATTGAAAAAATGGAAATGAATAGTAGTTTATCATTTTAAGTGTAAATTATATTAAAATGTGGTATGTACTATTTCTATCATTTAAGGAAATTAAAAAGTATAGACATAGTAATTAGCTGATTTTAATTAAGGAAGAGCAATTATTAATGAAACTTTGTTGATTCAAACTAATGTGTATTAAATAAATGGAATATATTAAGAAAAGAAAATAGAGTTGTTAATTTTGCTTATTACAACAAAAGGTAAAAAAAAAGCAGGTCAATGTTATATTAATATTGCAGAGTTATTGAATTAAGATAAATATGGTATTTCATAATTGCACTTTAGACATTAATTAAGAATTATTCTTAGAAAATTGCCCTGATAATAAAGCCAAAATTTATTCAAAAATTCAATTAACAAAAATTGGGAAAGTAGACTTTGAAGCAATTAATACACAATATTCAATAGTTAATGAGTAAAGTTCAGATAAAAAATAAGGAATATTTACACCATTTAAAGCAGCTCTTGAAAACACTGCAAAGAAATATTTTGGAGATAATCAATCCGCATAATCATAGAAATTGGAAAATTCATTTTCTAGAAATTAAATAAAAAATCCCATGGTATCAGATGTTTCATATCAACTGAATTCACAAAAATAGTAATAGAATTTATAGCTAAGCAATTAAGTCTAATAAGATTTATAACATCTACATGAAGAGCTTAATCAATAAAAGATATTATAAATGGAAATGAAGGATTAAAATAATTAATTAAAGTAGGAAATACAATTAGAAAAGGTGAAAAAAGAGACATTGATTTTATAGATTTAAGAATAAAAACAACAGATGGAAAAAATGATTGATTAATACATATATCAAGAATAGATATATTAATATGAATAACAATTAAGTTAAATTCAATGTCAATTAAGGTAAGCACAAAAAGATAATGAAAATCTTACTTTAAATTATAAATAAGCTATGTAATAGTATAATAAATTAAATGAGGAGTATGATTAATATTAATAGAATAAGACAAAGGAATTGAAAGATATTAGTAATTAAAAAGATCTATTATATTAAGCTTTAGAGAAATCTAATAATAATAATTGTTAGCCTAAGAATATTAATTATGAAAATTAGATCATTTAATTAAATTAATAATTATTATAATTGAAAAATAAGATTGATGAAAAAGACAATTTTATTAAATCACAAACTTAAAATATTAATAGTCTAAATGAATAATTATTAAATTTATACAATTAAAATAGTTTTCTATATTACAATGAAAAAATGCTGAATGATAAAGTATTGATTTTTTTATGATGATTAGATTGATGAATAATCTAAGTAGATTCTTAATCAATAGGAATAAATAAATTAATAAATTACAGTAATTAAGTAGCAATATGAAGATCTATTATATTAAAATAATTAAACTATAAAATAACTTAAAAATGAATTAATTGAAAAAAATTTAGAAATTACATCATATTAGACTATCTGTCAATAACTATAATAAAAAGATCAATTAGAAATAAATGAAATTGAAAAATTAAAATAAGGAGGACAAACATAAACAGATATAGATTTAAAATATAGGGAAAAAGAGTAGAAAATTTAAGATGAATTATAGAAGTACCGTGAGAGAGAAGAAGAACTAAGAACTAAAGTTTAATTTCTTATGCAATAAACAAATTAATTGTAATATATGTAAAATATAGTATTAGTTAAACAGAAGTTATGAGAAAGTTGTTTCTAGACCCCTAGATTCCAGGCACACCTGTTAATCTTCCAAATCAATTGATTGAATTGAATAGGGCAATATCTATCAAATTTTCTAAGTTAAAGTAGGATCTAGAATGCCATTAATTTGAGATATAGTCTTAAGAGAATATTAATGTTGATAATTCTTAAAATTAGCAAGTGGTAATATTAAAATAATTATAATTAAAGACCTTTGAATTAACTTAAGCGAAATTAAAAATTGATAATCTGTAAAATGATAACATATATTTACAAAAATAATTAGTAACAAAATCTGAATTTTTAAATTAATTAAATTAATAAATTTTAAATTAAAATTAAAAAATTTAGGATTTAGAAATTTAAAATAAAGATATTATATAGAAATCGATTTTGGAAGCATAGATTCAACAATAATTAAGTGAATAAATTATAATATTTGATAATTAAAATTAGGAACTTAAAATTTAATTAAAAACTTCGTAAATTGAAATTTAATAAAAAGATGATTTGATTAAAAATTTATAAAGCAACCTTTAATAATTAAACTAACAAAATTAAGAATTAATTATAATTAATGAACAATTATAATATTAATTAAAGGAACAAATTCATAATACATAGTAATTATAATATAATGATTTGATCCTGGAGTTGAATTAAAAATTAAAAGATTTAGAAATTTTCAATATATAATTATAAATATAGAAATAAGAATAAGAGAATTAGATAGAAAAATTACAAAAAGATCTTTTCCAACAAAAAGAATATTAAATTGAAAAATAAAAATTAATTTCCTTTCCAACTGATTATGAAATTGTAGATCAGCAATAAAAAGAATAACATCACGATAAATTAACTAATTTATAAGGTCATCTTTTAATAGAAGAATCTTAAAAAAGTTAAGAAAAATAGTTAATTTTAGAATAAAAAATAGAATAATTAACTATTTAATTAAATTAATAAACTTCTACACTATTACAAGCCTAAATTACTATTGATTAGATAAAAAATGAATATAACTAAACATTAGAGAGAGCTTAACTGAAGGAAACAGAATTTAAACTTTAATTAGGGTAATCACAAGTTTTAAATGATAATCTATAAACTGAATTAGATAGCTAAAGAATTTAACTTAAAAATTTGGAAGAATAAATTTAATAGAAAAATTAGATTATTGAAGAATTAGAAACTTAAATCAAAAAAATTCAATAAAAATTATAAATTGATATATAAGATTTATAATAATAATTATTTACTGAAAATGATGAATGGCAAAAAGAAAAAGAAATAATTTAATAATATATTGATGAACTAGAACATAGGGCCTTATAATTAACAAATTAAGTAAAGGAGAAGGATAATAAACTTTAAGATTTATAGATATAGAATGAACAATTAAATGAATAATTAATAATATCATAATATAATAATGAAAGAGTATAACAACTAGAGTAATAATGTTTCGATAATATATAAAAATATGAATTATAATTACAATAGTAATCTTAAGATAATTAGGTTAAATTATTAGATTAAAAGACTTAATTAAACAAATAGGAAATTAAAAATGAAATAGAAAAATAATTGATAATTAATAATTATGTGAATCAATTGAGAGATAAAGATGATTTAATATAACATTAATAACAAGAAATTCAAAATTATCAATAAGTTAAATTGGAATAGTAAAATGTAATTAAATTTTTAGAGAGTATTAAAGATAATTTTGAATAAAAATAATCTGAAAATTTTGAATATATCAAAAATATTTAGAGAACATATGAATAAATTAAAGTATAATCATAGCAATAAGAGTTCTTAATAAATTAATTATAAAATACAATAAGAGAGTTAGAACTAAAAAATTAAGAATTGGAAATGGAGAAAATAAATATTTCAAATAATTATTAATAAGCTTTAATTGAAGCATAATCTTTGAATCATACTTAAGATAATTCTAATGAGATAATTGAAAAGATACAAGAAGAAGTTATTTTATTAAAATGTAGAATAGGAGATATGTTGAATGAAGCATAGGAATTTGGAGGGGCTTAATTAGTTGATAAATTGTAATAAGCATTAGGAATAAAGGAATGAATGAAGTAAATTATTTCTTTAATAATTAACATTTCACATCATAAAGTAACTAAAATATTAGTAAATTCTTCTTCAGATATTCTTCCATCCTTATTTAAATCACAATCCTTTAAAAACTATTCCCATATCTCAGGTTCTAAAAATCCCATACTATCTTACAATTCTTCTTTTGATATATAACCATCTCCATTTGTGTCTAACATACGAAATGCTTATTTAATTCTTTCGATTGAAACTAATTTTTCAAATTTCATGGCTCCCATAATAAATTCTGAATAATCAATTAAATTTGAATGATTCAAATCTAATGCATCTAAAATTTGATTCACTTTTTCTTCTGCTTATTCTTTATTTTTTAATATTCCTTAATAACCAGCAATTAATTCTGCTTTACTCAAATTTCCATCATGATTTTTATCAAGAGCATTAAATGTGGCCTTTAATTCATTAATTTCTTAACTTTACAAAGTTTAATTAACCATAAAAGTCATTATAGCTTTTTGAAAATTAGTTTTGACCTAAATTTAACATAAACAATATACATAGAATTTTTCAATATTACTTAATAATTATTAAGATATAATTTCTTATTTAGCATTTCTCTATATCCAAGGATGTAAGAGTGCTTATTTTGCAGTGAACCTTTTTTTAATGTCTATATTTAGCATATTGCGAATCAAATCTATAGCATCTCTAGAAATAGTTGACCAATCATCTTTGTCAAATATAATTTTGCCGTTTTTTACTTTAGCAAAGATTTCATTATCAGTTTTTCCAGTAAAAGGAGGATAACCACATAAGAAAATATATAATATAACACCACATGACCAAATATCAACCTTTTCATTATATTTACCATTCAAGACTTCTGGAGCAATATAATAAGGAGTTCCTAATCGTTTTTTCATATTATTATTTGATGAAAAATATCTAGATGTTCCAAAATCAATTACTTTAATTTCTTCACCTTATCCACTTAAGAGAATATTCTCTGGTTTTAGATCTCTTTAAACTATATTATAAATTTACCTATGTACTATTTATTTTTCATGACAATAACTAACAGCTTTAAGGATTTATATTATGTAATCAGCTGCCATTTTTTCACTAAAACATTGTAATTTCTTAATTCTTAAGAACAATTCTCCTCCAGAAAGATATCTAAATATGATAAATAATTACTCAGTAACAATAATATATTAATCATCTTCTTAGAAGCATTCAAAAACACGAACAATATTAGGATGATCTAAAGATTTTAAAATATTCAGCTCCGATAACATTCTTTCTTAATCTTCAAATAAAAGTGATTCTTTTTTAATTTATTTCAGTGCTCTTAAAATACCTGTTTTATTGTGTTTACAAAGCCATACAGATCCATAACTTCCTTATCCTAATTTTTTGATTAGACTATATTGTTCTTTCCATTCCCCTTATTTCATTGTTACAAAATTATCATAGCTTATTCTTACAGATTTTCTGGAGCCTGGTAATTAAATGGTTGATTTCATTTTAGATTGATTAGTGTCTGAAGAGAAGTCAAGATCGACTTTTGATGCAGCACTAGGTGTTATATATTGTTTAAGAGGGGACATATATTCATCATCATCTTAGAATGAATCCCAAGTATCATTTTTTTGTAAGATAGGAATTAGTATTTATGTATGGCTTTAGAAGTGATTTTAATGTATCTCTGAGTGATTGCAACACGCATTACCCATATCAGAATAATTTTTTATATTAATATGAACATCATTTAATTTGGTCGTATATTAAATTAAAAAATCTGGGTTTATTAAAATATTAAATAAAAAGAATTAAATTTCTATCGTCTGATTGATAATAGTTATTAATTGAATTTATATATAACTGTATCATTAAAAATATATGTAAGATAATAATATAAAAATATCTTAGACTATATTTTTTAAAATGATATAATTATTATAATTTATAATATAATATTGGATTAAATTAATACTCAAAATAAGATTATACAATTAACATAAATTTATTCAGTAATTTTATTGTTCTAAAACTTCAATTACTTCTACTAAACTCTCTCTATTTTGAACTTCCTATATATGTAAACTATGAGTAACAGGTTTTCTACATAAGTAACAAAGTTCACTTTTGCTTAACAATTACTCACAACATTCTTTACAAAATCCACCATGACCACATGGCATATTAATCATATTACTCTCTTTTTCATAACATACTAAACATAATTTTTAAGAATTTTGATTCTATTATTCTTATTTAATTTAAGATTAATCTTCGAATTATTTTTTATCAGAATTTCTACTTGTTAAATCTTATCCTAAACTTGAACTAATTTCTAATCTTTGTCTTGGACTAGATAATAATATATCAAATCTTTTTGATTAATCATTATCATTCACTTAATATTTATTATCTATTTAATTTTATTTATTTTATTGCATAATAATAGATGATTTATGTTATTAATCAGTATTCTATGCACATTTATAATAAGTTTATGATAATTTAACCATGAATTAAGGTACCTTAGATATACTTATTTTATGCATTCTTTTCATTTTCAATTATATTCTATTTTCAATTTAATTTTGATTTTGATTAATTTATTATATTTATTATTCAACATATAGATTGCTCTAAGCCATATCATAATATAAAAAGTAATCACTCTATTATTATTGATTTCTTACATTAGTTTTTATTTAAACTTATAAAAATAAGCTAATTATAGTAGATAATACAGAATAGTTAATCCAAATGCATATTAATTTAATTAGATAACTTTAAAATCATAATTTAATGCACATCCAAATAGTGTTGTGAATGGTACTAAAGTGATTCCAAATGAAATCAAATTTAACCAAATTCCTCCTTAAACTTAAATATATATATTAATTTAACTAATAATTGATTTTTTATCTTCTTCAATACCATCTTATTTATTTCTGCATTTTTATAGTATATCAATTAATAAACATATGGCTATTACAAAGGACAATCCTAGAAGAAACCATATTATAATTAATGTTTAAATCCATCCCCAAGTTATTTGTTCTGTTATCCTAAGACTTACAAATACAAGTTGAAGAGCACTGATACTTTTAAATGCAGCTATTAGCTAAAAATTTATAATCAATTTACAATCTCTTAAATCTAAAATGATTAATCTAAAGTATCACTATCTGATGTACTTCTATTAACAAGAACTGTGACTGATAAAATTAAGAATTGTAAAACAAGTTGAGCATAAGAAATGAAATTAATATTCACTTTCTCTATCTCTATATAATATACTATGGAAAGTAAATAGGATATTAAGAGTAAACTTTCAAAAATATTAAAACAACAGTATTGGGAAAGACTAGAAATAATTAATTATTATACTTTCTACTTTTAAGTAATTTATGTACCATTATTGTGAAGGAGGATACGCAGCAGTAGATAATGATTATTTTATAGTCCCATTAAAATATTAAATGAGCATTGTATAATAAGCAAAATCCGCTGAGTATTGTTATCATAACTACTATCTAAATTTTTCAATTCAAATTACTGATTTCAAATTATCTTGGGACTTTGATCTAATTTACTACAATTCAAAAGAACTAATTAAATGATTTAATACTTCACAATTCCATTCATAAGACAAAATAATAATAATATAATAATTTTAATTAGATTATAAATGATGTACTCAAACTTATAATTTTTGATCATAATTACTTAAAGCAATCATAAATGCAATTAAAGGACTAAATGGTGCTGCTATATCTAAATTAAAATAGTGTTTATCCCACTTACCAAATTATAAATATATTTTTTCAGGTATTTCATCCTTTAAAACAATTTAAAAATTCTTTATTGAAGAAATTTTAACTCTTTCATAAAAATTAAGAATAAAAGTTTATAATTTGGGATCCCATTTAGGTTTTCTATTAACAAATTCATTATTCATATCATTATTAAATTTAAACTAAAATTAAAAATAAATTTTATACACATTATTATCTAGGTTCATTGGCTTTTGGAACTGCATAAATACACAATTCACCTAGACATTTTCTATAAGGTTCTTTCTTTCTTTTAGGATTTAATCCTGTATCATAAAAGTAATATTAATTATTTTTCTTACAACTAACTTATCCTACAAATTGTGGAGATTTTCTTTCTATATTTTCTTTATCTGCACTTATCAAATATTTATTTCCTACCTTTTTAGCTGCCAAATAACATTAATTATCTTTTAGAAAATAAAACTTTGGTCTAAAAGTATTAAATCCTGATTTATTAATCTACAATGCACATTAAACTATTCCTTATTATTAAATAGGTGAAGTAAGAAAGTCTGGTATTTATTAAAACTAAAAGTTCTTTATGATACTAGGATAAGCACTTGTAGTTAAAGAATTAGTCATAGATTTGTCTGGACTATAAGAATCTCTTTATTAATCAACTTTAGCCATTTAATATTCTTTTTAGAAATCTCCCTTTTATTTTTATTCTAATTTTTTCGGAATATCACCTTAATAAGTTAAATCATCCTCATGATCTTCTGCTACTAAATTACCTGTTCTTGGGTTCTATCTCTCTACTTTAAACTTCTATTATATATAAGTAATACCATCTTAATTTCTAAGGGATTTTGATTTTGTACATCAATAGAATTCATTTTAATCAATTAAGAAGGACTAATTGTAGGTGAATCATTTGGTTGCTTAATTATAGAACCTCTCTAAAAATGAAATGAAAATTAAATTACTTTTTCCATAATCCTTTTAGGTGAGGATTGTTATTACATTTTGATTAATTTATACTATATTTAATCAAAATATATAAAAATATAATCTTATTTCATACAGTTGTCACTCCTATTTATTTATCACCTTAAACTTCATATTTAGCAGTAGTTTATTTTGAAGTCCTTGAAAAGAGGTTAGCAAGCATTTTTAAAAGAAAATCTATCTTTACTTCCCAATAACACACTTGATTGTAAAAATAATGAGCAAAAATGCATCCCGTTGTTACCTAATTTAAATTTATTTAAATTACATCAATTGTGTAATGAATTGCAAATGTAATTACAACAAAAGCTTAATATAAAGAACACATAAAGAAAAATGCTGACATATACTTTTTACCTATCCTTTTCATTTCAAGTCCACAAATTATTAAATATCCTACATGTCCCTAAAATTATATGGATTCAATATTTACAGAATAAAAGAAGTCAGAAAAAAATCCATATTTTACAACCAAACTTGGAATATTTGGATCCTCCCAATAGTAATTTTATGGGAATTCTAATTTTACTAGATTTAAATGAATAGCTCTAATAACATAGAAGATAATTAAGGCAGCGAATAATCTAAAATTTCTTTGGTATAGAACCCAATAAAGTGATATATATAGATAAGCTACATCTAAGATAATGGCTGAGAGTAATTAAATTAAAATAGAAAACCTAAATAGTAACACTAATATACCATCGATGTTCTTTATACATATTGTTAATTGGTGTTGTAATTTAGTGTCCAATATCCCAAACTCCAATTATCTTTTCTGTTGGAGTGCAAAAAAGTTGAAAAAGTTATGTAAGAACAATATAAGAGAAGAACACAAATATCCTAAATCGAAAATTGTAACAAGGATTTCCTGGAACTCCACTTTAAGTATGATCAAATTTATCAGGGAAAACAAAGTATTTTATATCCTCTCCATTATATATTGTGATTTTTTCATCATTGACACTCTTCATTTTAAAAAATTATTAGAATTCCAAATAAATTCCTAATTTCTTAAATAGGGATATCATATTATTAATTAATATCAATATCAAACTTAAGAAAAATCTAATAAGATGGATTAAAATTAAACAATTATGATTCCCAATATCAAGTAATTCAAAATTATATATATCAATTTCTATATGAAATGTCAACTATATATATAGATAATAAGCAGATCAATTATTAACGTGTTTTATTCTGTTTTATATGATCAATAAATGTTTAGTTAATTTTTAAAGTTCAATTTATTCAACATTGTAAAAATTAGATATTTTATAGAAATTACTTTTTATAGTAATTAGATTTATTATAATTTTTAATAATATTTTAACAATGGAACATATATTTATATATATTGTTAATAATAAATAATTAATATGTAATGAATTGCTCATAATGATATAAGTATTAATGAATAACAATAATAATAACAATAATAATAATAATAATAATAATAATAATAATAATAATAATAATAATAACAATAATAATAATAA